GGACTTTCTCCATCAGTGAGGGTGCCCGTATTTGGGACAGGCTGTCTTCTCCACATCCTTCTATAACCCCTGTCACGTGGCCTCCAGGGCCACTGCGGTCATCCTCCGATCTGCTTCTCCTCCTCTTCTCTGGCTGTAGCACTTGAGGATGTCAACATCTACAACATGGGCCCATGTGATGTGGTTACTTTGTGGCCCAAGCCGTCCCTCCCCACTCCCTACAGAAGTTCCTGTCCAGTGTGTCTCAGCCATGTATACTCCCCACCCAAATAGAGCCTTACCTTCAGTCTCCTTGACATCACCTGTATCCAGGACCTGCCTCAGTAGAGAAGGTGTAGAATAGTCAGATTTGCCTTTTTGTAAGGACTTTTGGGCTTTCCAGGTTGCTCAGTGATAAGCAGTCTTCCTGCCAATGCTGGAGATGCAACTTGCATCCCTGGGTCAGGAAGATCCCTTGGAGAAGGAAATGGCAAACTGCTCCAATATTTATGCCTGGGAAATCCCATGGACAGAGGAGACTGGTGGGCTAGTGACTAAACAACAACAAAAGACTTTTACTGATCACACGACAGGTGGGGCCATGAAAGTAGCCTCTAGCCAGGAACTGCATAGGGTTCAAAGTTTGGGTAGCTTAGCCTGCCCCCCTCAAACAAATATCTCAGTTTTTTCTTCTCTTAGCACCTATTATGCCATTTGAAAGCCTTGAACTGTTAGCATTAAAAATATTTGTCCCCAAACCACTATACGGGGAAAAGAAAAAGACAGTCTGGACAGAGGAGGTAGAACGTTATGTCAAACCAGCAAGCCAGTTATACCATCTGGCTCTTGTCCCCTTGGCTCTATTTGCTCCAAATCTGTGAGTGTACCCACTTTCCAAGCCTCATTAGCATTTAGAATCACAGAGTACCATTCTAGACCTGTGCTCTTGAACCTGGAGCTCCCATCTCTGATTCCAACCTCTTCGTCACCCTACAGTTTCCTTCACCAACTTATATACTATATATTTTACTGTCTTTCTTCCCCAGAACAGAATAGAAGGCCCAGCAGTGCTGGGGTTTTTGTCCAGTTTGTTCATCGCCATAACCCCACATCTAAAATATGATGTTGTCATGTTAGATGTGTTTGCTTTTTTAAAGATGGGACTTCCAGAGATTCAACTTTCCTGGCTCCCTCCTCCTACGGGTTCTTTATGAGGACGCCTTGTCTAGCCTGTGTACTGTGTCAGCTTTTCATGCTGTGCTCTCAAACATTTTAGATTCCTTTGACATTTGATCCTAGGAGGCTGATTTCTACACGTAATCATTACTGTCGTCTGCTTTTCACCATTTGTGGTTGCCTAGGCAGAACACTTGGAGAAGGCAATGGCAACCCACTCCAGTACTCTTGTCATGGTGGACTGCAGTCCATGGGGTTGCTAAGGGTCGGACATGACTGAGCAACTTCACTTTCACTTTTCACTTTCATGCATTGGAGAAGGAAGTGGCAGCCCACTCCAGTGTTCTTGCCTGGAGAATCCCAGGGACGGCAGAGCCTGGTGGGCTGCCATCTACGGGGTCGCACAGAGTCGGACACGACTGAAGCGACTTAGCAGCAGCAGCAGCAGCAGCAAGCAGAACACTGCTGAAGAATGCTCCAGAACTGTCCTAAATTCACCCACCATCTCCTTTCAGCTGGCCCCTCTGGCTGCCCGCTTGTTTTTTTATTTACATCATTATTGTCCTGGTACTCTTCATGGTGTACACATTTTCAGCTTTTTGGTTCACCTTTAAACTCCTAATCTTGTGCTGAAACAGCCTCTCTACTCTCCAAGGGTGATCATTTCAACTTTAGGAAGAACTCTGAAGACATTTGATTAAAATCACCTTATCAATTCCTTTATCAGGTCACCCCTTTCCTCCATCTTAGAGCATTTTGGGGTTTTTGTGGGGGAGGGGGGCTGCATTGTGTCTTAATTGCAGAATCTTCATGGTGGAATTTGGGATCTGGTATGTGGGATCTTAGTTCTCTGACCAGGGATCAAGCTCACGTCCCCTGCATTGGGAGGTGGATTCTTAAGCACTGGACCACCAGGGAAGTCCCCATCGTAGGGCATTTTGGACCCTTTCTCCCATTGTTGCTTCCTGTTTCAAGAAGCAAAGTTGCCCATCCTCCCAGCCGAGGTCCCCATCTGGCCTCAGTCACGTCTGGGTCCACCTCAGTTTCCCCGTCGCTCGCTTGCATCCTGACTGGCTGTCTGCCGGTTCTTTCCCTTCTCTCTGCCAAGATGTGTTTTCTGCCTCTGTCCCCAAGACCAAGCTGTCTAGGCTCTCTCTCCACGACCCAGCCCCAAATCTTCTCTCCTGTTCACTTTCATTTCTGAAGCATGGGTGTGCTCTTTGTGTACCAAGTTCTCGCCTCCCACCGGGTTGTCCTGTAACATCCCCCAAACCCTGGCTTCTTTCTCAGTGATTTTCACTGTCTCCTGTCCCTCTTCCCAGTGACACTGAGTTAATTATCAAGTCCCATCGGTCCCTCTGTGCTCTGTCTCTAATAGCTTTCCTTTCCCACTCATGGTAACCATTAACTTCAAACAAACTCTCTGCTTTACACGATTACTACAGTCTCTTGATTGGTTCCTAATGTACCTTGCACAGCTCTGCGAAATTAATCTTGCTGAAATCTATTTCATCATTTGATTCTCCTGGTAAATTTCTCCAACCCCTTCACAAAAAAAGGGATAAAAATGGCCCAAAACTTTCATCTATTTTAAGACAGTCAACCATAGTAGTTCTACCATATGCCAAACAAATTCTGGAAAGAGCGCAAACTTCTTACAGCTTCCTTGTTTTGAACCTGTTCCCCAGCAAACTCTTTTTTGTAGCAGAAAATTCCCCTGTCTGCATTTTCCCACCTGATGCTTTCCCATCCATCTTGAGATGCTTCCCAATTCTACCCACCCGTGAACTCTCCACTCCTCCTTCTCTACCCTTTGCATTCAATAACTATTAATTTAACATCTGATATTTACCAGACACTGTTCCAAACGTGGGCTTCCCCAAAGGCTTGGCAGTAAAGAATCCATCTACAATTCGGGAGACATGGGTTTGATCCCTAGGTCGGGAAGATCCCCTGGACAAGGAAAAGGCAATCCATTCCAGTATTCTTGCCTGGAAAATCCCATGGACAGAGGAGCCTGGCAGGCTACAGTCCATGAGGTCACAAAGAGTCGGACTCTTGAAGTAGAGCCCTGAGTGGTGCCAGAGGGAGCCCTGAGGATGTCTGGTGGGAGGGTGTGGTCGGGGGAAGAGGGGCAAACACGGATGCTTGGATTGCTCAGAACCAGTGAGGGGGCCAGTGTGACTGATGTGAAGGTTATTAAGGGTTTATAACTGAAGGAGTAAGTGCTGAGAGGTGAGTCTGGGTGATGAGGGCCAGACTCCGAGGAGTCTTGAATGCCATTGCTAGGATTTTGCCTTTTACTCCAAATGACACCAGAAGCCATCAGGGGGTTTCGAGCAACGGACACATCTTCTGCTTCCATTTAGAACAGCCACTCTGGCTCTTGTGCTGAGAATATACTAACAGGCAAAACGGAATTGGCGAGCCCATCTGCAGGGAAGGAATGGAGACTCAGACATGGAGAATGGACATGTGGACGCTGCGGGGGAAGGAGAGAGTGGGACGAAAGGAGAATGTAGCTGGCTTTGTGATGACCTGGAGAGGTGGGGCGGGCGCAGGCTCAAGAGAGAGGTGATACATGTACAATTATGGCTGATTTGCGTTGTTGTGTGGCAGAAACCAACACAACATTGTAAAGCAGTTTTCCCCCAATTAAAAGTAAATTAAAAAAAAAAAATGGAGGCGCTGGGAACCAGTCAGATAGGAAGATGGAGGCAGTTTGGACTAGGATAGAGGTAGCGGAGGGGGTGAAGTGTGGCCAAATTCCACTAATATTTTGAAGGCACAGTCCTAGCCACCCAGCACTCAGGTGGTCACCCTACCATTCTGCAAGCTCACCGCCCTCGACGCGAAAACAAGCCTGTCCTGACTGTTTCTTTTTCTCCCCTATTACAGGCCACTATGTCCATGGCATTTGTATATATGGAAACGGAGACTTAAAGTGGTTGATTAATTCTTCAAGCCTCTTTGCAAACAAGTTTGAGCTCACTGCGTACCCCCTCACTGTGGAATGCCTGGAACTGAGGCTTCGAGAAAGAACCCTGAATCAGAGTGAAATTGCGATACAGCCCAGCTGGTATTTCTGATCCACTGCCACTCGATGTCTGAAGGGAAATCGCCTCTGGGAAGGAGAGCCTTTCTTTGGGCGAAAAACTTTGCCTGGGTTATGTGAACAGTCTCAAAGGTTATAGCTTCAGGACCTGACTACATAATTACATGTCAAAATGTCCGCTAGACACTGTGAAATGTGCTGTCAGGATGCTTGCACAGTGATACTGGCCCTTAGGCCACTCTGACAGTTTCTTGAGGTTCACTGCTCTTTCAGGCTCATGTCCTGATCTGTGATAAATTAAACTGTCGTCAGATCTCTGCATCAGATCCTCATCGTAGACAAATGTTCTCATGAAAAGGAGATTGGTAGATAATACTATCTAGGGAAATAAGAATCAAGTTTCTCTGAGGAAGGAATCTTTTATCACACATCTGTAGCCTCACATGAATGGACTCCCCCTGCTTTTTGCTTAGCTGCATGTCGGCATACAAATTGCTTTCTGCGGAACTCTCCAATCTCCTTTAGAACTTGAGCTGCTAGAACTGAGAACTCGGTCTTGTTCCTGAGTTTCAACAGTAGCATTTTCAAATTTCCTGTGCCTACAGTGGTTTTTTTTTTTTTTTTTACATTCTTTACGTTCTGTATAGAATGTAAAGTCATTCACAGGAGACCAAATTTAAGACAGCAGTCACTGCCTGCTACTTCAGTAAAAGATCCTCAGGTAGTTCGCTTCTTGAATATCTGTCGGAGTGTCCTCTGATTCCCTCGTCCATCATTTTCCATTGAGAACATGGAAGAGTTCTCGATGAATGAAGATATTTCAAGAGGGGAAGTGCTATTGCATGCGCTTGACTATTTCAGGGTAAATCACTTCCCTTTTTTGCCTCCACCCCCACCAAAGTGGGGCTTCCCCAGTAACTCACTGGTGAAGAATCTGCCTGCGATGCAGGAGACACGGGAGATCCGGATTCAATCCCTGGGTCGGGAAGATCCGCTGGAGAAGGAAATGGCTACCCACTTCAGTATTCTTGCCTGGAGAATCCCATGGACAGAGAAGCCTGGTGGGCTATTGTCCATGGGGTCACAAAGAGTCAGACAGGACTGAAGCGACTAAGCATGCACATACCTCTGAAGTGATCTTACCTGCAAAACGGAGACCAAATTCTATCCCATGAGCCTTTAAGGAGTCCACAGTGTTCTCTGGGTAACTTTGCAGTGCCTGTGGGGGTCATAGGAGTGCCTGGATTTTTAAAAGCTTCCAATTGTGGGAGAGCCTCTTTGTCACTTATCCTTTGTCCCATTCATCCATCCAGTCCATCAGTAAGTATTTCTTTGGTGTCTATTATACACCAGACACATGCAGAGACAAGAAGAAGTGAGAAGCTTTTTCACTCTGAAAATCTTGGCAATAATGCCAACATTGGAAAGAGAATCTTCTAGAACTCCCGAGAATCTCACAGAATGTATCATCCCCCCGGCTCCGGCCACCCCACAAGGCATGTGGAACTCCCCTGACCAGGGATCAAACCCACGGCCCCTGCAGTGAAAGTGCGGAATCCTAACCACTAGACCACCAGGGAGTGGCTGTATACAACCAGAGTGGTTGTATTTTAACACATTCATGGTGGGCTTATGGATTGTCATATCAGGCCCCAGATATCACCAATTACAAAGTGAGGCCTAAATCAATAATGAGAATATTCCGAAGAGAGAAGGGAGGGAGAAGACAGAGGCCACAGTGATTGTTTTCTAGGCATCCTGCTTTCTCTTTTACATCTCAGGGCATTCAGATCTCACAATGCTCTTGCAAAACTCATACAATTACCAATTACCCCCATCTTGCAGATGAAGTGACTGAGGCTTAGAGAGGTTGTTAGTAAGCATGAGGAAACGTGTTCTCTGAGAATCAGGCTTCTCTTACTGGTCTCCTTAGTTCATTTCCTAAGGTGGAGCATCTCAAGAAGGTGAAGTGAAGCCATATTTAGCATCCCAGAATGGTCTCAGTCCTGTCACGTCAGAAAAATGTGAAGTCTCCTTTTGTACTCTTTCCAGTTCCTTGATAGTTATTTATTCTAATGAAAAACCGCAACTATAACTAATGATACATTTAATCCATGCAATGTTACTTTTTCTGCAATTGTGCCTGTTGAATGTTAATCATTTTTAACTTAAGAAAGCCCTTAATCATATTTAATGACCTTGAATTTAATGACTTTTAATGATTTCGAAGTAAAATCTGTCTTTTTTCCTGTTGCCGAGAGAGATGGAAGTGCACCTGGTGATGAAAAGTCAAGGGGTAGGGAACACACCCAGAGCTAAAGGCAGAATTTAAAATCACCTTTTTTTTTTTTAACTTACATCACACCACTTGAGAAGAGGAATGCTTTACACTGGATCTTTCTCTTGTAGAAGAAGAAATCTTTTGGAATAGAAGATGTTTACAGGTCTGTTGTTGGTCATTTGTTCTGTGTCTTAAATTACTTTAATGTTGGGAGAGTTTAATGTTTGGACTAGTGGGTTTCTGCGGGCCCATGGAGATGCCCTGAAAATTTTGTTTTTGATGATGTTCCATGTTGTTTTCTTGGAAATAAATTAATATATTGTTTTCCACACTGAGGACTGTTGTACAGCTTTATTTGATTGGTATTTAACAAGCCGATCCTCCCAGCACTGCCTTTCTTATGAAATTTTGTTTGGCTTCGTCGGGTCTTGTTGCAGCCGGCGGGACCTTTTACTGTGGCTCCGGGACTGAGTAGCCGTGGCACGTGGGCTCACCGCAGCAGGGCACCTGGGATCTTAGTTCCCCAGCCACGGATCGAGCCCACGCCCCTGACAGTGCAAGGCGGATTCCTAAGCGCTGGACCACCAGGGATGTCACCCTCCTAGCATTTTCTAAAAGTACACAAGTAAATACATTCATGCAAACATATACCTGTCTAAAAATGCCCATCCCACTGAAAAATAATGAAGCTTTCCCTTTGTGGAGTACTGGAGAGCATAACTGGGAATGATAGAGATGAGAATACAAAGGAAGCTCAGTTTCATTTCAATCGGGATTTTAAATTCAAAATCTGAGGCAGGAGGAAGTTATCTCCTATATATGCCTCCTTTATTTATTTATTTTTTAAAATCAAGATAACAATTTAGGAAAAAGACATGTTGATATTATCTTAATTATTCAACCATCAAATGCCAAAGTTTCTGAGCAGTCTTTCAGTGCTGTTTGGGTAAATGAATATTTCCTCCACTAGACACATGGAAAATGATAGAAATACTAAGGAAAATAACTCATCTAAACAATATCTGATGCACCATTTTTTAATGCATAATATTTTTAAACTAAAGTGAAAAATATTTCAAACTACAAAAACAAAAATATGTGCTCATAAAAAATATTTTGTGGTTTGAAAAATATTTAAAGCTACAAAAACAAAAATATGTGCTGTATATCATAGGAAATACATAAATCAACTATAAAAGTAAATAAAATAAAATACATAAATATATTTTCTAAATAAGTATTTCCTAAAAATAGAAAATACATAAACCCCAAAATAAATACAAATATTTTCTAAAAATAGAAAATACACAAATCAACTCCAATACTTTGGCCACCTGATGTGAAGAGCTAACTCATTGGAAAGGACCCTAATGCTGGGAAACATTGAGGGCAGGAGGAGAAGGGACGAATAGGGATGAGATGGTTAGATGGCATCATTGACTCAGTGGATATGAGTTTGAGCAAACTCTGGGAGTTGGTGATGGACGGGGAGGCCTGGCGTGCTGCGGCCCATGGGGTCGAAAAGCGTCGGGCATGACTAAGTGACTGAACAACAAATCAACTATACGTCAATAAAAATTTTTAAACATGATTTAAATCAAGCTAATAAGTTAAAAGATAGAATACAGAAGGATATAGGATAAAAAATGAATTAATGCAGAAGGATATAGGATAAAAAGTGAACTCCTTTCTCCAGAAGGATCATTCTTTGGCGTCACTGTCTTTTCAGTATGGTAATATACACTCAGATATCCTAGGGCAGTGCTGTCCAAAAGAATCTCTGCCATGCTGGGAACGTTCTATATCTGCACTCTCCAAGAGAGTAACACTCATACTAGCTATTGGGCACTTGAAATGTGGCCAGTTTGACTCAGGAAATGTTACTTATTTTATGTGACTAGTGGCTGTTGTACTGCACAGTTCTATAGCTACACAACCATTATGTACCTGTGCTTATTATACAGTGGAAATACAAAGACACACAGCCTGGCTTTTTTTTTTTTTTTTAGAGTTGATTATATAGATACATAATAGAATTACAGCTTTTTGTAACTTGCTTTTTTGAGCCCTTCAAAACTAAACTATTTTTAAAATAGTTCTTCTTTTTTTTACTTTCTGGTTACACCATGCAGCTTAGATCCTTGCTGAGGGATCAAACCCACACCCGCTACAGTGGAAGTGTGGCATTTTAACCCCTGGATGGCCAGGGAAGTCCCACATGGTGAGATTTTAGGCTAGCAGTCTGTGCCAAGTGGGAAATGGGAGCCAAGATCCATGAGAACAGACTAAGCAAATAACTGGAGTTTGGGAACACTCTAGTCTTCCAGATCGGTCATGCCAGAACTACACATTTTCTGTTATGACTGCTCCCTCTTCTGGTCAGGATGGCTGAGGTCAAGCCAATGGGAAAGACACTGGAGGTCACGCTCCCAAGGCCAAGTTCTGACCTTAGCAAGAGGTCTGCCAGTGATGGCTCTGGGAGGAGGAGGAAGGCAAAGAGATGATGCTGACCGTGCTCACTTTTCAACACCGACAAGGTTTGAACGTGGTGGCCTTCCACAGTGGCTGTCGGGAAGGTTAACTGGGGTGAGTCCTGCTGGGAGCCCAGGAAGTCTGACCTATATCTTGGGAAAGATCCTGGGGGCTGTAGTAGACAAGAGGGCTGAATGGTCTAAAAGGGATTTCCCAGGGGGCGCTAGTAAAGAATCCGCTTGCCAGTGCAGGAGATAGCAGAGACACGGGCTCAGTCTCTGGATTGGGACGATCCCCTGGAGAAGGAAATAACAACCCACTCCAGTATTCTTGCCTGGAGAATCCCATGGACAGAGGAGCCTGGTGGGCCTCGGTTCATGGGGTCACAAAGTTCAGTTCAGTTCAGTTCAGTCGCTCAGTCGTGTTCGACTCTTTGCGACCCCATGAATCGCAGCACACCAGGCCTCCCTGTCCAACACCAACTCCCGGAGCCCACCCAAACTCATGTCCATTGAGTCGGTGATGCCATCCAACCATCTCATCCTCTGTTGTCCCCTTCTCCTCCTGCCCCCAATCTGCCCCCAAAGCATCAGGGTCTTTTCAAATGAGTCAGCTCTTCGCATCAGGTGGCCAAAGTATTGAAGTTTCAGCTTCAGCATCAGTCCTTCCAATGAACACCCAGGACTGATCTCCTTTAGGATGGACTGCTTGGATCTCCTTGCAGTCCAAGGGACTCTCAAGGGTCTTCTCCAACACCACAGTTCAAAAGCATCAATTCTTCGGCGCTCTGCTTTCTTTATAGTCCAACTCTCACATCCATACATGACCACTGGTAAACCATAGCCTTGACCAAACGGACCTTTGTCGGCAAAGTAATGCCTCTGCTTTTTAATACGCTATCTAGGTTGGTCATAACTTTCCTTCCAAGGAGTAAGTGTCTTTTAATTTCATGGCTGCAATCACCATCTGCAGGGATTTTGGAGCTCCCAAAAATAAAGTCAGTCACTCTTTCCACTGTTTCCCCATCTATTTGCCATGAGGTGATGGGATCAGATGCCATGATCTTAGTTTTCTGAATGTTGAGCTTTAAGCCAACTTTTTCACTCTCCTCTTTCACTTTCATCAAGAGGCTTTTTAGTTCCTCTTCACTTTTTGCCATAAGGGTGGTGTCATCTGCATATCTGAGGTTATTGATATTTCTCCCGGCAATCTTGATTCCAGCTTGTGCTTCCTCCAGCCCAGCATTTCTCATGAAACAAAGAGTTGGACACAATTGAGAGCGTGCACACAGACACAGACACACACACCAGGTTCTTCCTAAAAGAACCAAAATTCAGAAACCAACAGCCAGCGTTGTGTGTCAAATGTAAAAGTGAGCCTCAAGCATGTGATTAGGAGTTGAGGCTATTAGGTGAGCCACTGAAAAAGTGAGTCAAAATGAAAGTGAATTATTTATGAGCTTCGGGCTTTTTATTTCCATTAAAGTGAATGATCAGTGAACTTCAGGGCATCAACTGTACAGAAGGCAAAATGGAAAGTTTCTGATGACTTTCCAAACTGTCTTATTTTAAAAAACTTTATAGACTTCAGAGAAAAGTCGCCAACATGGTATAAAGAATTTGTGTAGACCTTTCACTCAACATCTAAGGTTAACGTCTTACAAAATCAAAGTTGAGTAATCAAAACCAGTTTAGTTTGGTTTTTAATTCTGTGCTGGCTGTGTGTTGAGGGTTGGAGCTGGGTGACTTTTAACCTTTGTACCAGACAGACCAGATGGGTAAGGCGTGTCCCAGTAACATGGAGTGCCTTCACATTAAACCAAATGATGGAAACAGACTGGACTGGCCTCAAATACCATTTCCTGATGAAGATGATACTATGGACAGGAAAGGTCTGGACTTCCCTGGTGGTCCAGTGGTTAAGAATCCGCCTGCCAGTGCAGGGGACATGGGTTCGATCCCTGGTCCTGGAAGATCCCACATTCTGAAGGGCGCCTACTGAAGCCCTTGCGCCTGGGAGCCTGTGCTCTGCAACAAGAGAGTAGCCCCACTTGCCATCACTAGAGAAAGCCCAGGTGCAACGAAGACCCAGTGCAGCTGTAGATAAGTAATGTTTTAATTTAATTTAAAAAAGAGAAAAGGACAAGTCTGTATTCTTTATCTAGAGTATGGGAATGTAATAAAAGAAAAGGATGGGGAACAGAGCAAATCCACAGCCAGAACACGAAGAAACCAGTGGGGAAAGCAGCAGGGTGAAACAGTAAACAGTGTCCTGCAGATCGCAATTCGCTGGCTGGGAAACTCTAGATTCATTCCCTTAGGCTCTGACTAAGTAGGTGTAATGGGTCGTGAAGGGCGAGGGGGGAAAGTGCTGATGACTGCCAGGGCCACAGATTGAAGCTTTGGTTCTTGACGGGTATCTCTGAGTAGGCGAGGCTTGACAACCCACGATCAGCACTCCACGGAGGCTTTCACAAAGGACCCAGCAGGAAGCCTCTGAATTAGACTTTCCACCTGCATGGCTGGCTGTGTATCAGATGACTCCGTGGAAGAATGATGGTTTAAAAAGTAACCACAGCCCTTAACAGATTCTTTGGGGATGACGGCTACAAAAAGCAACGGAGTGACTTAAATCTGAACAGGCTGGTAGAGAAATACTTTGAAGGCACAGGAAACTTACTGATGCTGTAGTCATTACCACCTATGGAAATTTTCCTGTCTTGGTAGGGAATCAAGACATTTTTCCAAGGGGTGGGGGTCATCTAGGCTAATGCCATTTAAAAAGCTTCCACCAATATAAAATGGGGGTAAAGAAATATTGCTGTGTTTATGTAGGATTTTTTTGAGCTGGAAGCTTCCACTCATTTCTTCATATATATATATATATATGTATATATGTACATTTAATTTTAGTTATTTGGGCTGTGCAGGGTCTTCTTGCTGCATGGGCTTTTCTCTAGTTTCAGGCACTGGGGGCTACGATCTAGCTGCAGTGAGTGGGCTTCTCCCTGCGGAGGCTTCTCTTGTTGCGGAACACGGGCTCCAGGGCACGCAGCCTTCAGTAGTGGCGGCTCCCCGGCTCTAGCGTGTAAGCTCAGTAATTGTGGCACACAGGCTTAGTGGGTCCGCAGTATACGGGATCTTCCCAGACCAGGGATTGAACCCATGTCTCCTGCATTGGCAGGCGGATTCTTTACCACTGAGCTATCAAGCAAGCCCCCTGTATTTTTTCTTTTTTATGGCTGCACCACAAGGCTTGTAGGCTTTTAGTTCCCCAACCAGGGACCAAACCCAGGCCCTAGCAGTGAAAGCACGGAGTTCTAACCACTGGACCGCCAGGGAATTCCCTAGACATGTTTTTAAAACAATTGCCTTTTTATTTGTATGTAAGATAGATGTCAGTGAAACAAACTGGCTATTTCTTGACAACGAATACGCAAGAAAACATGGATTTGTGGTCACTTTTCTGACGACAAATATTGACTCTCGAAATTCAAATTTTTGCCGTGTTGATTTGTGTCTTTGTCACACCCCTGTCAGATCATAGTGTAATCTTTTTGTGTGCTCGGCTGTGTCCGACTCCTCGTGGCCCCGTGGACTGCAGCCCCCAGGCTCCTCGGTATGTGGGATTCTCTGGGCTGGCGTGGAAAACAGGATCAACTCTAGGGGCTGGGCCCCCTGCAGGTCTCCCCTGGGATCACTCCTGGGGGTACAGTCAGCGGACAGTCCGAGATGTCAGGTGAGTGAGGCTGTGTGCTGGCTCTTTACCGGGGCACCCCGGTTCCCTTCCACACGACCTCTCATCTTTAGGTTTGAGTGGGTTTCTTGGCATGATGGCGGAAGTGCTCCGCAAGAGTAAAACCCCAGAGTGAAAGTGCTCATCAACCCGCGCACTGAAGCTGCAGAATGGTGTCTCGGGGGTGCACGTGCTCTGTCTCAGAAGGCTGACAGGCTGCTTTGACCAAGCACACTTTTTCCATGCTGAGGACTCAACTGTCTTCTATCATCTAGTGCTCTCATAGGAGAGCCTGAGGGTCTGGCGATGGAGATCAAACATCTAGTTCTCATCTACGTTTTGCTACACCAGATGCAGGTGAGGAGGCTTGCAGTGTTTGTGAACAGAGGAAAGCAGCGAATCATTCTACATATCAGAGTAGGTAATGCCACCATCGGTTTAGGCCAGGCCCATGGCATGTTACATCCATTACCTTCTTTCTTCATGCAGTTGTATATAGTTGATTTACAATGTTGTTTCATAGTTGATTTACAATTGAAATATAGTTGCTTCACAATGTTGTTTTAGGACACCTATTTTCAAATGCCTTACAGCGCAGCCTGGTCTAACTTGATAGTTCTGTGACCTCTCTTCCCTGCTGTTACTGTTTAGTTGCTAACTCTTGTCTGACTCTTTTGTGAACCCCATGGACTATAGCCCGGAAGGCTGCTCTGTCCCTGAGATTTCCCAGGCAAGAGTACTGGAGTGGGTTGTCATTTCCTTCTCCAGGGGATCTTCCCCGCCCGGGGATGGAACCTGAGCCTCCTGCGGTGGCAGGAGGATTCTTTAACCAGAGTCACCCAGGAAGCTGGATGTGGCCCCTGCTGACACCCACATAATACAACGCACTTCCAGAAATGAACGCGCTGGTCAAGTTTATTTACATTACATTCTCTCATCTCAATCAGGTTTAAGTCCTGGGAATCTGTATTTACATACACAATCCAGTGCCTTCCTCGGATAACTTTTTTTTAAAACAGAAACAAGACACAATCTATGTTAGTTGGGTAGCTTAATAAGCATCTTGCTCTTGGGGGGTCTTGTCTGGGATTTCTGAGTGCACTGTATCGAGAGGCTGCCAGTGGCAATTCAGGAGAGATTGGTAGAGCTCTTCACTTTTCACCATAAACTCTTTGTTGAGTTCCTCAATATTCAAGTGGAGATTTGGATCTGCAGAAGCCAATAATACATACGGGAAAAAAATAAGAGTTTTACAGGACACATATTAGAAATGGTTTAAAACCAGAGCTTTTAAAAAACATCAGCAGGAAATAGTGCAGATATTTAATATTAATTTTTTAAATTGCATGTTTTTGATAAGACTTTAAAAATAGAAACTGAAGCTATAGAAGCGGTGCTACCGGATTCAATGAGTAGATGATGGGAGAAATGGAGAGAATGGACAGAATTGAGAGAGAATTTGGAGACGAGTGGACAGTATTCAGAAATGTATTCAACTTGGAGCAGAAGAGAGAGAAGGGATGGGGCGGGGGGGGGGGTGGGGGGCAAGTCTTGGGTTTCTAGCATGAGGACCTGGGTGGATATGACACCAAAGAGTAAGCCAGGACCAGATCCCTAAGACAGGGCTCTATGAAAAATAACATGCTGCTTTATCTGTTCAGTTAACAGACTGATAGAAATGAAGAAATGGTTTATAACAATTAATTCAGAAACCGAGGGAGGGAGACCTACGTTGGAACTTTCCAGTAGGATCTCTCAGTTTATAGCCAGCTAAGTGAATGAGGGACCTGAAAAAAGGGTAAGTTTTGTTTTTAACTAATAATAAGGCTTCTGTTACCTTCGAGTGAATCTTCATCTTGGTTTTCAGCGAGAGGTGTGGTTTCCTACAATGAAAATCAGTATGTTAAAAAAATTTTTTTTTACTTAAAGGGTTGCTCTTGACACACTTTCCTGGAAGAATTTAGCTCTCAAAAAGAGTATCTACAACACTAAAATCCCTTTCAATCAAACTTTATTTTGAATTTTGATTAAAAGAACCTTCATAGGGACTTCCTTGGTGGTCCAGCGGTTAAGAATTTGCCTTGCAATACAGAGGACGCAAGTTCAATCCCTGGTTGAGGAACTAAGATCCCACTTGTCAAGGAGCAACTAAGCTCCTGTGACACAGCTGGAAAATCTGTGCTAGATCCTGTGTACTGCAACTAAGACCCGATGCAATCAAATAAGTACAAATTTTTTAAAAAATAAATAAATAAAAGAACCTTAAGGGAGATCCCTGGAGGTCCAGTGGCTAAGACTCTGTGTTCCCAATGCAAGGGATTAGGGGTCAATCCCTGGTCGGGGGAACTAGACTCCATATGCTGCAACTAAGACACGGCACAGACAAATAAATAAAATTTTTTTTAAGTCCTATTAAAAAAAAAAGAAATCTACAACACTAAACTCCCTCTTGAGCAAGCTTTTGACTTTTGATTAAAAGATTTGTCATTTAAATGACAAAATACTGCAATCATGCAACAGGTGAGCTGAGCCCGTAGAAGAAAACCCACACAGGAGGAGCACTGGTCAGAGGCGCCTGCCTTCTCTGCAGTTTCAGGGATCTAAGAGGCCCCCTGGAGTCTGGGGGGAGGGACCAGATAGCAGGGACCCTGGCATCAGACTCCACAATCCCAGCACCCACATCTGCACCTGGAGCTCTGCCATTCCTGCCAGGTGACAATCTGCATGTCATGACAATCTGAAGTCTCCATGGGCACATACCCCTCGTGGCCTTCCAATCCCATCCCAACCCAGCTAAGGACCAGACGGTAGCTGTTGAGGAAACGCAGAGGCTACAGAAAAGAAGACTAATTCATCGTCTTCTTAGGTAAGGAAGGCCATAAACTCCAGAAGCACTCCCCAGACAGATCTTGGTCAGTTACTCCAGACTCGCGGGCTCTCCAGGGGCAGTGTAACTTATTACCCTTCCTCTCTACAGGCACCGGTGGCTCAGCGGTAAAGAATCTGCCCACTATGCAGGACACCTGGGTCAGGAAGATCCCCTGGTGGAGGAAATGGCAACCCACTCCAGTATTCTTGCCGGGAGAACCCCATGGATGGAGGAGCCTGGTGGGCTACAGTCCACGGGGTCGCAAAGAGTTGGACATGACTGAGCGACTTCACTTTCACTTTCTCCAGGGCATGGAGAAAGGAAAAAGATGTCCCCATACCGGACACGCAAACAATGCAGAATCCATGCCAGGGAGAGATACCTTGGGTGGAAGCGAAGTCTCAGCCGGGTAAACAGAGGTCTCACACACAGAATAAAGGTTGGGTCCATTTCTACCCGCCCCGCAGCCAGAGCTGTAGCCAGGAGGATAACCGCTCTGCTGTTGTTCATACCAGCTGCCAAAGGGGTGAGGCTGGCAGGACGGGAAGTCTGGCTTCACTCTAAGAGCAGTGGGGAGAAGAGAGGAAGGACATCAACAGTCAAGGCAGAATCGCTCAAAGCCCCGGGACACGATTCTTCTTTCTCCAAGTAAGGAGGATACCTGCTTTCACTGTTTTAAGAACATCTATTTTCAAAGCGGTAGTTTGTCAATTGCTAAACTGTGTTAAGAAACAGAACGCTATCAGCCTTTTCACTCAGAACAGGAAAAACCGGCACACCTTTGCCAATACCAGTAATAAGCATCCTGCTGAGTTGAGCCCAAACCTGCACAACTCTCCTGTCCAGCCATTTATCCAGACCCTTGATAAAATGACTGGAAATCCAGTTTTCACCCCCGCATCAAAGATCCCAGCCCCTGGTCTAAACCCTCTCAAGCCCACAAATAGCACTTCCAGCTGCCTCAGAAATAGGAAATACCTGCAGTGATCATTCCTGGCAGGTAGTTAATTCCTTGACTTTCAGGTGGGTTAAGAAGTGGGTGGGACGGGCAAGTATTGGAGACGAGTATTGGGACGAGGAGAGTACTGGAGTCACCTGGAGGAGCCCCTGCAAACTGTGGGGTGGGCTTTGAGCTGCCTGCCTCCTCCCCCAGTGGTCGGACCCCCGGGAAGCCGTCAGAAAGGGGAGGTTGGGAGAGTGGGGCAGACAGGGAGTGTGTGGTGGGCAACTGTGAGGCACACAGAAGTCTCCAGCCCCCGCACAATAATGTGTAAGGGAGTCACTTTTAATCAAAAGTCATTAGTCACTTTTAATTAAAAGCTTAAGATGAAGACTACAACTTGATGTTTCTCTCCTCAGTTATCTGCAAAGAATGACTACTGGAATCAGCATCGAGTGGGCTTTTCTTTAAACACCCACTGCAGGCTGAAATCATCATCCTAACCAGCTGGTGGGAATAAGTGCTCTCTCTCACACACACACCCCCTAACCAACACACAACACACCCCTTAACCAGCTGGTGGGAAGAAGTGCTCTCTCTCTCTCATACACACACACCCTAACCACAGAAGTGGTGCTATCTCACACTCACACTCACACACACACACACACACACACACCCATAACTTAATGCAAGTATGGAAAAATTTTCAAATAAATATTTCTGTAATTTAGTAGTTTTTTTAAAAGCACAACAATCTGCTTCCTAAACTTTAAGGCCCATTCAAATTACCTGAGCGTGTTTACAATGTGGGTTTGAATTCCATCTGGAGGGGAGCCTGAGGTTCTGCCAGTTTCCACGCACTTTGAGCAGCAAGTCTACACAAAATGTCAAAACTTAAGAAAATAACTTTTGAGTCTAAACAGGGACACACAGAGCCTGGCCATTTCCTTGTAGCTTCTAATACTAGTCCACTATTCAAATGCTTGTGTGCGTGCTAAGATCGCTTCAGTTGTGTCTGACTCTTTGTGACTCTCTGGACTGTAGCCCACCAGGCTCCTCTGTCCATGGGATTCTCCAGGCAATACTGGAATGCATCGCCATGCCTTCCTCCAGGGGATCTTCCTGACCCAGGAATTGAACCCACGTCTCTTACGTCTCCCACATTGGCAGGTGGGTTCTTTACCACTAGCACCACCTGGGAAGCCCCATTCAAATGTTTAGTTTCTATTTACCTGTAATGTGAAAAATAATCATCATGATGAATTCTAATCGTTCAACCATTCACCCATCATTTACCGAGCCCCTCCTATACACAACGCAGGTGCCTGGCACTGGTGCCACAGTGGAGCTTATACCCTAGTAATTTAATCTCCCTGTGTGTTCAAGGGAGATGTTATTGATTAGCAGCTGTGCACACAACAGTTAGGGGCCACCCAATATCTGGTTTCCTTTTCTTTCTTAATAATAGAACCTTGATTTTATTTGGAAGTAGCAATGTACCTTGTGGCCAGGTGGCCAAAGTCTAGCTAATAAGATGTAAACAGCACTATCACAAGGGGCTTGAGGAAAGCTTCGTGGGCAGAGGGAGTCTGCTTAGCTGGAAGGTGTTTTTTGTTGCTGTTTTCTATCCTTCTCACTTCCAAATAGGAAAAGGAGTGCATCAAGGCTGCCTATTGTCACCCTGCTTATTTAACTTATATGAAGAGTACATCATGAGAAACGCTGGGCTGGAAGAAGCACAAGCTGGAATCAAGATTGCCGGGAGAAATATCAATAACCTCAGATATGCAGATGACACCACCCTTATGGCAGAAAGTGAAGACGAACTAAAAAGCCTCTTGATGAAAGTGAAAGAGGAGAGTGAAAAAGTTGGCTTAAAGCTCATCATTCAGAAAACTAAGATCATGGCATCTGGTCCCATCACCTCATGGCAAATAGATGGGGAGACAGTAGAAACAGTGTCAGACTTTATTTTTGGAAGCTCCAAAATCCCTGCAGATGGTGATTGCAGCCATGGAATTAAAAGACACTTACTCCTTGGAAGGAAAGTTATGACCAACCTAGATAGCGTATTAAAAAGCAGGGACATTACTTTGCCGACAAAGGTCCGTTTGGTCAAGGCTATGGTTTTTCCAGTGGTCATGTATGGATGTGAGAGTTGGACTGTGAAGAAAGCAGAGCGCCGAAGAATTGATGCTTTTGAACTGTGGTGTTGGAGAAGACCCTTGAGAGTCCCTTGGACTGCAAGGAGATCCAAGCAGTCATCCTAAAGATCAGTCCTGGGTGTTCATTGGAAGGACTGATGCTGAAGCTGAAACTCCAATCCGTTGGCCACCTCATGCGAAGAGTTGACTCGTTGGAAAAGACCCTGATGCTGGACCAACCCGCCTCCAAAATCCTTTGTCTTAAGAAAGAAATCTCTTGTTTAAGCCACTGCTGTAAATTACATGAAATTAAAAATAATTCTTGGGGCTTCCATGATGGCTCAGGGCTAAAGAATCTGCCTGTAATGCCCGAGATGTGGGTTCAATCCCTGGGTCGGGAAGATCCCCTGGAGAAGGCTACCCACTCCAGTACTCTTGCCTGGAGAATCCCACGGACAGAGGAGCCTGGGGGACTACAGCCCACGGGGTCGCAGAGTCAAATACAACTGAGCAGAGCATAGCAGCAATGGGCACAGTTCACGAGAATTGGCGGCAAGGAGTGGAAATCTGAAACACTAAAAAATAGTAATTCCCTAAAGTTTTTTATACCATTTTGAAGGTTATTTTCCATTAACAGCTATTATAGCTATATTCCATGTTGTACAATACATCCTTGAGCCAATCCTACACCCAGCAGTCTGTGCCTCCCCTGCCCCCCGACCCCACCCAACACACACTGGTAACACCGGTTTGTTCTGTTTTCTGTGACCCTGCTTCTTTTTTTCTTTTTCTTTTTTGCTGTATTCAGTTTATTGTATTTTTTTAGAAAAAAAAAATTCTTAAATATTGTAGCAGCTTAGAAATCAAGCTTCATGTTATCAGTTAAGATTCTTTCAGAAAAGCATTATCTTTTCTCCTTCTCTTATTTTGGACTTTTTTAAAAAGGCAATGAGAATTTTGGCTGAGTGAGAGATGGAGCGGTTGTGGTAAAGGAACGTGGGAGCTGACCCTTCATGCTACGGTGGCAAGGAGGCTGGTATTTGCGAGGAAATCCGTAAGGCATGTGCACCCACCCAGGAAGATGGCAGGGGCCAGCTGCTACGAGCAAGACTCCAGCGATGAAGATGGACATTCAGGCAGAATTTTAGATGATGGTGACAAGGAAGAGTTCACAAACGTTCCTTTGATTTCTAACAGTCTCAAACGCAAACCTCCCATAGTTCACTTGGATTATTCTCATGAAGCAGGTGAAACAAATTTCTTTCAGGTCTGGGTCCAGGGAAAGTAGCCCACTTTCTCTGCCTCCCTGAGCTCTACATGCAGAGGAGACCAAAGTCCTCTGAGAATACAAGCACACGCAATCTCCGTAGTCACCAGATTTAACAGACTTACTACCTGTGACACTGTGAAGGGACGGTAACAGAGGAGCAACATTAGACTCACATGAGATTTCTAACAAGGCCGATTTCTCTCCACTGTATCGGCTTTTAGCTCCGTATATTGACCTTCTAACCACCCTCACCCACCCCGCAAAACGAAGACTGGCTTTTCTTCTTTAGCAAACCAAACAAAGCCAGGTGCTCACTAAATACTGGTTGAATGAATGAATAAATCAATGCCTGGCTCAAGTGCAAAAAGCTTTTCTATCAATAATCTAAATGCAAAACTAGAAGCCCCGTTGTGCTTTAGCGTTAAGCCCTATCGTGGAAGGGTTGGTGGTTTCTTGGCAATTACAGTTTTCTGAGAATGAGACTGAATGGCTTTTTCCACCCTGTATTTGGAAAGAGAACAGGAGGCTTGGCAGGAAGTATATGCTGTGTGAATCCATTTGAGCAGATATATATTGCGCTGTGTGTTTTTCTTTAGACAGAGAAAAACCACTTTTCTTCTTCGTTAAGAGACAACACTGGAGCCCAGGGAAGAGTGAAACACAGCGACACCAGGGTCTACTGCTACTGAGCTGTGTGGTTTTGAAAGAGTTCTGGACCCACTTCTCCATTTATATCCTCAGACCGGATTAGAGTATTTTAACTTTAGAGGCATTATCTTTTTGAAAATGTGATGAAATCCTATGAATGCTCTCTTCCATAAACATATATATACAATTTTGCATATAATTGCAGGGCATTCACAAGCCCCAAAACTTATCCATCGATTCTCCCCCATTAGGAGCCCCAGGACCAGATGCTCTAAGGTCTTCTAAGCTCTATGCCTGGCTCCACTAACTTTTTACAATTAAAAAAAAAATAAGAGGAGTAAACCATTTTATGTTTATGTTGCTTGCACTGTGGTTTTCACTCTATTCTACAAGTCTCCTGGTTGGAGCAAAAGACTTTCTTAAGCCACAAGGTTTTCTCTAAAATGTGACAGATACTCAACTTTACTCCAATAAAACAATTTAAAATAAAATGGGACAGATACTTAAGCAGGGAAAAGTGTGACAATCTATGTATCAGACTGTAATTGACAAGCATAGTAATAGATGCTATGATAATTACTGTTATCATGATATATTAAAATTAATTTCAAATGAATACTAATTCTTTTCAAACAGCATTTGAAATTTCACTGGGGTAATAAGGTGGGGCACCAGGGGGATTCCTGAAGCAACGAAATACATAAAGTACATGATTTTGAAACAATTTTATTCAGTGTTTCTTTTCTTTCTGCATGAGAGACTACCACTTCCTCCTAAATAAAGATATGCAAAGAGTCATATATTTAAAGAGAAAATGAAACTTCAAGAAATTTCCTCCTTACTTCATCCCATACCCAGAGGACACCCCTACAGCAATTCACACTCTGACTTAGTGGTTTTTTGATGAAAGAGCCACCAGAACAAGCAAGATAGAGGAAAAGAATTTAAAAAGTAAAACAATTTGTGACCAACTTAATAACTAGCACAAAATGAAGGAATTACAGCCGTATCTCTTTTCGTACTTCAATTTATTGTCCTTTACAGATCCAGCTTTTTTTTAAACACAAATCAAAAGTCTGTGGCAACTCTGCATAGAGCAAGTTTATCAGCACCATTTTCCCAACAGCATTTGATTCTTTTGCGTCCCTCTGTCATATTTTGGTAATTCTTAGAATATTTCAAACTTGATCATTATTAGTCTATTTTCTATGGCGAGCAGTGATCCCTGACGTTGCTACTAGGACTTGTTGAAGCCTCAAATGATAGTTAGCACTTTTTAACAATAAAATATTTTTCAATTAAAGACTATGCCTTTCTTAGACATAATGGTGAAAGTAAAAGTGGTTCCATCGAGTCCAACTCTTTGAGACTCCATGGAGTGTCCATGGAATTCTCCAGCTCAGAATGCTGGAGTGGGTGGCCTTTCCCTTCTCCAGGGGATTTTCCCAACCCAGGGATCGAACCCGGGTCTCCTGCATTGCAGGCGGATTCTTTACCAACTGAGCTATCAGGGAAGCCCAAGACATAGTGGGACTGCACACTTAACAGAGTGCAGTATAATATAAACCTAACATTGGGAAAGAAAGATTTTGTGTGACACGTTAATGGGAAGGTCTGGAAATGAACCTGCAATCTCTCTCACCTGTGCCTGTACTGTCAAACAATGAACACAGTTTTCAGGCGACTGAGAATGAGCCGGTATTTCAGTGCCTGAGGAGTCCCAACATTTATAGCGGCCAAAGCGCGCAGAAGGCTTTCCTTGTGCTGAAATGACAACCAAAATGAGCTCATTTGTTCAAGACCCAAACCAGCATCGATTAAAACAAACCTGAGTTGCACACGTACTGACGATTCATAACACCGGTGAACAGACGTCCTCAGAGACAAGAGCCTAAGCGCTATAGAACTGTACTACAGTCTGAAAAGGCGGGTTGAAAGGTCGACAGCAATGTATGTTTCAACCTCCTATCCGTCATATTCACCGGTAGGGTGCTTAGGAGGCTCATTTTACGCTCCGGGATTTACTCTGTTGGAAATCTGTACGAAGCTGTCCTTCCTGACAAGTCTCTGAAGCTCTGTATCGCACGAAAATCTCAAATCTAAACTAGGACTATCTGTGCTTTCATTGCGGCTCAGACAGTAAAGAATCTGCCTGCAAGGCGGGAGACCCGGGTTCGATCCCTGGGTCTGTAAGATCCCCTGGAGTAGGGAAAGGCTACGCACTGCAGTATTCTTGCCTGGAGAATCCCACGGACACAGGAGACGGGGCAAAGTCGGACACGACTGAGCGACTCATACTGGCTTTTATTGCCGTTTGACTTTGCAGCTAACTCGGGAAAGGTGGTGAAAAAAAATTAAATGAGATTCCCTTCCGGAAACTCACCAAGGACGACTAGACCCGTCATCTTCCAACCACTGTCTTTACTCCCCTCGAGTAAAGGGTCCTCGTCCTTCTCCTGAATGCGCCACAAGGTTGGCCGACGAGCCCTTAAGGTTTCGTCAAGCCATAAGCAAGAGGAAGGAAAGGTGCTCGGAGATTATGCGGCCCGGGTGGGAGCGCAGGAACCGGGCCCCTCCGATCGAGGCGAACCCTGAAGGCCACCCCTCCTCGCCCGGTTACAGAGAATGAGCCCGAGAAACGGCTTCCAGCACAACTAGGAGACGTAACTCTCTACCCGCCATCACAGCCTGGGATCCACAAACACGCACCACTCGGCTACGCTGGGCCCGCTCCCCGCCTCCCTCCCTGACCGGAAGTGCCCGCCCCTTCCGTAGACGCCCCGGAAACGGGGGCCTCCGCAGAGGCTGTCCCGCCCACTAGTCTCAGAAGTGCCTAGCGCAAGGCTCCCTCGAAAATGCTTGCTGGCGCCCAGGTTTCTTTCCTCCTTGAAATGGGCATCTTCGTCATGGGGCATCCTTCATTATTCCCTCCTTGGAAATTCCGCCTGATCGTCTATCCCGGAAACCAACCCCCGCCGCCGCCCCCCCCCCCCCCATGGATGCAGGCATCTAAAAGGCAGCCCCATGGGCCTGACGTAACTTGAGCGCCGACCCGGGAAGGACCCTCTTTTCCGTCGCATCCGCCTTCGTCACTTCCGCTCTGCGCTGCGCAGGGTTCGCTGAGAAGGAGACGCGTGAGCCCCTGGATGGAGCTGGTTGCTGGATGCTACGAGCAGGTCCTTTTTGGATTCGCTGTACACCCGGAGCCCGAGGCAGACGGCCACCACGAGGTGAGAGCCCGCGCCCGCAGGTTCCGCCGGTGGTGGGGCGGCGGGGCGTCAGGCCTTGTTCCCAGCGGCCTAGGTAAACAGCACCTCAGAGGAACACACTGTCTGCTGTTTTAGGGGTTCATCGATGAATGAAACTGAGAGACTTAGAGTATACTTAGAATATATAGAGAGAATGTATTTAGAACATATACTTAGCCTTTTGAAACATGGAGAAGGCATTTAGTAAGACGTGGTATCTGGCTTTTGTAGTGAACATTCTGACTACGGTGCACCAAGCAAGTTTGCGTTTCTGCAAACAGGCCAGTGAGCCGTCGATTATGAATTTAAGAGTCTTTCCCTTAAGTTGAAAGAACAGTTCGCTATTTCCCTGAGTTTCTGCCCTGGAATTTTAGCAAACTCTTCGCGCTGGATTCAGGTAAACGCTTCCTTGGTAAAATGACACCAGTTCATCATTGGGCCCTTCCAGTGGGAACCATTACTTGCAGTGAAGGTGCGAAGAACCCACCGGTATGGATTCTGCGTTGGAGAGCTTAACCATGTAGGAAGATGATGAGGAAGGCAAATAACGTAGAGAAAAGGTTACAGTAAAGTATGATAAGTATTGTGGGCTTCCCTGGGGGCTCAGTGGTAGACAAACCACCTGCCAGTGCAGGGGACGAGAGTTCAGTCTCTTGTGCAGGAAGGTCTGCTGGAGAAGGAAATGGCCACCCACTCCAGTATTCGTGCCTACAGATCCCTATAGAGCTTGTCCTGTTACAGTTCACGGGGTTGCAGAGTCTGACGCTACTGAACAACACCAAAAATGTTAAGTATTTTACTAAGTGTACGAATATAAAAGTTAAGTAAATTGGGAGTACTCAAACAGGTAGTTAGGAAATACCCAGAAATTTCTTACTAGAAATAAGATCAAATTTTTAGACCATTACTGTGTTTTCCCTCTAAAGGAATTCCTTAGATAATTTCCTAGAGATTATTGAGTACTTATTTATGAAGTAGTTGAGGTGTCAGTTTTGAATTAACAGAAAATTGGAAGTATGTAACTTAGCTAAATTGCTTTTGTTTATTTTGTTGTCTGCTCTGGTTATTCATCTGCCTCTGGTTGACAGGTGACATGTTCTGAATACTCAGAAGATGATGCTACTGATGGTGTTACTGTTTGTAATAATGGTGCTTTCCATGTTGCAGACATGTAGTCCTCACAGCAACCCCCTGAGGCAGATGAGGTTGTTCCCCTTTTACAGATGAGGATCCAGAAGTTGAGATAGGTTAAGCTGCTTGTTCAAGGCCACTAAGCTAATAATTGGCAGACCTGGGACTCACCTTTGAAGCTGTCTCTGATGCTTAAAGCTCTTTTTTTTTTTAAATTAGAGGAAGATTGCTGTACATTGTTGTCTTGGCTTCTGCCCTACAACACCGCAAGGCAGCTATAATTATACGAATATCCCTTCTCTCTTGAGCCTCCCTCCCCTCTCACTCAAAGCTCTTAACCATTAACCTTGGACTGCCTCTAAACCTAATCAGGAAGTAGCCCCGATGATGAATGTTCCTTCTGTAAGATGTCCAGACAAAGGTTATTCTCTGATTTATGGCCACAGCAGCCCCTCAGGAATGTTGCACCTTCACTCAAATGATTGACAGAAGGACTATCTTGCTGTCGTTTTTTTAGGAATTAGTTTATAACACTTCCTGAGTGTATTCGAACAAGTTTGGTGAATTTATTTCTTCCCTGGTTTATTTGTTTTGCTAATGCTTCATGATGCATCTCCTTTAATGGGGGTTGGGGTATGTATGTGTATTCAGCGGTCATTCTTTGCACTCAGCAAATCACATTCATTCAATCTGAGTGTTACATTGCAGCAATCATAGAGGTCTTGAGATCTCATTATTGGTCATTCTCTAGGGCTTATATTGGTATTAATGCAAATCCTATTTATTTTTCTTTATGGGCCTTCTCATTATATAGATACTTAACTCTGTGTGATACCATATTGTCTTGTCACTCCTACAGAATGATGCTTCGTTGGAATACGTGCTTTTGTTTCTTCTGTTCACTGCTCTGTGTATTTTGTTCACTGTGAAAAATGGTGCCAAGCACATAATAGTCATTCGGTATTTGAGTGAATGAATGATAGGGAGGCTCAGGGATAAGTAAACTTGCTCAGGAGTTAAGGGACTGGATGTCGCCCAGTCTTCGTCCGTACATGTGCTCAGTCGCTGGCCTGCTTTTTGTGACCCCGTGGGCTGTAGCCTGCTAGGTTCCTCTGTCCCGTGGATTTCCCAGGCAAGAACACTGGAGTGGATTGCCGTTTTCTCCTCCAGGAGGTCTTCCTGACCTGGGGGTTAAGCCCACATCCCCTGCACGGGCAGGTGGAGTCTTCACTGCTGAGCCACTTGGGACGCTCCAGCCCAGTCTTCCTAGTTGTTTTTAAAGTCACGGCGTTCAGTGTTGCCTTCTCGTTCTCTTACTGTCCCTGCTTTGTTCAGTTCTCTGAACCTGCCTGTCACTGCGTCGTCTCTTCTCCACTCGTAGAATCCATTCAGTTTTCATGGATTGTGAAGCCACTTCCCTCTCTGTAGAGAACTGTGATGTGATCGTGGCGCTGCACTGACCATGTGCTTTTCTCTTCAGAAATGGGCTCCTGTGGCCGACTTCACCCACCACGCCCACACTGCCTCCTTGTCAGCAGTGGCTGTCAACAGCCGCTTCATAGTCACCGGGAGCAAAGATGAAACCATTCACATTTATGACATGAAAAAGAAAGTAGACCATGGGGCGCTCATGCATCACAATGGTAAGAAAATCATATCCTTTAAGATAACAGTGTTGAGGCAATTTACGATTCAACTTCAGCTGAACAATTCATATAAGTGTCTCATATGAGCAGATTCTGTGCTAAGAAATACAGAAGTGGACAAAGTGTGGTTCTTTATCCTTAAGTTATTCACAGTCTGTATTGGGCCAGAATGGAAGCACTTTACTCAGTCTAGTGGGGCAGAAGGAAGAAGCAAGTTTTCACTGAAAGCTTCCTTAAAATGACATTAAAATGAACTATTTTATAAGAAGAGGTCAATTGTTGGGCAGGTGAAACTGGCAAGGTGGAGAAAAGGACACTTGGGGCAGGGCAGGCTGTGTGAGGGGCATAGTGGCAGCATCACGGTAGAAGCTGGCTCTCTGGGGGAGGGCCAGGTACCCAGCACTGTGCCAGGAGAGACCAGCTGTGTCTTCAGTTCAGAGAAGAGAAAGCCTAGGCTCAGCGATGTTACAGGACCTGCCCTCAGTCACAAAACACTGAGACTAGAACCTGAACCTGCATCTGGAGCCTGTGCTTTTTTGCCACTGGTGCGCCTGGGGAAAAGTAAGGAGCTCAGTGTTCTGAGAAGGTCAACGTGGAGGTTGGGGTGGCTGGAGACATTGTGGGGTCAGATCCCAAGGGACCTCAAGTGGAGGAGGTCAGGACTGAATGGGTCAGAGAGCATTGCAGGCCTGAGGAAAGTGCTGGCAGTGTTAGTGTGGGACAGACCCCAAGAACCAGCCAAGAGCCTGCCTGCTGGAGTTGGAAGCGCTTGATGGACATCTGTTGGCAGTAGGCTACGCACACTTCTGTAGACAAAGGAGAGTTACTTGGTGTGTGCAAGAGAAGGATTGATTTACACGGGAACTGAGGATTTTGGAGAAAGAATAGGTTGTTGGCCTAGAGAGAGTAGGGTGTCAAGGATCTGCAGATCTCTGAACAAAAAGCAGGCGAGTGTGAGTGGAGGAAGGCCGGAAGGGGCTGGAACAGTGAGTGTTTGTGGTCGGGATAGATTCTTAGAGCTGGAGACTTACTGTGGAAAAGCTCCAGGGGATAACCATGTGAGGAACTGGAATGCAAGGAGGTGGAGGTTACTGGAGTCAAGGAAGTCAGGAGGGGTGATCCCCAAGTCATGGCTGGGGTTTCACGCTGATGATGAAGTTGACCAGGATAGCAGCAGGATCAAGGGACAGACAGACCCAACAGGTGATTTGTTTCCCAGTGAAGTGTAAGTCGCTCAGTCATGTCCGACTCTGCGACCCCATGAGTCCGTGGAATTCTCCAGGCCAGAATACTGAAGTGGGTAGCTTTCCCTTCTCCAGGGGATCTTCCCAACCCATGGCTCGAACCCAGGTCTCCCTTATTGCATGTGGACTCTTTAGCAGCTGAGCCACAGGGAAGCCCCTATTGTTGAGCATCATATGCTGTTGTCACTGTGTTTTCCCAGGGGACAGAGAAGGAGGGGTTTCATGTGTGCTCCAGAAGAAGAAGGGGAAGATGGAGCTCAGGACGGTAGAATCTCTTACTCAGGTACTTAGTTTGGAAAAACTTGGCCGAGGAAATTAGTTTTCTGCAACAAAAGGCAAATAAGACAAGTACCCCTTTTCTTAAACCATCTTTCATCTATTTCAGAGGTTCTCGCCAAGCGAGAGTCTGCTGTTTGTTTGTAGCAGAAATTCGGAGTGATCAGTGTCCTCCTGACCTGCCCTGTGAGATAGTCCTTAGCTACTTTGACAAGTGTCTTGCTTTTCGGCAGAAGCTCAGCTTTGGGTGATTTCAGCGTGCATTCCTTTTCCTCTGTCTTCTAGTCCCAGTTCGTAGAGGGAAGGCTTCTCCCTCCCTTGGCCTTGGAGACATAAGCTGAACAAGTCTGGTCTGTACCTGGTCTGCACAGGTGTTCAACCTCAAGAAAGGGATTGGCTTGGGAAGAGTTTAGATAGGGGATGAGTGAAGCAGGATTCTTGATTTCCTTCATTTCTTGTACAACTGCTGTTTTCGAACGGCTGGTACTACATAAGCTCTTTTCCAGGTAACAGGTGGAATCATGGGCAGAAGAAGTAGAAGACATGGGGAAGCAACATTTCCAAAATGAGAAATAAGACAGTAGTGAAGGAGGAAGATGTGGGTAGACATGGCTAGAGTCTCCCACTGTGAGGAGTACATAGGCCCACATATTTTTCTTGGTTTTTAGAGGGGGCCTGTGCACAATTATTCCTCACAGATCTTTGACTTTCAGTATAAAGGGCCATGTGAAGAATTGATCAGGATTTGTGCAGAGACAGAAGTGACCCAGGGGTTCATACTCTATTCTGAAAAAGAGAAAATATAAATATTTAGAGTTTGCAGCCAGAGGAGTCAGCAGGCCAAATCTAGGCTGGCGGCCTGATTGTATAAATGCAGTTTTACTGGACTACAGCCATGCTCACTCAGTCACGACATGTCTGTGGCTGGCTTGGCACTTCAACTGCAGATGTGCGTACACGTAACAGAGGCTGTCGGGCTTGGTTTTTCCACAGGCACGATAACTTGCCTGAAATTCCATGGCAACAGGCACTTGATCAGCGGGGCTGAGGACGGCCTCATTTGTGTCTGGGACGCAAAGAGATGGGAGTGCCTGAAGTCGATCAGAGCTCACAAGTGAGTCCCACCTCCCCTCCGTGGTCTCCAGGTGCCAGTCAAGCCGGGGCTAACTGTCGGTTTCCTTTTAGAGGACACGTGACCTTCCTTTCCATTCACCCGTCCGGCAAGTTGGCCCTGTCTGTGGGTACAGATAAGACACTGAGGTGAGCCGTGCAGGTCCAGGAGCACCTTTACTAAGCTGTGGTCTTTGGTCTTCAAATGGAAGAGCCCACCCCCTGGCGTGGCTGACTGCAGGAATGCTGGAGTGCGTGGCCTCTCCCTTTTCCAGACCATCTTCCCGACCCAAGTCCCCTGCGTTGCAGGCAGCTTCTTTACCATCTGAGCCACAGGGAAGTTGGTGTTGGTACTGTTTCTGTTCTGTCTGCCACTGTCAGACACCAGGGCAAAGCTGAACGCTTGTGAACCTTTTCATAAGGAAAGGGGGCAAATGAAAGACTCTAAATTCAAACACATGCCACGTTACAGTCGTCAGCCATGGAGTAGAGAGGGCTTTTATATAAAGAAGTATTTTGGGAAGTCAAACCTTTTGAAAATATAGTGAACTCAGCAGAGGAAAGGACTGGGAACAGAGTGAGTTTTAATCTTGCTTGATAAGAACTATTTTGGGCATTGCTGTAAGAAGGAAGGCAGTTCTTCTGAATGGCCAAGTAGTAAATGTTTGTCTGTGTGTTCATTAAACGTACCACTTTACACCTGGTCAGTCAGTGATCTTGCGGTAAATGAGCTTCCTGTTTTGCAGAACATGGAACCTTGTGGAAGGAAGATCGGCATTTATAAAAAACATAAAACAAAGTGAGTGTGTTGTTTTTTTAGCTTTATTTATTTTTGGCTCTGCTGGGTCTTCATCATCACAAGGGCTTTTTCTCTAGTTGCAGCGACTGGGGGCTGCTCTTCTGTTGCGGTGTGTGGGCTTCTCGCGGCAGTGGCTGCTCTTGTGAAGCGCAGGCTCTAGGGCACGAGGGCTCAATAACTGAGGCGCACGGGCTCAGTTGCTCCGAGACATGTGGGATCTTCCCGGATCAGGGATTGAACCCACATCTCCTGAATTGGCAGGCGGATTCTTTACCACTGAACCACCAGGGAAGCCCAAAGTGAGTGTTTTTGTTTAGAATGCATTTGAAAATTTGATAGGACGTTAATGTGTATACACACAAGTTCTCGTGTCCACACACTTACAGTTATTTCCTTACATGGTGGTGGTTCTCTCTGAGAGCATAGGCCTCAGGTCACTTATTTTCCCTCCTCTTTCTATTGGGATTATTGGCATGGCTCTACCACCTAGGAGCTGTATGACCTTAGTGATTCTTCACACCAGTTCCTTGTCTAAAGTCTACTCACAAAATATGCATCCTAAGTTTGCTGTGAAGGTTTTATGAGATAATGGATGTGAAAGAGCACAATGTAAATATTTGCTATTTTTTTATGACCCTGATCAGTTTCTTCTTTTATCTATGAAATATAACAGCTTTGTTCTTGTAACTTACAGATGCTCACATAGTGGAATGGTCCCCAAAAGGAGAGAAATACGTAGTTGTCATACTGAACAGAATAGATGTCTATCAGCTTGACACTGCATCCGTCAGTGGCACCATCACAAATGAAAGGAGAGTGTCTTCTGTTACGTTTCTTTCAGTAAGTGATCGGAAGTCAGTGGTGGGAGTTGAGTGTATATGGTGATGGTTGGAATTGTTGATGACATTCTGGGTGTTATGTTTTGTTTTTTTCCCTCTGTTAGGAATCTGTCCTCGCAGTGGCTGGAGATGAAGAGGTTGTAAGGTTTTTTGACTGTGATTCCCTAACATGCCTCTCTGAGTTTAAAGCTCATGACAACAGGTACTTTTTTTTTTTTTTTAACACACTAATCTCTGTGTGCTTGTATGTACAGAGTCTCTTATAAATGCAGTAGCTTCATAAGGCAGACGTTTTTTGTGAATGACTGCAGAAATAGACATATCTACATAGCTGATTTTTTTTCCCCAAGAGGATGGTGGGAATGTTGTCTGGGCCATAGTGATGCAAAAGTGGTGAAGTCGTCACCAGGACTAGTCATTGGCATAAGAGACTTATTTGTTCAATAATTTCATTATACTTGCAGCCTGGAACCCTCAATTCGTACTTGAATGGGGAAAAAAATTAGCTCTGCCCCAACCACTTGTCTTTTTTCTCTATTCTCTATTCGCCTGTCCACTGGCCCCTTCCCACACTCTGCTTTTCCTGCAGGAGAAACACATGACATGTTGACCTCTGCCTTGCGCCCATCTCCGTTACCTCTTACTGCTCAGAGTATCTGCAGGCAGACGTGAGTCTCAGGGTCAGTGGTTAATAACTGGACCAAGCTTACCCCCCTGTTAGGTGATGGAGATAGGAACCAACCCTGTTCTGTCTGACTCTGTCCCTGCTTTTTCCGCTGTAATTTTGTAAAATGGTGATCATGTAATGTGTTTTATTTGCATGTTCTTTTATGTTTCAAACAACTCTCATTTATTTATTTTTTAAATGCTTATTTATTTATTTGGCTGCTCCAAGTCTTAGTTGCAGCACGCTGTGGCATGTGGGATATAGTTCGAATCCGGGTCCCCTCCATTGGGAGCGTGGAGCCTTAGCCACTGGACCACCAAGGAAGTCCCACAACTCTTGGTTTTCATTTTCTAAATCATGGTTTAGCTTTGAGAAATCTGTTTACAAATAGAATACTGCAGTCACTAGACAGGCCCTAGTTTGGGGAAGGGAGCCTATTCTTCAAGGCCATATAGCTCTTCATGGGTATTTGGTCATTCGTTTAACAAGTATTCACTGAGCATCAGTAATGAAAAACTGCAGCAGGAGCTTGTACTCTCCTGGCTGTTATCTTATCTCAGGGCAACAAACAGAATAAATAAGAACTCAGGTAATCTTAACAGGAAGAAAATAGGTATTACGATTTGGGAATGACACAGGTACCTTATTTGGATGGGATGATCGGGGAAGGAGGAATGAGACCTTCAGGATAAAGGAACTATTTTTAAAAGGGAGAGAATTGTAGGCACAGTGGCCCTAAGGGAGAAAAGAGCTTGGTGTATTTTAGGAGCAGATAGAAGACCCTCACTGGGTCAGAGGGAGCCAAATGGGGCTGGGCCTGGCATGTTATGGGAAGGAGTTTGAGTTATATCAAGTGCCTTTGTAGGTGTTGGGTTATCTATGTCCCAGCCACTTTCTCCCTCTTGTGGTGTATTGAAACTAAACCTACCTTTGTAGAATTTTAAGCCTGGGAATAACATGGTTTGATTTTTTAAAAAGTTGTTAGAGGGCAAAAATGGAAGCCGAGAGGCCAGTTAGTTTACTCCGTAATCCGGAAAGATGATAGCAGCTCAGATGGGTGGTAGGCCCTGAGAACAAGGGGAAGAGGCCTTGGTCACCTCTGTCTTTCAATATAGTTTCCTGAGGTGGAGGGGGTTTAAATATCTTTACTTCCTTTAATTCCTGATAATTCCTTTTATTCCTGATAATCTATTTATAGTTGTCTATCATCTTTTCAAGTCCTTCTTAAGGTATGGTTGATAGTCAATTCTATCTTGGAATTTAGACCCTGAAAATGACTCAGAACAACTCATGGGATTGTGAAGCATGTTTAATTTTTGGCACTGTTCATTGAGCAGTTTGGAAACACCTTAAGCCTTGAAAAGTCAAGAGACTGTGTACCTAGAAGTTTTCTAGTAGCATCGTACTGTCTTCAGGAAAGGCTCTTTTACGGTGTCACTGTTTCTGTCCTAGGGTAAAAGACATGTTCAGTTTTGAAACTCCAGAGCATCACGTTCTTGTTACAGCATCGAGCGATGGTTTCATCAAAATGTGGAAGCTTGCACAGGACAAGGTCAGTGTCTCAGCACAATATAAATAAACCAAAGGCAAGTCTTACTGTCAGTATGACTTTGAGTTAAGTGAGGTGGATTTTCTCTAAGGTTCATTGGACACAGATCTTTTACATGTTTAAAATTTCTTTGAGGCGTGATTGATACTCGTGGTTTTAAAGTTAGGGTTCCATAGTGCTGCTCCAGGGGTTGGTATTGGTGAGTCTGAGCTGGCTGGACCCCAGAACTCCTGCTCATTCGGCCAGAAAAACAGCATTTTCTTCTCTTCTTTGTATCGGTGATCTCCTCTATAAGCTTCTGTTAGATAAAAATCCTGCTATTGCTAGAAAAAAAAGGGGGAACTTTTGATCAATTGTAGAATTAACAATAGTTTTGAACCAGATAATTTGACACTTAAATTCTCTGGTAGTGTCCCTTTTGCAGAGTCTTGGTTTGTTATTCTTCACTCTCTTATAAAACAGTCTCTGAGTGTGGTTTGTTGAGCACCTGCTTTGTGCACGGTTCTTGGTTAAAACCTGGAACTGAACAAGAGCAAACAGTGCCTTTCCTTAGCGAAGTGCTTCTTAGAAATTGGTGGACATAGTCAAACCAATCACAAGTCAAGGTCACAATTATTTTCTAAACAGCACTGCTCTCATACTCAAGAAAATGCTGTGTGAGTTTTTAATTAAGGTAATTTGATTATGGAAAAATAAAAGTAATTATTTAAGATTGCTTTATGTTATCTCACATTTTCTTTCTTACGTTATAGACAGTTTCCCCATCTCTATTGTGTGAAGTAAACACGAACGCGAGGCTGACATGTCTTGGGGTGTGGCTGGACAGAGGGACAGACACTAAAGAAAGCCTGCCTGCTGCCGCCGAGCCTGCTCCTAGTAAGTGAGACCGATCTTTTAAAAAAATTTAAATAGTTACCTCTTGAGGTGGAGGAGCGCCAGATAACTTCACTTTATTCTCAACTTATTTTATTTTAGAGGGAAAAACCACCTTTAAACACACTGTCTCTTGTGTTTTAGTAAGTAAAGAACAGTCCAGAAGCAACAAAGAGGAATCTGGCCAGGCAATCCAGGAGGAAGAAAGGCAGCCAAAACCAGACGCAGAGAAATGTAGCTTAACTGGTGACAGTAATAAGCCAACGAAGGGAAACAGCCTGGTGTCAGCCAAGAAGAGAAAAACGGTGGAAATGTCGGAGAAAAAGAGAAAAAAGAAGAAAATATGAATGATGCAGGGAATCCCAGATTTTTTCCTACCAGAAAAACTTTTTCAAATATACTTTTTTTCCCCTAAGTAAAAGCTAGGAATTTCTTCTTTTGAAGAAAATGTACAGCTTAAAAATCACTTTGAGGTTTTTTTAAAAACCTGTGGTAAAACTTTGATAGGCAATATAAATTATATATCATGGTGATATATAGTATCTTAATGTATAATATGGGCTTCCCAGGTGGCTCAGTGGTAAAGAATCTATCTGCCAATGTAGGAGACAGACGTTTGATCCATGGGTTGGGAAGATCCCCTGGCGAATGAAATGGCAACTCACTCCAGTATTCTTGCCTGGGAAATCCCATCGACAGAGGAGTCTGGTGGACCACAGTCCAGAGGGCTCACAAAAGAGTTGGACATGAAATAATGACTGAGCCCACACACATGCAGCCTATAATATATAATTTTTACTGCTGTGTAAAGCAAATAAAGATCTTTCTCAAAATATTGTGGCTTAAAATAATAGAAAATCTTGAATACATTTCTTACCAGAAGTGGATAAAGGAGTTATTTTTCATATATTCTTAAGTGGGGGAAGAATGAAAAACCTGCATTACTTTGGCGTCTTCAAGTGGTTCTAGTAATTTTAATGAGGATTTTGTTCATTTTGATAACAAAAGGTATAAAAAGACATTCATACCAGGAAGTATGTTAAGATAAGCTTAAAAGGTGTAGATAAATAAAATACGTATGTATAATGCATATGCTGAAGTTCAGGGCTCTGAACAGAAGGTTAAAGAGAGGCTGCCAAACATCATTAAACTGTTCTATTTCCAGTGGATGACAAGGAAATGTTAAGACAGGAAAATGACATTTCCTTTATTTTAAATCTGTTTCAGCCCATCAGAAAAAAAAAACAACTTGGCTAACCTCCCATCCAAGTACTAACCAGGCCTGACCCTGCTTAGCTTCCAAGATCAGATGAGATCGGGTGTGTTCAGGGTGGTATGGCCGTAGGCTTTAGTTCATCTTCTAACAAAGGTAGTCTTAAAACTATATCTTATTTATTTGTATCTTATATCAAATAATGGCTCTACCAGGGCCTAGGACTGTAGGTAATTAAATCTCTGGGTTTTAGTTCCTTTAAGTGTCAAAGGCAGGGAAGAGTATCATGGTGAGCTTAAGGTTTGAAGTTTGACCCTAATTAAGGAGATGTGAATTTCTGAGTCATCCCAGCTGGTTAAGGCAAGTCTATCGATTTTTTCAGCAGAATCTTCCATTAAGTTGGTGAGGGTCTGGCCTAAGTGGAATTGTTCAGGTCTTAGTCACTATCAGCTTTGGCTGTTTGAAGTCGGCTGTGGTAAACGCAGGCTTCGATTTTGATATCTGAAAGGTAGGCGTTGCTGCGAATGCGAAAGTTTTCTCTTAGAATATGTATGCTGCCAAAAACTCACTTGCCATTTGTCTCTACGAGGATTAGGTCTCTAGCCACTGCAGTTGCTGACCTATAGCACACTCAGAGGAGTTCTAGGTAGAAATCAGGAATAAGGCACTCTGGGAAAAACTGGCAGAGCGGGCCTTTAGATAGAGACTTCTCTTCAGGAGGTTTTATGAGCCCAGTCTCTTGTCTCTTCTCTTATCTATGAAAGCACTTAACAGAGATCCTTAACAGAGGCACGTACTCCTCGTGATTAGCACCAACATTCTGTCAAAATGTGTGCTTGAGTGCACAGCAACGCACTTCACCAAAATCACATATACTGACGCCCTCTGCCCGCTCCCCCCACTTCAGGGAGCAGTTCCGCAGAGCTGAGAGGCTGTCTCCTGGGCTATGGTCCTCATTTTGCCCCCAATAAAACAGCTTACAACTCTCCTTGTGCATTTCTTTTTTAAGATGGCCATGTGCTGCAATTAAGATGGCCGTGTGTTTCCACTGGCTTGTATATGTATGATCTATTCTTGTTATGTACTTGCAGCGGATGACACCCACGTATTGGTGTTACATCAACTGAGAATATAGTGAGGCAGGGAAGAGAAGCAGGTGTGGAGTTAATCTGTGGTTGGCGGGGTGGGGGTGGGGGGTACGGACGGGGACATTGCAGAGGTACCTGCAAATTTAACTCACCTGCAGTCAGTCCCCTTTTAATATGCTCTTATAGTCTCACTCCCTAAAACAAAGGGAAGTGAGCCAGATTGTCTAGCCTGTTGCCACCTTATGTTCTGCAGGTAGAAAATTGTTCCTTCTCATGATAGCAAACTAGGTGATGAGGCTAGAGGATCCATCTCCGATGGCCTGCATCTGGTTGACACCTGGTGAGGACTGGAGCCACCTCCATGCTTCCCCCATGGGTGACCTCCACCGCTGGCCTGGCCCAGCTCGCCAGGCCTGTCAAAACTAGACTCCAGTCCTGGGTTTTAGGCTTTTGGCGAGGCTGGCTTGGATCTGGGACTAGTGCTGGACGGCCCTGCTCGCGTCCAGCTTCCGGGACGCACGTGCTCGGTGACTCTCCATGCCCCGGGGACAGAGAACGCGCCGGGTCGTCGGCACCAAGCCACGCCCCCAGGGCTCAGAGAGCTCGGAGGCTCCAGGCCTCTAGCCCCGCCTCACGCCACGCCCCTAGGGACGAGAGGCGCGGCGACTCCCGGCCTCTAGCCCCGCCCTACGCCAGGCCCCAGAGCGCCAAGGGGGCGGTGACTTCACGCCGCTAGCCCCGCCCCTACGTCTCAAGCCTCGCCCCTCAGACGCAGTAAACGCGCCGTAACACTTCCGGCGGTACAGTGACTCCCCACCCCGAGGCGAGTACGCCCTGGTCGACCTGTGCGGGCCGACCTTCGGGAAGGAGGTTCGTGTGCTTTGGAATTATTATTATCTTACGCTGGTTTAGACTTTTGACTTTTGACCGCTCGTTCTCTGCTTTCCTTCTAGTGGGTTGTGAATTCTGCGGGAACCTTGAACTCTTGGCAGGTGCTTACCGATTTAGCTAATTCGTTTCCAGGAGATTTTACCCGTTTAAAAGTGTGGGTGCAATGCTCGACGCAATGCTACGTCGAGTTAATGACGGCGGTATGATTCCAAGCTCCCCTAACCCTTATAGACAATAGTTTATAAGAAGAGGTGTGTGTTTTTTTCAAGCTTAGCCTCGATGGATACCAGATGCATGTCTTTAAGAAATTAGTTCCACCCTAGTTTGCCAGAGGTGTAGCACTCTACGTAATTACGGCTTGGGCTTTTGTGTTTTTTATCCTTCCTCTCGCCCCCCGTCTAACAATAACTATGAATGATGCAAAATTAACTGTCTGAAAGTGTTATAAATATTGAGTATTGAAATATTCTAATTCTTTGGGCGGGGCTGAAAAGCAGTACACCCTCCCCCCACAAAGGCTAATTAAAATACTTGAATTAAGGGCACAGGAGTGTTTATTTTCCAACTTGGTTATAACTTGGTTAGATGATGAAAAGATTAGCTTGTTCACTGTAGAGAGCTGGTCAGTGAAGTTTCCCGTGGGTCTATGTTATTAGAACATAGATTATTACCAGAATCATTGCTGTTTGTTCAGCAGTTACTGTGTGCAAAGCACTTTTTATGTATTATCCCATTTGATGCTGACCTTAGCGTGGGAAGTTTGCACAGGGTAGGTAAACAGTGAAGGAAACTGAGGCTTAAGTTGAGCCATTACTTCTTAGCTCCCCAGGGTTGGAACTGGAACTTGACCCACCTCTTTCTGGCTGCTAGGGAGCTGTGCTGTTGACCACCTTTGATCCAGTCCCTCCTTTGCAGGTGCAGGCCTGGTTTGGACAGAGTGAAAGAGAACGATGCCGAAGGACTCTGGCCCACTGTAAGTGCCCGGTGGGTGGGGGTGGAACAGCCAGGATCTTTTCAAACGCAGAGTTTCTTTCTTCTGTGCCAAGAGTGCGGGGCAGCTGGGGTTTTGGGAGGATGGACTGTGCGCCTGCCACAGGGACTTGCGTCTGGGTCCTCGCTCTGCTGCTCACCTGGGCAGGTCATCTAACCTCTCTGGGATTTATAAGCGTTTGTACAGTGATAGGGTTGTTCTGGAATGATGACCTTTTTGATCCCATCCTACAGTTATGTGTTTTTTAAAACACATAATGTTTCTCACCAATGTCTTACTGTTCTGTTTTCAGAGTGCCTTTACATTGGCTTGGCTTTGGCTATGCAGCACTGGTTGCTTCCGGCGGGATCATTGGCTATGCAAAAGCAGGTATGGTTTGTACTTATTTAACCTCTTGCAGTCTTGTTCCTGGTGAAGAACGAGTCCCCAGTACTCCCAGACTACAGTCTTGTTGGAGTCAGGTTTGGTTTAAGCCTCCTCTTTGGAGAGGCTGCTTATCATCAGCCCCATAGCTGCTCCTTTACTCGCCTCGAGGTTATCTGGCTGAGCTAAACTAGGCTTCTTGTCTAGTCACTTCTGCCTCTTTATCTAAAGATGCCGGTTAGGGATGGTGGTAGATGGTCATTATCATCACCTGCCATACATCAGGCTTGACCCCGGAGGGCCAGCTCTGCTCTTTAAGTGGGAGAAAGCCTCTTATCTCCACATGAGTGGTTTTGAGGTCTCCGCCAGAAGCCAGGTGCAGGTGTGTCAGTGAATCTGGCTATTTTTCAGGAGCCTTCCTTGCCTGCTTCCCCACCGCCGGCACACACACCAGAACCCACTCTCCAAAATCCTTTTTGAGCTCATTGACCCTATTTCCCCTTCCTTTAGGGATGAGCCAGAGGTTGTGCCCACAGGCAGTTCCAGTCTTCTCAAGACTAATCACCCCTGGCCAGGAGCCTCCCCTGCTCCTTTGGAGCTGCCCTGCCTGTCAGAGGAGAGGGGGGTGGTGTGGTTATGGCCCTGACTTCTCCAGTGGAAAAAGCAGTCTACCCCAAACCTTTTTCTGCATGAGGACACCTTGGTCTTGAATGGCACAGGGAGATGTTCCCTTTGCCGTTTCCTCTGCGCGGGTTGCGAGGGGGGGGGGGGGGTGGCGGGGCGGGCCGGGGGATCCTGTTGCTGAGATGAGTGTTTGCCAGGAGAACACAGGTGTGTGTGTACCTCCTTCCAGGCAGCGTTCCGTCCCTGGCTGCCGGGCTCCTCTTCGGTGGTCTTGCTGGCCTGGGTTCCTATCAGCTGTCTCAGGATCCGAAGAACGTCTGGCTTTTCTTAGGTACGTCGTTTCACGGTCTCTCCCTGATGCGTCCCTAGGTTGGTGGGACATGGCAGGCTCTTCAGACTGAGATGCTTCTCCTGCTTCTGTCAAGTCCTGGGGAAGGCTTGAAAGGAGGGGGTTTGTGCCCGTTGCTGCTGATCTTTTATGTAGAGGACGAGGAAAGGTTTTCCTCCCTCCCAAATGGAGGTTGACCCCGTGAGGTCAGCGTTAAACATGTAGAGGGCAAGCACGTGTCTCTTAACCGTTGTGATGCCCTCTGAGAACTGTCTGCTGGAGCATCGCTGAAGGACCGTGTTTCTGGTTAGGTCCGCATCAGTATTGCGTTTTTCCCATTTGAAAGTCGTTTATTCGTCCTTTAGATGTAAGCGAAGTGTATAAGACGGACGCCCGGCCTTCAGGGAGCCGTAGCTCTCACTGGGGACCGCAGGTGGCGGCGTTCTCCTGCCGTGTCCCATGAGCAGCCCGGACATGAGAGCGCGGGGATGAAGGTTCCGTCTTATCTGAGTGGCTTGGCTGTGTTTCTCCCGAGCCCCACCCATGTGTCCGACACTCTGCGGGGCCTCTGGGCCCCCTGTTGCCTCCACACACACACCCCCCCACTCGAGGAGACTGCAGTTCTGATCCTCACAGCTGTGCGGGGAGTGAGGGAGCCCCAGTCCTTGGTCCCTGTTGGCGTTGGGGGATGAGACACCCAGCTCTGCCCCCACGCGCCTCAGATCCCCGAGTCCCATTTCCAATGCTGCCCCTCCGTGCCAGCGAATGCCTGGTCTCCAGGCGCACCCCTCCTCCCAGGCTGCGGGTCTCTGCTCCCCCCCTTCTGTGAGCTCTACCCTGTCTGTGATGCCAGCCCCTCGGTGGGTCCCAGCCCTGAACGCGCCCACGTGCTCAGCTCTCACCCATTTGAAAACAACAGCAAAGGGACCTTTCGTGACCCCACTTCTTTCTTCAGTGGCTGCCCTTCTTCCTCTTCAGAAACTTCTCTTTAAAAAATCCTTCACCCTCCCATCCTCACTTCCTCAGCTCACATTCTTAACCCACCTCAGCCTCCACTTCTGTTCCTCTCAGTCCAAGAATAACTCTCCCCAAGGCTACCGGGAGCCTGTGTATTTCAAAATTCAGTGTACGTTTTTCAGTCCTTATTTTATTTTGCCCTTTTAGCTGTTCTCGGCACAATATGCCAATCCATTTTCCATTCTCTTGTTTTTTTTTTTCTTTGTATATTCTCATTCTCTTTTGTCTCTCTTGTCTTTTTTGTCTGTTTTGTCCACCCGTCTCTCTTGACCATTAAATACTAAGGTTCTTAAAACCTGGCTCTTTTTATCTTCTTTATAGTCTCTCCCTTGGCAAGATCATTGAAGCCCAAGCCTCAGATCACCACCAATACACACACGACCCACAGATTTCTCTCTCCGCCAAGCCTTTCTCGTGTGTATCCACTTTCCTGCGTGGAAGTTTCCAGGCATGTCCAGGCGTCAGCTCTGACCTGGCTTCATGTCTTCTCTTGTGCTCCATCCACTTGGGTCTCCCTTGCTCTCTTCCCGTCCGTCTTCATGTTCATTTCATCAGCAAGTCCTGTCAACCCTCCCCCCAGCCCACGTCCCAAGTCATCCCCTTCTCTGCCTCCAAAGCCATCATCCATGTCTTAGTCAGCCCCTCTGCCCCCATTGCCTGCATTCCCAAGGGAGTTTCTTCATGGGTGCCCTGCAGCCTGCAGTTGTATTTTCAGACGGCAGCTCTGCTTGCGTATCCCTCTGCTCGTGTCTGTTAATGCCTTCGCATCGCCCGGATGAAAACCCTAGTCCCTGCCGGGGCCCGCGGGGCTCTGCCGGGGGTGGCCCTCTCCCTGGCTGTGGTGGGTTTCTGCGCCACGTTCCTGCCCTTAGCTCGTCAGCACCGCTCTTCACATCGCAGCTCCGTCCCCACTCTCTCAGCAAGCCCTTCCCCCTGAGTGGGCTGACCCCTGCTCTTCCGTTGTCTGTAATGCATTCACTGCACCTGTGGCACAGTATGGCCTTCCCTGGGGGCTCAGCGGCAGAGAATTCACCTACTGGCGCAGGAGACGCAGGCTCCATCCTGGGGTCGGGAAGGTCCCCTGGAGGAGGGCATGGCCACCCGCTCCAGTGTTCTTGCCTGGGAAATCCCACGGATGGAGGACCCCTGGCTCGTCTGTGGGGTCACAGAAGAGTCGGACACGACTTCATGACTCAACGACAGCACAGATTCTACTTTTAAATTTTTGTTTGTGTGATTCTTTCAAGTCAGCCGCATCAAGCTGGAAGCACTGTTAGGTCAGAGATCGCCGTGATGACAGTTGTGTCGCCTGCACCTGCTGCGGGGCAGGTGGTGGGAATTGATAAAACATGGAATGGGAAGGGCCTGAGAGCATGCCGGGCAAACAGCATCAGCAACGAGGAGGGGACAAAACCCCACGGCAGTGTAGGAGAAAACGGGAATTATGGCAGAAGAGTGGTAGGAGGTGAGGCGGAGGCAGGCTGGGATCCGACACTGAGAGCCTTTGAGGCCAGTGTTGGTGTTAATACTTAGTCCCATTAAATGTGGACGGCGTGGAGGTCCCAAGACTCGGGGGAGGAGGATTATGAGATCGGGTCTGGGCCTTTGAAAGATGGATGGGAAGTTGGCCACTTTTCCATCCTCCCACGTATAAGATGTATTGATCTTTGACTCTTTTTATCTTTCCACCAGTCACATCTGGAACCTTGGCTGGCATCATGGGGATGAGATTCTACAACTCGAGAAAGTTCATGCCTGCAGGCCTGATCGCAGGTGCCAGGTACACTCTGCTCTGTTGCTGGCTTTGGTTCAGTGTCCCAGATGCTTTAAGCATTCAGAAGGGTGCTTGTTTCAGTATACCTGATGCTGAGCATCAGCTGAAATGCCTTTATTTATCCACAAATAGGAAAGACTGCGAAAACAGTTGATTTCACGTCACAATGAGATGAGGATGCTCATTCACTTCTGAAATGGTCTGGCTCTCACATCCGAGCTCTGATTCCTCTTGGCTCCTCCCCGCAGGGGAGGCGGCTTCGGTGCGAAGCCGGGACTGCACCCGCTGCTGTGACTTGCAGCTTGGGGTCCATAGATACCTCAGCGGTATTGGTGTCCTTTACTAACGAAAATTTCGCTAAAAGGAAATTCTGATCGAATCCTGTTTTCTAATTAACTTTGATTGCAAAATCCAACCCAGGTTGATCTTAAAATGTAGTGTTTAATAAAGATAACCCGAAGATAGACTTTTTAAAATCTGCTTTGGAAAAAGCTTACTCACCGACTTGGATCGTAGTCAGGATGCTGTCAGGAGTCAAGTCTTACACCTGGTGTGGACGAAGGTCAGGAGCCATGTAAGCTGGCAGGCTGGAGGTCTGCCGTCACCCAGCTCTTCGGCGGGGGAGGCCGTGGCCTTTGCAGCCCTGTTTTCTCATCTTTGAAGTGCTGGCAGCTCCATTAGGAACTGTGACTCGCGTGTACACTTTCAAAGCCTGAGCGCAGAACTGCCCTTGGCATGTTCCTCCTTTAGCAGCTCCAGGGGCCGGAGTCCATCTCCGCTGGCTCTCCCTTGGCACCGCCTCGGCACGTACTTGCGGGGAACCTGCCGAGTCTAGCCCCTTACAAATAGTCGAGTGCTCGTGCTGTTCTTGACCTGAAATTTTTTTATGTGTTTCCTTTGAACAGTTTGCTGATGGTCGTCAAACTTGGAATCAGTGCCTTGGGTAAACCCCATCAGTAATAGTCACGGCCCAGCTTGGACTCATGAAGAATTTTTAAAACTTCTACTCTTTTTCATGTATTAAGATAAACAAGTACAGCATTTCCGTATATTCTGACATTTCTCTTCAGAACAGACCAAAAAACGGCACTGAACTTCGCAGAGACAAAACGTCGGTCATTGTCATTACGCCCTAAAGGGATGGGTGGGACGCAACACGGGAGTTTCTCCCTGCGGTGCCCTCACAGACTTGGATTCTTTATGTCAGCCATCTGTTCTTCTGTATCTCTCGGTGACATCTCCAGGGATAGAATGTTAGCGTGTCACCACTGGGGCCCTCCAAGCCCCATGTGCTCGCTGCTAAAGGAACAGTGTGAAAAGGATCTGTTGATGAGATTTAGGATATCTGTTCTTTTGCTTATCTTAGAGCACAGACCTACTTTGAAATTATGTTAAATCAATGAAAATAAAGTTTACTGTAAATGATATTTTCTGCAGTGTCTTCATTGCCAGAGCTCTCTAGAACAGCTCTCTAGAATGAGATGTGAATAACAAGATAAAAGAACATGAAGGTGTTTTTGTTGATATTTAGGAATTACCCATTTTGAATAATTTAAAAGCCAAGGAAGGAAAGTTATTTGATTATCCATTGCATTTAGGCTTGAATTTCTAAGATTAGTGGGACTGCATAACCAAAAAAGAAAAATGAGATTGTGGTTAACCAGTTAATTTATAAATGTGAAACCTGAGAGAACTGTTTATAACTGGGATTACTTAGGTTGGTCTCTACATTGGACATGTTAGCTAATTACACATTTTCACTTTCTTTCAGCATTGAGTTAACTCATTCTGGTACCCCTTACTTTGGTTTTCCCCTTTAGAAAAAAAAAGGAGGGGATACATTTGCTACTTATCTCAACTCTCACTGGTATTGATTGGATTTCTTCTATGTTATTCAGGCACTTACAAATCAATTTTATGGATTGGCTTAAGTTCCTTGAAAGAAACCTTACTTTTCTCATCTTTGTGTATGACATGGTTTGACATGTCTGCCATAGCCTATTTTTTAAAAAATTTATTTTATTGAGGTATAGTTCATTTACAACATATTAATTTCTGTTGTATAGCAGAGCAATTCCGTTATATATGCATATATATATATGCATATATATATATATATACATAATTCTTTTTCATATTTTTTCCATTATGGTTTATACCGAATATTATAGGATCTTGTTTATCCATTCTGTATATAATAGCTTGCATCTACTAAGTGGAAACTCCCACACCATCCCTCCCACCTGCCCTCTGCTTTGAAAACCACAAGTCTGTTCTGTGTCTCTTGAGTCTCAATTTCATAGGTAAGTTAGTTTGCATCATATTTTAGATTCCACTTAGAAGTGATGTCGTATTTGTCTTTCTAACTTCATTTAGTATATAAATCTCTGGGTCCATTCATGTTGTGGCATTATGTCATTCTTTTTATGGCTGAGTAATATTCCATTGTGTGTATGTACCCTGGCTTTATCCATTTGTCTGTTGATGGACATTTAGGTTGCGCCTCTGTCTTGGCTGTTGTAAATAGTGGTGCTGTGAACACTGGGGTTGCGTGTATCTTTGAATTACTGTTTTCTCTGGATACCTTTCCAGGAATAGGATCCCTGGATCATATGGTAGCTCTATTTTTAAAGGAGCCTCCACACTGTCCTCTATGGTGACTGCACCAGTTTACATTCCCACCAACACTGCAAGACGTTCCCTTTTCTCCACACCCTCTCCAGCATTTGTTCTTTATAGACTTTTTGATAATGGCCGTTCTGAGTGGTGTGAAATGACACCTCCTTATAGTTTTGATGTGCATTTCTATAATAATTAGCAATGACGAACATCTTTCTGCGCACCTGTTGGCCATCTGTATGTCTTTGGGAAAGTGTCTATTTAGATTTCCAGTTTTATTTTATTTTTTTAATATATTGAGGTGTATGAGTTGTTTGTATATAAAATATTTACTCTCCAATCCAGGACATTGTATGTCCCTTCATATAGTTCAAATTTTGGGGTGTTTTTTTTAAAGTGTCTTAAAGCATTTATTCAGTTTTTATTTTTAAACTAATACCCATTTTCTGTTGCATGATCTCATCTAGGATAGCATATTACATTCAGTTGCCATGTAGGGTCCTCTTGGCTGTGACCATCCCTTCGACTTTCCTTGCCTTTGGTGACGGAGTTTTGAGGAGTACTGATCAGGTGTTGCATAGAATGCACTTCCATTGAGATTTGTCTCCTGTTTTTCTCATGAGTAGACTGAGATCTGGATTTTTTTAGGAGGGAAGGTCACAGAGGTGAAATGTCGATTTCATCACATCAGATGGAGGTTGCATATGTGAACATAGATACATTATTGTTGATGCTGACCCTGATCGTCTGCCTGAGGTAGCGTTCCTCAGGCTTCTCCATGGTGAAGTTACTCCCTTTTCCCCCACTTTCCCATGTGGTACTCTGAAAGGAAGTCACTGCATGTTCCAGAGTGTGTACATAAAAATTACATGGAATTCGGCTGCATGGAAGGTGTCGCCTCATCCCTGTTGTATGTCCATCTGGCCATCCGCTCGTTCAGTGTGGGCTCAGGTATTTTCCAGTTTGGGTTGTAATCCAATACTTCTCCATTGATTTTCTTGTTCGGATTCTTGCGGTTTTGAACATGGGGAACTCTTTTAGTTGGCCCATGGCCCATTGATATAGCCAGTCAGTGTAGGCTTTTTTTGTTTGTTTTGCTTGCTTGTTTTTATAGAACTTCACTACCTCCTGGCACTGTAAGAGGCTAAGAGGCTCCAGGCTCGTCTTGTATGTTTCACACCCCAACGCTAGAATTGGCCGTTTCTCCAAGCAGCCCTGGTTTCTTTTATTGGACAGTGTATCAGAAACCACTACCTGCTGCCGGATAACGCTTGTTGCTCCTGGGACGTTATGTTATACTTGCACCTTAATTCCTTTTTACTCTTGAAAGTTATTATTCCTCTTTCTAGTTTCTTAAGCTGAATGCTCAAGTTCACCACGTCTTCAGTGGTTTTGTTTCTCTCAAAATGGAACAAGTGTATAGTTTTTTCTTTGCAATCTGTTTTGACTGACTTTTACAAGTTTTAATACAGAAGTCTGTCTTTCTCCATTTCTAAGGGTATTTATTTCAGATTTGATTTTCCCTTTTGACTTTGAAGTGTTTAGAACAATATTTTTGAATTTTCAAGGGATAATGTTTAAGTAATACTTTTTTATTCTACTATTACTATACTGTAAAAAGAAGTAGTTTACGTATTTCTATATTTGAGATTTTCTTTGTAGCCTAATATAAGGTAAACTTTTTGTGCATGTTAAATGTTAGTATTTTGCCTTATTGGTTAAAAGTCTATATAGTATGTATGTTGGATACACTTTGTTTGCTGTTACTCATGTCTTATTTTTAAGGCCTCTGAATCTGTTTTCTAAGAAAAACCTCCCACTCTGTTTGTCAGTTTTTTCTGGTATTTATGATTAACCTTTGCTTCACATATTTATGTTGTCTTAACATTTAATTTAAAAAATTTTCAAACCTAGTGAAAAGTTTTGATCTCTGTTTCTCTCTATATATATGAACATAGGTGTAGAAATATATATTAGCAAATCACATCCAACAGTATATACAGGGAATTATGTAATATGATCAAGTGGGATTTATTCTAGGTATACAGAACTGTCTCAAGCATTTGAAAATCAATTAATGTAATCTATTGTATCAACAGACTAAAGAACAAAAATCTCATGATCAGTGATCATTCTCAGTAGATGCAGAAAAAGCATTTGACAGAATCTAACACCCTTCATAATAAAAACTCTTGAAAATATAGGAACATCTTCAACTTAATCAAGAAAATCTACAAAAAAAAAAAAAAACCCTACAGTTAACATCTTGCTTAATAAGGCAAAACTGAATGTTTTCCTGCTAAGATCAGGATGAGGGCAAGGATGTTCACACTCACCACTTCTCTTCAGCATTGTACTGGAAGTCCTAGCTAGTTCAGTAAGACACAGAAAGGAAATTAAAAGTATGCTGTAGATTGAGAAGAAAGAATAAAACTATTTTTGTTTGCAGATGACGTGACTGTCTATGTAGAAAATTTCAAAGAAATTTTCCAAGGGGAAAACTCCTGGATTTAATTATTTAATGTTATAAGTGATTAAAACAGGTATTAGGGTACAATTTTAGTATAAAAAAGTCATTTGCTTCCTTGTAAATGAACAATGAACAATTCAAATTTGAAATTAAAAATTATAGTAGAATTAAACAGGTATAAATCCAACAAATATGTATAAGATCTATGAGGAAAATGATAAAATCTAATGAAGTCAAAGAAGATGTAACTAAATAGAGCAACAGTTGTTGTACATGAACAGGAAGGCTGAAGAGTGTCAGGATGTCAGTTCTTCCTGACTTCACCCATATTGCTTGTTCATTGCAATCCCAATAAAAAAAAAATCCCAGTTATGTTGTGGGATATTGGCAAACTGATGCTAGAAGTTGATACGGAGCAGAGAGAGACCCCAGATAGCAAACATGATACTGAAGGACAGAAACAAAGTTGGTAGGCTGACATTATGTAACTGATACAAAAGTGCTGGAATCAAGACAGCTGGTGTTGGTGAGAATACACACATAGATCAGTGGAGCAGAACAGAACCCAGAAAAAGATGCACACGGATACGGTCAGCTGATCTGTGACAAAGTTCCAAAGGCAGTTTAATGGAGAAGAGTCTTTTCAACAAGTGACGCTGAAACAACTGAACATCAATGTGAAAAAGAATCTTATCAGAGACCAAATACCTTTCCAAAAAATGGATCTTAGCTAGGTCTAAATATAAAACTGCAAAACGTCTAGAATATAGGAAAAGAATTTCTGGTGACCATGGGTTTGGTGATGGCTTTTTAGATACAACACCAGAAGCATGATCCATGAAATTAAAAGCTGATAAGTTGGACTTCATTTAAATTAAAAACTGCTCCACAGAGAACATTGAGAGAGTGGAAAGACAAGTCGCGGACTGGGAGGTAACATTTGCAAAAGATAACTGATAAAGGTCTTGTTCAAAATATACAAAGAACTGTTCAAATTCAGCAATAAGAAAACAGTCTAATTTTTGAAGATACACAGACAAGTGTGTGAAAAGATCCTTCACATCCTATGTTATTAGGGAGTTGCAAATTAAAAATGAGTTCCTACTGCACACTTATGAGAATACCAAAATCCAAAACACAACACCAAGTGCTGGTGAGGATGTGGAGCAACAGAAATTCTCATTCGCTGCTGGTGGGAATGCAAAAGGGTAGAGTCACTGTGGAAGACAGTTTTATTCTTACAACATCAGACATGCTCCTACCATATGATCCAGCAGTGAATCAAGTGAAGTGAAAACTGACATCCACACAAAAACGTGTACATGAATGTTCATAGCAGCTTTGTTCATCATTGCCCAAACTCTGGAAACAGGCAAATGTCCTTCAGCTGGTGAATGGATAAACCATGATACAAGGGGCATATAGACAAGGGAACACTATTCAGTGATAAACAGAAGTGAGATACCAAGCCAGGAGAAGACAGCAAGGAGGTTTAAATGGATATTACAAAGCAAGAGAAGCCAGTCTGAAAAGGCTACATGGTACGTAATTCCAACTGCATGACATTGTGGAAAAAGAAAAACTGTGGAGATAATAAAAAGATCAGTGGTTGCCAGAGGTTTCCCGGGAGGAAGGAATGGGTGGAACAAGGGTTTTCTGGGGAAGTGAAACTGTTTTGTAAGATACTCTACAACTTTGGTTGTTATATGTCATTAGACATGTTGTCCAAACCCACAGGATGTACAGCACGAAAACCTGAACCCTGATGTAAACTGTGGGCTTTACTAACAGGGAATCAATGTTGGTTCGTCAGTTGTAGCAAATGTACCACACTAAGGCAAGATGTTCGTGGTAGGGAGAACTGAGGAGGGGGAGATGAAGGAGGATATGGAAACTCTACTTTCTGATTAAATGTTTCATAAACCCACAACTGGTTTAAAGAAAAAAAGTTGACATTAACAACAAAAACAGGCCTCAGAGTACGAGTACAAAGTTTAAAAATGTGAAGAAAACAGACTAGTTAACCATATCAATTTTAATATCTATTCACAATTTAAAAGTTTCCCAGCAACACAAAAGAATATTTTAGCTTTGAGACATTAAAACTACAAATATATATGTGCCATTATCACTAATATTAATATAAATTACTCTTTAGATTTTAACATTTTTCAACAAGGTGAGCTCAATCTTCTGTACAAAAATACCATATTCTTAATACAGTGTGCCTTTATATAATGTCCACAAGATGATACCAGTTACATTTGTTATAAAGTCATAAAATGCATAATCTTATGCATTTTGATAAGCAGTTTGATAAGTTATCAGCAGTTTGATAACATTATTCTTTAAAAAGAATATCCTGTCTGTAAAATGACAGGCTTAAATAGACCAGTCCTAAGTTCAAAATGTCGATTTTAAATAGCAATTTAAAAATAAAACTAAGAAAAACATGTCGTGAGATCATCGCTATAGCAACCGAATGCATTTGCTCTTCAGAGCAAGTGTGACGTCCAGAGCTGAGTCAGTGATGTGTCTGCAGCAGCAGCAGCAAGAACTTGCTTTGGAGGACAAGCTGGCGTACTGTGTGTCTGGTGGGGATGCCGAAACTGCGTTTTGAAAGTGATGAACATGCTGGATGTGAAGATGACAGAACCTTGACTTGATCAAGCTGGAAGGCATCAAGCATTGGGTTTGATACGTCACCATTAAATCACAGCGGTTGTATTGGTCAAAATCAAACAGGAGACTCTTTCTCTGCTATAATCAGGTGACGTAATTTTGAAATCTTTGTTAAAGAAGTATTTCTAAGAAAGACACCCTGCTCTAGGTTGGAATTATCATTGCTTCCAAAATTGTCTCATTCCAAAAGAGAAAAATGATGAAGTACCATCTTTTATAAATTGCCACGGCCCAATGGTAGAGCAGAACCTCGGCCACACAGAACTGTAAGGGACAGCCCACAGCCATCTACGGAATTGCTGTAACAAAACAAACCTTTGAGGCCAAGCGATGACGTATTAGTTGGGGCAAATATAAAACACTCTAAACACTTAATTTCTGGAGGCATTTTTCTTTTTTAAAAAAAGCTTCTTAGAGTATTTAGTATCTACTAATTTATAGATCAAATACTTGATACTTTGGCAAATAAAGTTTATTCAATACTTTGTAAAGTCCTACCCGTATTATCAGCACTGTGGGCAATGATGCTAAGAAAATGCATTTCATTTCTAGGAAAGAAATAAAATAGATGATTTTTGCTCTTCAGGGTACCCACTATTATATATTTCTTTCAGAACACAGTAGAAATAGACATCTGTAGACATTTCCCAGGGTCGGGGGACTTGGTGAACTCGGTGGCGGGGCGCCGTGGGGCTTCACACTAGATTCCTACCGGCGGCCTCCGTACTTGGCTGCCCAGTCTGTCCTCCCGTGCACGGAGGGCACTGGCTGTGCACGGGTCACAATGTTTAGATTCTTGGCTGTAGGATTATAAGTAGGTCCTGAAAACTGCCCCCGACCAGTTTTGGTGCTCCAGGAATATTCTGAAAGAAAGCACAATCAGAAATTAGAATTTTATTCAGATGACCATGCAAAATAAAGCAGTTCATTTCATGGGGGGAAATCTGAGTTTAAAAGATTAATTTGTTATTCTCTGAAGTTTTTTTATATATATGCATATATAAACACCAAAAAATTCTAGTGTAGAATTGTGCTGATGCCAATTAGCATTTTCAGCAGCTTCAGAGCCATAATTTTGGTTTATAGTTCTGACACCGCCGCTCTTCCATGTTTTGCTCACTGACACACCCATCGTATTTAGATAGGCAATACCACCTCGGGTGACCAAGAGCCGCTCCTTGGTTTCAGTTCAATGGACAGTACCCACACGGTTGTTGATCAGTCGCTAAGTCGTGTCTGACTCTTTGCGACCCCGTGAACGGCATCCCCAGGGAGCATGCCAGGCTCCCCGTCCTTCACTGTCGTCCCTGAGTTTGCTCAGATGTCCGTTGAGTCGCTGATGCCGATCAACCATCTCATCCTCTGTTGCCCCCTCCTGTTGCCTGCAGTCTCTCCCACAGTGTTAGTGACTATTTATATCGCACTGTGGTTACATCTAAATGACACTTGAACACAGCTTCACTACAGAAAATGCGTTCCCAATTGTCAGTCCTGTAAAGTCTGACTTCGTGGGGTCCCATTGTAGGTTCCTCTTTAAACCTGAAAATGTGGTTTTTAGAGTCAAGAAACTTAAATGTTTTATTGGGAAATTGATGGATGACAACAAACGCCCTTTGAATGGTGAGCCATCTTCGGACCCCAAACCTTTCATTACGAGGCTCGTTTTATTCATACTTAGATTTGGCAGATGAAGACTTTGTGAAACATTTTACTGTGTTAGACATTTGTTACCTGAACCATTTCTAAGCTCTGATTGCTTGAGTATCTCAAATGACAAAGCAGTAAAATCATTTTCTAGAGAACTTCTCAGTCCCTCCTCTGCCCCTCCTTGCTTCCAACTGGCAGCCAGGTGTCAAGCTGTTCTCACTGGATGGTCCATCTTTCTGTTTGGGATTTAAATACCTTTTGACACGATGTGGTCAGTATCATTCTTGGATTATAGGAGTCAATTCTGAAATGACTAACCATTCTGTACACTTTAATACTAGCTCTCCTCTATTTATTCGCATGCTTTTCCCGTTCTTTTCTTACATTTTTACTGTAGAATCGGGAGTGTAGGAGGAACTCATGGGGGCAGGTGGGTCCTGACGTGCTGCTAACCTTGGCTGACAGGGAACGAAGCCTTAAGTGAGGCACCGTCCTGGTGACGGTCAGCTGGGGGATTGGTGGCTTGGTCGGGACAAGGAGGCCAGGAGCTCTTTCTTGGTTTTACCAGGTCATTTCATCCCACGCGTACTGGGTTTAAAGTTCTCAGAGGCAACACAAAGCTCCCTAACAAAGACAGGGACAGCGTCTAGAAGGGCCAGATAAGTGCGCCATGTTTTCTAGAATCGCCCTTTGGTTATAACCCCCAGGGATACAGACCAGCATCAGTATGATAAATTAGCGGCCTCACATCTGAAGACCCCGGCTGAGCAGAATGGTACCACGGGCGGGCGGAGGAGAGGGCACTTGGGAGGCGGCCCCCCGTAGCTCAGAGAAGGGGAAAGGGAACCCACTCCTAAGTTGCCAGTGGGTGAGAAGCGAGGGCCCGGGGAGTAACACCCAGAGCAGCTTTCTTTCCTCATCGTGACAGTCTAAGTCGAGTCCCAGATGCATTTGAAGGAGACTGTTCAGGCCAGTATTCGTAAAACCTTCTTTCAAAAGGGAATCATCTTGCCGGTGAGGCAGGAGTCCTTCCTGGGAAGTAACTGTTTTAGGGCTCCAGCCCCCCGGGGGTGACGAACCTGGTGCCCACCCTGCACCACCCCCCGAGCGGAGCTGAGAGCCCGCAGACGCTGGCTGTGCGTTCGTTTTAAAGCCGGCCTGTCTCCTCTCAGGGTCGTTTAGCCCCTTGCCGAAAACAAGGAGTTCCTTGTTGGCCAAAGGAAAAGGTGTTTGCCTCCAGTTAAGAAGGTGATCGGTAACTTTTAGCAAGACAGAAAACCTCTGTGCCGTGGAGCTCACGACGGCGCCTTCTGCTGCAGAGGCGCTGGGAGAATTCAGTGAGTTAGCGCGCCTCGGGGCAGACGGTGTCTGAACCGGGTCCCTGTGGCCGTCAGAGCAGGGGACAGGGAGGCACCAGGGGGATGAGAGACGGCCTGGCGAGGGAGGAGGCGGCTCATCTGACGTTTCTGCTCCCTAAACTCGAGGATGAGGACTAGAGCAGAGAGGGAGCCCGAGAGACGGGAAACAGGCAAGTAAATACGGTAATGACCTGGTTTATTCTCTTGTGGGCAACTGTCACACCAGTGGGAGGGCTGGAAGACACATCTCTTACAGAACAGTGTTTTCCTAAGGATTTGCATTGACCACTTGAGAATGGTTAATATTTACTTCTTTTTTTAACCTTTCCTCCTAGCACGATCTGTAGGAAAATCTGATAAGCAGAGTAAATGGAAGAGATGAAAAGTTATGAGAGAGCATTTTACTTAAAAAATGAAACCAGGAATATGCATGCTAATCTGACAGAATAATTAATATATAAAGGCCTCCAATCCCTTATAAAATAATATATTCAAAAGTACTCACTTTTACTTTCTCAGGTACTCAGAATAACTTTAAGACATTATGATTTTCTGTCTTCATATTAAAAAGTGCTACCAAGTCGTGGCTAATGGCTCGTGATAAGGCTGGCTTAAAATATTTCAGGCTTTATAAAAAGTATTGCTGTATAAAATGTTTACTTATATATTTTGTTTCAGCAGAGAGACCCTGAAGCATTTCTTTTCACAGATAAGGTAACAGTGCTGATTAAGCACTTCTACTGTGGTAAGACATAAAATGCGAGAGTCCGGTGGTTTCTACACTTTTAACTCCAAGAGTGTGAACTTTAAAGAGTGGTGACTCTAACCAGGATTTCTAATATAAGATCCTGGCTGGGAGAAGACTTTTGAAGTCAACTTTTAAATTAAACTGTAACTTGGTACCTTATCAAACCTGAAGTTATCTGCCTCAGTGTTTATTTTAGGTGCTTTAATCAGGCAGGATATCTATTTCAGATTGAAATAATTTAGACAACATTCATGGTCAAATCGGGTCAACCCAAGTTCAGAATCCTCACTTCAGTTTCAGTAGTGTCCCCTGCATGTGGCTGTCGCACTCCACACCACTGCAGAGGAGTGACCTAACTCCTCCTCGCGTCGGAGGGTGGGGAAGGAGACTTCACCACCTACTACATTGCAAGGCAAGTGCCGGTGAGAGTTCTGCGATTTATTTCTAAAGTCTTAAGACGGACCTGCAGAAGAGCCTCCCGTTACCTGACACGTGGTGGAGCCTCAGCATCTGTCACGGTTTTTTTTTGCTCAGTGCCCGGTACCAGGCAGGGAGCTCTGAGAGATTCACCCTCTCACGTCTCCTCGGGCAGCACAGCCCTCTCTCTGGACTTGGACTGACAGGCTCAGTCCCAGCTCCGCCGCTTACGAGCCGAGTGACCCTCAGTGAGCTGCTCACAATGTCAGCTTCCTCATCTGTAAAAGGTCGACCTGATGAGGTCGTTGGGACAATTCAGTGGCAACATCCTTGTGTAAGTGGCTCCTGTCATTAGACTCATCAAACCACATCTTTGGAAGGAAAATGGGACATTTTGCCAAAAGCTATTAGAACTGTAGTTAATAGATGAGACTAATTTAAAGGTCTTCACTCAGGAAAAGTGACTACAGTCTTTGGAAGTGCCATTCTCATCAGAATTCTCAAAAACTGTGATCTGAAGTTGTTCTTACCTGAAGCTGTCGCACCAAGAGGTGCGAAGTGTATCCTCTGGCCAGCTGACCCCACTTCTTTTTTGAGAAAGGAAGGAATATATCCTGCCTGATTGTAAGGAGCATAACTTCCAAGATTTCCTAGTGACGTATCATAAAGTTTCAGAGTCAAAAGGTGAATACTTTTAAAGCACCGGAGAGTAACTTTGATTACAACCACTACTAACGCTAAATTCTACTTGGAGGGCATCTTCTATATTTCATGCAAGGCACTATGAGCTTAGACGCACTCACTCCCATTCAGTCCGCAGAGCAACCCCCTTAGAGGCATGTTACCCACACCTGACCTGGCTAAGTTCTCCCAGTAAGTGACTGAGATCGAACGTGAACCCAAAAGTTCCCCTGAGGTTTGTGTGACTCCAGTTCATGACCTGAGAATGGGTTTCCTTCCGGGAAGCCCCCATCCCTCTGGGCACTTCATTATCTCATAAAATCACCCTGGCGAGTGCACCTGTTCTCATGGGGTTGTTGTACGGACTGAGCGAGGTGGATCCGAAGCGCTTAGCACAGGATCTGCTGTCCAACATGTGTCAGCTGTTATCACCCTCCACCACCATCAGTGAAAATACTCTTTCAGTTATTTTCAGCAGATTTGCTTGATTTCTATAAATTGTCATAATTTCAGAAGACAAGTGTAGAGCTTTTTTGAGAGCAAATTACTCTTAGAATCCCAACGACTGAAGAAAGAGGCCGCTCACGGTGTGGACGCTCCTGTCTCTCCTAGTCCTGATCTGACCCCTGGAAGCAGGTGCCTTCGGCCATCACAGGGGCCTCTTACGACCATGTTTGGGATAGATGTGGAGAGGCACATTGGACAGGAGATTCGAAGGACACGCTGTACTCATCTACAGAGCCCAGAAATTACCTTGTGGGTCCTCTAATTTTTCAGGGAAGCTTTCATTGCATGATAGCTTTTCAATGGGTTTGATTATGCTTTCTTCTAAAGAGAAGACAGAAAGAAAGAATGAACAAGGAGAATGTTACAGGAAAAGCAGAGGAAGAAATGGATTCCATGATTAGTGATGAGATCCAGAAAGAAACCTTAAAAGGAGAATATGTTTCCTGTGCAGTCACAGCTTTCATTTGCTGTCGATCATCTATTCCCCTGAGGCTCAAAGCTGTGGGGCTGTTGTTTGCATTCAACCAGTTGGTTCGGTGAATACTGTTTTTAAGTAACTGAGAGAAAAAGAAGCCAAGTGCAGTGCCGCAGCGTGGGACACCTCGGCACTGTTGGGTGGGCTGAGTCTTCGCAGCGTGGAGAAAGTTTGTGAGGTGTCCAGAGTGTGTGATGTCGCTCAGAACCCCTCAGCTGCCAGAGCAGTGACCCTCACCCTCTTGATCCAATACCACCCTACATCTCCTTTTTAAAAAAGAACTCACTTTCAGCTGCTATCTAAAATGTTTCATCATAAGTCTTAGCAGTGCCAAAGGATGTACCTTCTGGCATAGTGTGATTATAGACATTTAAAAATAAACTATTACATCTCTCTCTTAAATACAACCAATGGAATCTAAATACCATAGTGAGCTTACCCTCACCAATACTGACTTAAGAAATTCGTGACCACAGTCCTTTGTGACAGGTAGAAATTTCACATGAATCTCTTTTCTTTCTAAAATTTTATTTTTATTCATGTTAACTCATTTTATCCAAACATAATATTAGATTTAAAAGCCTTTAACCAGTCAAAAATATGTATAGATTAAAACCTTTAAAAAGGGTCTCATAACCAACCATAAGTATATTAAAATACTTTTTTTCTGTTTTATTTAGAATGATTCATTGTATATAATTAATCAAAAAGGTGAATATTATAAAACTTTATTATTAAAAATGAAAGGTTGGATTTTTTAAAAAATTCATCTCTTAGTGAGAAAGATGGACCCTTTTGCAAGTGGTTTATATATCCATAAATAAATATAGCATGCTAGTCGTGTCTGATTCTCTGAGATCCCATGGACTGTAGCCCGCCAGGCTCCTCTGGCCATGGGATTTCCCAGGCAAGAATACTGGACTGGGTTGTCATGCTCTCCTCCAGGGGATCTTCCCAACCCATGGACTGAATCCCCATCTTCTGCACTGCAGATGAATTCTTTACCACTGAGCCACCAGGGAAGCCCAAATAAATATTATTTATTGCTAAAATCAGAATTCAGCTTCGATTTTTTTTTTAAGATGGGAAGCAATGAGAAATCTCTAGAAATCTCATAAATGTTGGAGTACAATGGAATTAATACAATATTGTATTAGTTTTAAGAATGATTTTTAATTATTCAGCTGTAACTCAGGTTCTCCTTCAATTTTCTTACAAGTTAAGAACTGGAAACCACTTGACTTAAAAAGAATCTGTCCCCCAATCATCAGAGGAACTCACTCTCTCAACACTGACACCAAAACATCAAACTGGCCCTCGGACTGGCACCCCAGATATTTTCACACTTGAGTGGTGGGTGTGAGAGGGGAACACATTGTAGTGAGTGGTGACAAGTCTTTTCTTTTGTAAAACAGGAGAAAAGAGACTCCTGCTCAGGCAGAGACCCCTGCTCAGGCAGATCCATTTTAGGAAAGAACCCACAGAGAAGTTAAGGTCTAGCAAGTGATTTCCTGAAAACCCTCCTGCTGAGGACCAGCTGGAAGCCCCCCTATGCCCCCCGAAGGCATCTTGGTTGGCAGAAGGCAGCCACGGTACATTTTAAAGTAAAGATCTGCAGAAGGAGAACAACGTGAATTCATACTTTGGATGCAATTTTGCTTTACCTGCGTTATTCCTTCTGAAAGCAAGCTCTGCCCCCAAGGGTCCCAGGGACTTAGGAAACAACTGGCTGTTCCAGACATATGGGTTCATATCCTTCCCACTGGCAATCAGGGACACGTCCTTGGGGTTTACACCTTAGAAGGACAAAACAGTCATTTCAGAGGTTACAGTGTGATCATAAACTTGAAGAAAAAAATATACATTCAAACTAAGACTAGAAACAACTTGGGGGAATGGAAATAAATTTTGGCTGTAAGATAGCAAATACTTACTATGTGGACCCTGACACCTTCCTAACCCTCAACACAATCACCTGAAATCCTCACAGAGTCTTTTAGAAATGTAAGTTTGGTTGGGTTTTTTTTTTTTTTCATGCAAAGAATAATAAACATTGGACATTTCCTGCTAAATGTTTTGTAAAAACTGAGATGGCACAAAAATCTTCCGAAAGACATTTCCGTATCCCTCACTCATTCTGAGTGTGCGCGCTGTGCCAGGCCCTTGCGGAACACTTGGTTGGTTTCAAGCTGGGAAAACACGTTGGACTCAGCTGGAAAAACAGACATGTGGCCAAGAACTCAGGGGAACTGAGAAGTTGGGAAGTACACGTAAAGGTTCATCTGGGAAGCTCATCTGCATGTCAGATACGGTAAAATCTCAACAGTTCATTTATGATTTTCCAAAATCTGCGAAAGGTGGAATCAGCCTTCGTTACCCAGTGGTCAGAGGGTGTTGGCTTAACATGTGTGTGTTAAAGAGATTTGAACACTTCCTGAACTTGCTGTCTTTTCACTGATAAGTAAATCGGGTTCAGTTTATACGGAGTTCATACGGAGTCGTCACACTGTCTAAGCCTCTGGGTCATACGCGTAGGTTCCCTACCATTAATGCAGTGAGTCAGAAACTCTCCCCAGGGGATACGGGCTCTGGCTTTTCACAGACTGAGCTCCTTGGCAAGGTTTCACGTTTATGAGACATGTAATATCCCTTGTTTGAAAGCCAGAAGCAAGCCTGGTGGTTTCTGAATTGAACCTCAAGGTTACTCATCATCAGTTCTCTAAGGAAACACTCCATCAGGCAAATCATTTCCCTTTATTGTAGGATGTAGCTCCTTATGGAGTTTGGTTTCTGATGAAATTCCTACAAATAGAGCTACAATAAGCAATCACCCAACAATAAAGAAGATGCAGCAAGCAGCAATGACTCAGGTTAAAAACATCTTTAGGTATTTACCCACCAAGTAGGTATAAGGTCAGGGGGAAAAACTACAAATCTCTCTAGGCGAACATTTTTTATAGTTCAACAAAGAATGGGCCCTGAATAGTTAAGTTATTTTAATACAATTAGCCTTGTGATACTCCGAGTTCTTAAAAGTACATACATACTATTGAAGGTAACTGCTTCAATTCTTTGTCTTTTTAAAGATTTCCGTTTTCTTGGAAATAGGAAAAAGGTAGAATTTTAAAACATGTATTAGTCTACAGGCTTTTCTAGACCACCTTCTTAAACTAAACACTCTTAAAGAGAAGCAGAAATCACTCTATCATCCCTCCCCTCAAAGGAAGTTAAAAAGTCAGTTAGCAAACATTTACTGAGCACCTAGTGCATGCCAGGCAGTGTGTGGGCATTGGAGAAAAAGTGGTGAACAGAACAGACCCGTCTCTGCCCTTGTGGCCCTTACAATCTACTCTGATTAAAAAGGAGACATCAACAGCTGTAGAGAAGCCAGTTATTAGCAGTGTGGGGATTATTTAGAAGAGTCTGGTGCCGAGGGGGCAAAAAACAGAAGCATCTAAGCCAGTCTCTTTTTAAAAGGTAATTTAAAGCTGAAATGTGAATCATGCTGGGGACCGGGTAGTGGGTAGGGAGGTGTGTTTCTGGAAGGGAAAGACCTTGGGGCCAATCCCAAGGATGGAACCAGGGGGTGGGGGGAACGTGACATGGCCTGAGTGGGCGGCAGATCCCAGAATTCATGTCTTGCTAAGAAAGTGAAAGTACAGTTGGGAGGGGCACACACAGAAATGACACAGGACGCTGGATTCGCCAGGTGGAAGGAAGGACCGTATGTGATAATGAGACTCGAGAAGGTCCACTCGAGCCGGGTTTCAAAAGTGCCAGAACCAGGAGTGAGACCAGAGGGCGTCACGGAGATGGTGAGCATGTCCTCCGTACACTATTTGCAACAACTACCATGTGATCATGAAGTTCCTGAGGCTTACAGGGGGAGCTGATGACTGCAGTCCCACTGCAAGTAACAAAACAGAACCTCAGAGTCGTGCTCCAGTATACAGCCAGTCAGCAGCAGGTCAGTAACTGTGACTCTTGCATCTCTCTCCCTGAAGGCCTGTGTCACAGATCTGCCAATCCTTGCAGTATGATGTCATGCTGCCCTGAAATTATATGGCACATTTTGGGAGCTCCCATGATCCTGAAGGTTGATGCTTCATAAGACCTTAATACTTAGCTTTACAGTTTAAAAAAAAAAAAAAAGGCAGAGGCCCAAAGGCAATATTCTTTGTTATTCCTGAAGATATTCAATGAATAACTATGGCCAGAAATAAATGTCAAAGATCACTTCTTTGTGTATCTGTTCTCTGCTGGCTCACAGTAGGTGCTCAATAAATGTTTGTCCAAGTGACTGAGCTGAGCTCAATTCTAGTTTCAATTCTCACCCAGCTCTAGAGGGGCTGTCTTTGATACAGAATATGTCAGGACAGGGTACAGAAAGGCTCAGGTTTAGATTGCAAACAATTCATTCTAATTTTGAGTGTTTCTCAGGCTTCAATTTACAGCCATGCTTCTGACCCAGAGTAAGCAGAATTGGTTAGAGCTTTCTGGGTAAAAAGGAAACAATCAGACAGGTCTCAGATACCCTGAAATAACTTGAAAACTTCATTAGGAAACAAGCAGAACTGGGAAAAGGGCGTTTGGGATCCATTCATCTTCGGCCCTGCTGGCTCAGACACTAAAGAGTCTGCCTGCAATGCAGGAGACCCGGGTTCAGTCCCGGGATCGGGAGGATGCCCTGGAGAAGGGAGTGGCAACCCGCTCCAGTATTCTTGCCTGGAGAATCCCATGGACAGAGGAGCCTGGTGGGCTACAGTCCACGGGGTCGCAAAGAGCCACTAACACTATCCTCGGCCGAAAATTTTACAATCGCCTTTCCCACCACGAGAGCGCACTTCTGCAGGTAACATAATCACTGATCTTATTTCAGTGAGGTGGATTCAGCTTTAAAAAAACAACAAACAGGGGAAAATGTCCCCCAGGAATCTGTGTTCTGAAAACCTTATTACACTCCTGCTCTTGCAGTCAGAACAGAACCTCCTCATGGTTTCAACACCAAAACTGACAAGCTGACTGATGCCTTTGCACCTTTCCAAAGCGCACCCTCTCATACGGTCATAACCCCCACTCCTCTCGCCGTGGTCCTAAGGACTTCAGTCCCAGAACAAGCCATCGCCCTCGCTACCCAGATATGGGCAGCGGCCCCGCGAGCAGTCCCCCCGACCCCTTTTGAGCCCCTACGCGTGGTCTACCTAGCAGTTAGATGATCTTTTTAAAGCACACAGCAGATTGTTTAGTGAACAGGATATAACTTCCATCTCTCATATATATATATATAAACTAGTAATGGGAGTGCAGAACTGTCTGAATAAAGTTTTTGCTTTTGCTGAAGGCACAGCTTTGGTGGGGAGGGTGGCGTTTTCCGGAGCACTCTCGTCATCTTGATTTGCGGCTCCCAGGCGTTTCTTGAGCCCATTTCGCAGAGGCAGAAAGTCCAGAACAGTGCCTGGTGACAGGCTGGGCCAGGGGAGGGCTGCGACGGCGGGTCACGGGCGCCCTTTCCTCAAAGACTCAGGGACGCCGAGCAGGACCCGCTAACATGCTTTCGTCACCAGCAAACATTTTGTGGTCTCCACTTACCCGGAAGGTATCTTGACTGTTTCAAATAGTACTGTTTGGCCGTGGAAGCAGTTGACAGTTCCGAATCCGATTTCAGGGTCACAGCAGCAGGGAAGCTCTTGTTTTCCCTCGGTGAGTAGCTGGAACCCGCAGGCACCGACTCTGGAAGCCTCGAAAGTCAACATGAAGGGATGTGACCGGGTGAAGAAGAGCAAGGTGACGCCGCGAGGCGCTCCCCACCCTCTGCACGCCTCTTCAGACCCGCCAGTGGTTTCCATCGGCGTCCTTTGGCCGATAAGACACCCTTGAGTGTCAACTCCGGCTGAGCGGAGACCCGGCAGCCGACAGAAATCCTTCCCGATCCCGGACAGCGTGCAGCACAGATTTTAGACCTAAGCGGCAATCGCCCTGTGGACAGTGTGTTTCCGTTTTTTTTTGTCTACACCTGTGGCAGCTGTGGGTTCAAGATGTTGTGTTTAAAGGGGAGAGACTCTCAGCCGTGTCCACCCGTCTACTCCGGGGGTGCGGCCCCACGAGGGGTGTTGGGACACGCTTCGGGCTGGGCTAAGGAGGGCTGCGTTGGGAAGAAGGGCTAGGAGAGATCCCAGACAAAACTTCTGCGAGCCTAATGCCCTGCAGGGAAATAACGCGTTTGCGGAGACGTGCCAGGTCCCAGGAGGCGGGACCCACGCGGCCCGCCGCGCCCGCCTCCCCAGCCCCGGTTCGGCGCCGGAACGCAGGCCTCCGGTGATCCGGCCTGGCTCTGTCCAGCGCGGAGGGCATTTCTCCGAGCAGCGGCCGTCGCTGCCAGAGGAGGCATTTGTGATTTTGGTTTTTTCGCTGCCTGTTGCTCTGCATGTGGCCCCTCACCACCTTCTCCCCACTCCTCTGCGGAGGCCTGGGGCCACACTGGCTGTTCTTGTCACCTGTCTGACCCCAGGCCTCCGTGGTCACCCCGGGAGGAGTAGGGTGGAGTAGGGTCACCCCCTACTCTCGACCCCCTGAGAGATGGACACTCAGGTGACTGGCCCTCTATGAACCACTGGCCACAGCTTTGGGGTGGCCCTGGACACAGGGAGACCCTTCATGAGAAACAGCCCTACTGGAGGGAGGGAACACATGTATTCATGTTGATGTCAGGCAGAAACCATCACGATATTGTAATTATCTTCCAATTAAAAATTTAAAAAGAGACTGCTAGACATGTTGAACTTTCAGTAAGAGTCCAGAAAACGAGCAAAAATTCAGAGCAGCAAGCAAACGATCCACTCTGAACACCACCGGCAGAGGAAACCGTGACTGTAGACTGTGCTTCGCTTTTTGCAAAGAGGCGTGTGGGCTTCGAAAGGCAGTAATGGTGGACTGTAACGCAACTGGGGCACACGCAACGCTGAATGTGATAACCCCTCACCACACACCCTCAGCCAGTGATCCCGAGAATCCTTCCCGTGCGGAGTCAGGGGTCTAAACTTCCCCAGCGGGAAGCGCAGAGATCTGGGTTTGAGAGAAGAAGACACCACCAAGCCACTTCTTACCTTTTACCAGCTACACTCATTTGCGCTTAGTGAGTAGAGTCAAGTTGACGCGGGCTGAAAATATAGGTTCCCGAGAAAAACGCGAGACCTCCCTTACCGAAACGGAGACTCCTTTCTCCTTGCTTCCTTGGACAAGCCCATGCCTGGCTTCTTGGAATGGGAGGCTCCAAAGTCACCATCCTCCAGGTCTGCCCAGCCGTCTCCAGCCTTGAACACGGCCTGGCCCCAGCGCCTCCGGGCGCCTTTGTGGCCCAGGGCGCCGCACGGCTTCTGTGGTGGGAAAGCGGCATTGCTGTCTTTAATCGGGGGCCGAGGGCCTACTGCGTGCAGGCTGGCACACTCGGCGCTGGCTGTCCCCGGCCTCAGGGGGCTTTGCGCAGAGTTAAGGAGACACACAGGTGCAGTGTTCTAAGATGCTGACAGAGACAGCCCAGGTTAAAAGTGTGATAGGATGCTGAGAGGTCTCTGGGATCCTGGCTTGGGGGAGGCTTGAGTACTTAGGATCAGAGCTGAGTCTTCGTTGATGTGCAATCTAGAAAACTGCCCTGGGTGGCTTTTTGGGCAAATGACCTAACTTTTCAAAGCCTTCTTTTCCTTCCCCTTAAATGGCAGTGGGGGTGGGGGTGGGGGGCGGATACAGTGTTTATATATAACTTCAGTGTTTTTGGATTTGATAGTAAAATGTATTCAAAGTTTTTAGCACGGGTCCTTGCACGTATGGGCTTCCCTGGTGGCTCAGCTGGTAAAGAACCCGCCTGCAATGCGGGAGACCTGGGTTGGATCCCTGGGGTGGGAAGATCCCCTGGAGAAGGGAATGGCTACCCACTCCAGCATTCTCACCTGGAGAATTCCATGGACTGTATAGTCCATGGGGTCACAAAGAGTTGGACATGACTGAGTGACTTTCACTTTCTTGCACATAAGTGTGACCATGTTAGGTATGCTGGGTGTTGTTGCTGTTGTTATTCTACAGCTTGGAAGAGGAAATGGATAAAGTATGTCTTTTTAATAAAGAAGTGTCAGTGGGTGTTCCAGGGAGAAAGGTAGACGGAGCTGACTGGAGTGGATGTGTTGTGCTGGTTGGAGGACAAGGCTGTAAAGACAGACGGGTGCTCTGTGATGAAAGGCCTTCCATGAATCCCTAAGACGTGGCAGCTGTCCTCTGGGCCACGGAGAACGCTGGATGTTTTTGAGCTAAAAAAGTGATGTAATAAAGGCAGCATTTGGGAAAGGTCAGCCTCCTTAGAGAGGAGGCCTTTGCAGTTAAGAGCGGCATGCAGTGACAAGGACAGTGGACTCATTGTGGTTGGAATGCTTGAGAAAGCACACGCTTCTGTTAACAAGGAATAAAGGGTCTGGACTCAGTGTCTCTCTGAACAGAGGTCAAGGTGAGTCTTGCAGACACTGCTGGCTGCCCCTCAGTAGCCACCCTCCTCTGTCTCCTTGCTAGGATTCTCTTCTGGGCAGCAGTCTGCCCATGGGAAATATCTTAAAAAAATGCCAGCCTCGCTCGCAGCTCTTTGGAGCCAGGGGCCACAATCTAGCCAGTGAGATGCAGTGCACATCTGTTGGGAGGGGCTTCCAGGAGGACCAGAGTCAGGCTCTGCCGGTGGCGTGTGCCTGTCTGTTTCACTCTTCCCCCGGGGACAGCGGGCGCCACCCCAGGGAGCAGCAGCCATCTGTGGGACCGGGAGCCTCCCGCTGAGCGTGGTGGTGGGGAAGGGAGACAGGGCAGGCGGGTGTCCTTTACAAGGGGCACCAGCCCTGGCTGGCCCACCACCCGCCTTCTTGCCATCAGAGAAAAATACCCCTCCTGGTTTAAGCCACAAGGGGTCAGGTTCTGTCTTAAGTCACCAGGTGTGATCCTACGGGACACAGAGAAGGGAAGGCAGGCAAGACTTCACAGTGTGCGCCCGGCTGTCTCAGAGGGGTGGCTCCGTTAGCAAGGAATGAGGAAGAAGACCTAGGCTGGGGCAGACAATGAGGCGGTTTTATTCAGATTAACGTGGGTGTTCTGGGGCTCACGTAAACTGAGAAATCCCCAAGGTGACTGAAAATTGGGAATTTGGAAGCAAGGTCAGCAAATTCAGCTGCATTTGAAGCAAGAAGATGCTTAAAGAGTGGATATGCCATTGCTTGAAGCTGATGGTGCCATAGTGACGGGTGATGAACCAAAGGTGGTGTTTGAGAGAGAATGGCCTCCAGACTGAGGAGAAGAAGGAGATCCAGAGCCTCAGGCGGGCAGAGTTAATCAGTTATCCTTGCCTGAGTCTGAGACTGAGCTGTATGTTAGGTGTTGCTGAACACCGCCAGTAACACCTAGTCGTCTTATGTCTGAGAAGACTGGAAAAGGGGAAGTGTTAATAACTTCTATAAAGTAGCAGGTGGATTTTTACGAACTCTACATTAGTAAGTTTGGTACCAGCTGAGGGCAAAGACTCTAAGGGCAGTTACTAAAGAGAGCGCGCACTAGAGGAGAAAGGTGGTGAATGGTACAGGTCACTTTGGGAATGCACACGGGGGGCTGCATCGTGCAAGGAGCTGAGTAGCTATGAATGTGAACTTCCTTTCTTCCCCTCCTGGTATGAGTCCCATTCTATGTGCCTTTCAAGGGGGAAAAAAAAAACCAGATAATCCTTGATGGCACGAGCAAACACAGCGTTCCAGAACTTCGGTGGTGGTTCACCCAGTTTACATTTCCTACCTGCTATCCGCCGCTAGTTCTGGGGAAGGGGAATGCAGGATGGGAAGGGGACGTGGCGGGAGTCAGCCATCAGCGAGTGCCGGTCCCAGCGGAGCCTGGGAGGGAACTGGGGGTGTGTTTCTCCTGGAGAAAGCGGCAGGTAAGGGAAGGGTGACTTTTCAGTATCTGAAGGCTACCTTTCTGGGAGAGTGATTCACTTTTAAAGCTACAGAAACCAAGGACTTCCCTGGTAGCCCCGTGGTTAAAAATCTGCCTTCAAATGCAGGGGCTGTGGGCTTGATCCCTGGTCTGGGAACTATGATTCCACATGTCTCCCAGATGAACCAAAATATAAAACAGAAACAATATTGTAACAAATTCAATAAAGACTAAAAAATGACCCACATCAAAAAAAATTTTTTCTTTTGGAAACCAGATTTTAGTTCACTGTGAGGAAGAACTTTCTAGTAGTCAGAATTGTCCCAAAGATAACGTGGACTCCTTAGGACCCTGGGGGTGGTTCCAAATCAGTGGACATTTATTTATTCATTCAACAGATATTTGTTGAGAATTTACCATGTGTCAGACAGCTTCCCTGGTGGCTCAGATGGTAAACCATCTGCCTGCAACGCAGGAGACTCGGGTTTGGTCCCTGGGTCAGGAAAAGCCCCTGGAGAAGGGGATGGCTACCCACTCCAGTATCCTTGCCTGGAGAATCCCATGGACAGAGGAGCCTGGCGGGCTACAGTCCACGGGGTCACAAAGAGTCGGACAGGACTGAGCGACTCACACTTTCGCTTTTAGACACTGTTCTGGGTTCTGGGTCTGTTCTGATAAACGAAGCAGACAAACATCTTTTGCATCTTCCCCGACACTGAGAGAACGCCTAGAAAGGAAATCCTTAGTGGAACCAACCTCTACATATCGCATCTAAAGTGTCATACTGGGCTACTCACGGTGGGCATGCTTTTGACGACGCTTGGAAAGAGGGCTGGCGGCCTTTTCTGCTGACCGCGCTGCTTGGGCGCTGGCTGGGCACCCGTGTGCTGCGGCGGCTGGATGGACCGCAGCGGCTGGTGGCTGTTCTTCAGCTGGGGCGGTCCGGCAGCCTGGTCGTTTATGTCCGGCAGAGGCTGAGGTTCTGGGTCCGCTGCAGATGGCTTCGGTTCGAGTGGTTGCACAAGCTTATTTAAAGGCTGTTTCGATTCCAAATGATGTGAGGAAGGGCCTAATACTTGACCAACTTGAAAATATGGGTGTTTCAAAGCCTGTAGCAGCATGGCAAAAACAAAAGAAAAATGGTTTCTCCTGAATTTATTGCATATACACTATCGTCCGGCATTGGGCTAGGCATGTATCACTCATCTGAGTAAGTTTCAAAGATTTACAGAGCATCCACTTTTTCCCTTATGTGATGACTTTAAAAAGACACCCGGGGGGGCCTTCCCTGGTGGTCCAGTGACTAAGACTCTGCGTTCCCAATACAGGGGGCCTGGGTTAGATCCCCTGTCAGGGAACTAGATCCCACATGCCACAACTAAAGATCCTGTGTGCCAAAACTAAGACCCAGCAAAGTCTAAATAAATAAATAAACATCTTAAAAGGAAAAAAAAAGATACCCAGGAAAAAATAATTTGAGAACTAAATTTCATTTAAAAAATGAAAAAGTACATGTTAGTAGGAGACTATAAGACTCACATTCAGTAATTTTCACATCCAGTCAAAGCAAATGTTCTTTTAAAGACTTTGTATGAAAACAAAATCTAGCTTGTAACATTGGCTGAATTTGGAAAAAAAATTCAAACCAAAATGGTAGATACTGATAATGGTTTAGACCCCATAAAGGCATTAAGAGAAATGAGTTAAGAAAGCCTTCTACATAGTTTGTTTTAATGAAAAACTCTAACATCATTTAAAATTCAAGGTTGTTCTAACTATAACTCCATATTGACTAGCAATACAAAAAATTCTAAGAAGACTGAAAACATATACATGTTAAAGCCTATTTTAACAATATACCAGCATAGAGAAGATTATTTAGGGGATAGAATATAAAAATACTAGTTAAAACAAGAAAGAAAAGAAAGAAAATACTAGTAAAAAGGTCACTATTTGATTGGATCAGTCATCAAACTGCTGCTACTACGTGGAAGTCGGGTGGGGGGACCTGAAGACGGGGTGACACAGCCTTGACCAGGGTTCACGGCTGGGGACACTTTGCCCTTTAGGGGATATTTTTTATTGTTACAACTCGGGGGACGGGAAGTACTCCTGGTGTCTAGGCATGCTGCAGGAACGGCGCTAAATATCGTATAATGAACAGGACAGCCCGCCCCCCACCCATCCCCTCAACAAAGGATTATTGGGCCCAAAATGTCAGGAACACCGAGGAGTACTTTGGCCACCTGATGCAAAGAACCGACACTGGAAAAGACCCTGATGCTGGGAAAGATTGAAGGCAGGAGGAGAAGGGGACGACAGAGGACCAGATGGTTGGACGGCATCACCATGAGTTTAAGCAAGCTGCGGGAGATGGGGAAGGACAGGGGAGCCTGGGGTCACAAAGAGTCGAACGTGACTGAGTGACTTAACACACCACCAAGGTTGATGACAATTAGTCTGGAGGCTGTCTGAAGGTTTCTCTGCAGCTCTCCTGTGCTGATAGATCTTTGTCAGTATTACATGTCTGGATGGGGAGGGAAGTTCCCAGTTCTATTGTTTTGTATGTGTGTGTGTGTTGGTGGAGGGTGGCTCCTTAAGATAACCAAGTCCCATTCTCCTGCACTTCCTGCCCTAAGCCAGTCCCCACCCGCCATGTGGAGGCAGAGCCGTGACCCCCGGTGAACATCTTAGGTGGGCAGGGGCAGAGTTTGAAGGAACAGGCAGCATCTAGAACTTAACCATGTCTCCCTGCTTCCACTGAAAAGCCCAACACTGAAATAGTGAACAAGAAAGAGGTTAAGGGCAGGGAGGTATGTTTTGGCAGAAGTGGGAGGAAGTTTTATCCTGAGTTTTCCCCTTAGAAACTCTGCTGTGTCCCCTACCACACCCGATGCAAGGGTTAATTACACGGACACTGCTTGGTGGACCTCGACCACCGTAGGCGATTTAAATACATCAGTACCTGGCAGCCAGGAGGCGAATTCTGAATTAAGTAGTCCCATTAATTAACATGTCAGTATTCCTCAGGCAATGATGTACATTTTGGAGCTAGAAGATTTATAAGAGTGTGTTTTGCAATTTCAAGGCTTCATCTGTAACTTTTCCCCTTTAAGATACCAGCTACCATCCTTAAAGAAACAGGGATCTTTAAAAAAATAATAACATTTTTTCCTGTTTGTTGAGGGAATACTGATTGCATAGAATAAGGAATGTATAGAAAGTTTTCAAGAAAAAATTAAAATTATCTCTAAAGCCAACACCAAAGAGAAAATTATTGCTCACATTTTGATGTTTTTCTTTTCAGTATTTCTTTTTAGTCTTTCATTTACATTATCTTTCATATACATACATATGGTGTGGCAAAAAAAATAAGTAAATTGTATTTATTATAAAAAATGTCAAGTGATAGTAATTACAACAGTGAAGGTACTGGCATAAGATACAGTTGCAGAAGCTGTAAGTCTGTATAAAGTAAATACACATATATTTATAAAAAATTAGAATAGAAAAGTCTCATATTATCACTCAAAATATATTAAACTATGAGAATTTATAATAGAAAATGACCCTATTAAAGTATTCTGTGACTGTGCCTTTTGCTATTTACCTTACTTAACATTATCTCACTTCAACCAATTATTGACTATACAACATTGCACAAATTATGCAATGTCTGAGTTCCTCAGTTTATTTATTTTTAAGCAGTGAAAATTACGTGTACCTAATAGAGTTTTTGTGAGGACTGCCAGAAATTTTACATAAAGCCCCTGCTCAATAAATATTAGTTATTGTCATTAATTAATATCAGTATTACTGTTAAGGACATGAGTCCTAGGGTGGCTCAGATGGCAAAGTATCTGCCTGCAAAGCCAGAGACCCAGGCCCGATCCCTGTGTTGGGAAGATCCCCTGGCGAAGGGAATGGCAACCCACTCCAGTATTCTGGCCGGGTGAACCCCATGGACAGAGGAGCCTGGTGGGCTACAGTTCATGGGGGTCACAAAGAGTCGGACACAACTGAGTGACTAAACATACATATGCCAGTATCTTCACTGTTGTAATTACTATCACTTAACAGATTATGATTTTCTTGTAATAAATACAATTTATTTTTTTGGCCACACCGTGAAGCATGTAGGACTCTCAGTTCCCCAACCAGGGATGGAACCTGTACCCCTTCCAGTGGTGGAAGCACGGAATCTTAACCACTGGACTGCCAGGAAGTCCCGTTAGAGATTACTTTAATATTTGATAGGGCAAGCCGTCTACCCCACCACCATCCCCCAAGTTACTTATTCTCGTTCAAGCCTGTCTTGGTTATTCTTTCCTATCTGTTCTTCCAGTTGATTTTAGAAAATATTTCCCAAATTAAATGTTTTAAAAGCCAAACTATTATTTCATTTATTTCAACACTTAATGAATAGTTAAATAACAATAAGAACACCATGAAGCCCATCATGACTTTTTAATTTAAGCCATTTGCAGATAAAATTGTACTGTTTTTAAGACCATGAGACAAAATTCCTTCAAAGGTATCGAAGGTTTAAGTCACAAAGAAGCCAAGCGTGGGTGTCACAGGCTGCCCTCTTGTGCAGGGAGAGAGAGATGAGGCTCCGTTCCCGCGGAGGGATGACCGGGCTGTGCAGGGAACAGGAGTCCTCTAACCCGCAGGAGAGCAGTGCAAATTCTATGAGGCTGTCTTAACTGAAGAGGCTACCACCCATGACAAGTTGCTTCCTAATTAGCTTGTCCATGCCTGAATTTTTATCATTAGAGATTGACTCCTTTCAGCCTCAACCTCCGTAGAGTTCCTCATTTGAACCACAAAACACAGAAAATCACTGGAGTGGCTATTTTTTGCAATTTTTCCAAGAATCTTACATGCCTGGAAGTTAATTCATTAGGTACACTGGGTGCCGTAAGTTTTAGGGCTTACTTCTCTTGGTAAAACTCTGGTCAAAAATAGACTTGTCTTTGCAAAGGAAGATAACCCCCGATATAGTAAAACCTCAAATTAAAAGAACAAAAAAGCTATACCAAGGAGGTTTGTCTTACCTGGCTTGCTGTTGGTCGTTTCTTTGGGTCCCAGTTCAACATTTCAGTCATAAGCTGAATGGCTTCGTTACTGGCATTGGGAATAAGAGTTTTTAGGTTTATAGGAACACATTGGGGAAAACGGAAATTCATAGAGGATGCAAGCTGGTACCCTTCTGGCCAGTCACTCTGTTGAAGGAATATATAAGTGGGGGAGAGAGAGCAATAAGAAAATGTTTTTAGTGATCAGTTTAAAACATAGTAATAATATAAAAATCACTCGTGTATGATGTGTTGACTCATAAATAAATGTGAAAATGAAATCCAATGACATACCTAGTTCAGTGCTACAAACAGTATAGACAGAACATTGAATTAAGAGTTAGGGGCAAAAATGAGAAAGCACTCTTATAAATTTCAAAATGTTAATGATGATGGTACCCAGGTGAGTTTGAACAACTAAGGACAAGTGATTTACAAAGAGAATAACTATTACAAAGATCCTCATTATATGTTAATGCATTGCGTCCAATGTCAAAAACTGCACAGAGCTGGGAAATGACAGTTTTGTTAAAGTTTTAACAGCTGCGTTAACTTGTCTAATGTTAACTATGAGGCACAGACTCAAGTAAGGCCTAATTATACATATTTAAACTTATTAAATAAGTATAACTCAGAAAGTGAAGTCTAGCTGAGTGCAGTAGTTAACTGAAAAGTCCTCATTTCAAGAAATTAAATATCTGTGGCAGAAGTATATAAAAGTAAACAAAGAAAGGTTAAGAGAATATAAAATCTAGGACACTTGGCATTAATAAGTTGATTCCAATGGACGGTCACAGAACAAGGAGGAAAGATTCTGAGCAAGGATGTCTCCATAGCCATCAGCTGGTCATCTGCTCAAAGTTAAATATATAGAACTCTAAATATAGAAAATCTTCCCTTATGTTCTTCAAGGGAGGCAAGCACCTTTTTTCTACAACCTGACAGAATTCAAGCTTCTTGCAGTCCTCATTCCATCCCAATTAAAAAAAAAAAAAGATTATAAGAAAAGTAACCGTTAAAGCATAAGCCTATTTGAAAAATGCAAATACCAGCTAGCTAGCTGAAAGTTATAAATAATGAAAAGTTACAACTTAGGGACAAGTGTACTTACTTTTTTGGGAGTCCCTAAAACCTGGCAAATCTTAAAGATTTCATCGACCTCACTTGTCCCCGGGAAAAGTGGTCTTAGTGTATAGAGTTCAGCCATTATACTGCCGACAGCCCACACGTCGATGGGAGAGCTGTAGGCTGAAGATCTTAACAAGACCTCAGGAGCGCGATACCTATGCAAAGAGAACACAAAATCCAACAGGCCATTTTGGGTGTCGTCTCTGAGATGGAGGGGCAGAAGGCTCTCATTTTGTTTGGTCGTGCATTTCAGTCGAGGACCAGGTGTTAAGTGCCTTTCTGTGTTGGGATGGAGCAGATGTTTCCTGACCACAAACTCATAGTGGAGCTCGAGACAAGTATCATGAAATGTCCATGTGACCTAAGATAGGGACTCCTACAAACAGATGTGAAAATGCTATATAATACACTAAGGAAAGGGGGGAAGCTCTGAATGGAAGCAGATATATCCTGAATGGGAACAGCTGTGTAATTTTACAATGCATTACATCCTGATGCATTCATATGAAGGACAGAAAACAAAAGATTAACAAAGATTATCCCTGAGTAGCGAGCTTTTTTCCCTTTTTTTTTAAAGTTTATTTTATTCACGTATAGTGATTTACAATATTGTGTTAATGTCTGCTTTATAGCAAAGTGATTTAGTTACACGTGTATACATTCTTTTTCATAGTCATTATGGTTTATCATGGGATATTGAATATATTCTGTGCTTATTTATCCTTTTTTTTTTTGCTTATCAGTTTGAAACGGCAGTTCCTCAACTGACTCAATTCCCTTAATTGATAATATAGTATATTCACAGAGTTGTGTATCCATCATCACAATCAACTTGAGAATATTTTCATTATCCCCCACAGAAACCCCACATCGCTCCAACAGCTCTGGGTCCAGCATCTCTAGTCTACCACCAATCTATTGATTTGCCTGTTCCATCACTTCATATCAATGGGACCATACACTATCTGGTCTTTTGTGACCAGCTTCTTTCACTGAACATGTTTTCAAAGTTTATCCACATTGTAGCATGTATCAGAACTTCTTTCTTTTTATTGTTGAATAATATTCCACAGGCTGGAATCAAGATTGCTGGGAGAAATATCAAGAACCCTAGATATGCAGATGATACCATACTAATGGCAGAAAGTGAAGAGGAGCTGAAGAGTCTCTTGATGGAAATGAAAGAGGAGAGTGAAAAAGCTGACTTAAAACCCAACATTCAAAAAACTAAGATCATGGCATCCAGTCCCATCACTTCACAGCAAATAGAAAGGGAAAAAGTAGAAGCACTGACAAATTTTATTTTCTTGGGCTCCAAAATCACTGTGGACAGTGACTGCAGCCCCAAAATTAAAAGACGCTTGCTCCTTGGAAGAAAAGCTATGACAAACCTAGACAGTGTACTAAAAAGAAGAGACATTACTTTGCCAACAAATATCTGTATAGTCAAAGCTATGATTTTTCCAGTAGTCATGTGTGGATATCAGATTTGAAGCATAAAGAAGACTGAGTGCCAAAGAATTGATGCTTTCAAACTGTGGTGCTGGTGAGGACTCTTGAGAGTCCCTTGGACTGCAAGATCAAACCAGTCCATCCTAAAGGAAATCAACCCTGAATATTCATTGGAAGGACTGATGTTGAAGCTGAAGCTCCAATACTTTGGTCACCTGATGTGAAGAGCCAACTCACTGGAAAAGACCCTGATGCTGGGAAAGACTGAAGGCAGGAGGAGAAGGGGACGACAGAGGATGAGATGGCTGGATGGCATCACCGACTTGAGGGAATGAGTTTGAGCAAGCTCCAGGAGATGGTGATGGACAGGGAAGCCTGGTGTGCTGCAGTCCATGGGGTCGCAGGGCTGGACATGAGTGACGGAACAACAATATTCCACTGTATGGCTATACCACGTTTTGTTTATCTGTTCATCGGTTGTTTCTACTTTTGGGCTATTACAAATAATGTTGTTATGAACAGCCACAAGTTCTTGTGTGGACATATGTTTTCATTTCTCTTGGGTATACACCTAGGTGTGGAATTTGCTGGATCACATGGTAACTATATGTTTATCCACTGAGGAACTGCCAGACTGTTCTGTACCATTTTACACTCCTACCAACAACCTATGAGGGTTCCAATTCTTCCACATCCTTGCCAACACCTGTTACTATGTTTTGATAGTTTTATGAGACAAAATTATTTCAAATGTTTTGCCAGGTTTAGATGCTGAAAACAAATAGTCTCAATTTCACTCCATTTCAGTACAGGATCTAAATTTACCCAGTTGAAAATAGAAGCTCCCTAAAAAGATTCTTCCCCGCAAGAGGAGATTTTCCAATTCTAACTATACATTTAAACAGATAAAAACTAGTATACTTTGAGCTCTTAGCACTTTATCTGTTCAGTTCCTCTTTTGCTTTTGTAGGGATAAATGTCATTATCTTTCTGTTTGCAAGCCTCATTTTCAATAATTCCAGTTTGCTATAAACTTCAGAAGTGTGAGTTTTTGACGCTCTATTTATCAAAAATTCTGAAGGAGGATTTCTAAGGGAACTGAGACAAAATGCAACCAAAATATAAAGGGATTATTACAAAAAAGCTAGGCACCACTGTAAATCATTAAAATTTACTTACAAAGCAGTTTTTCAAAGGTTCAAACAATTCTAAAATCCAAATGGCAGCAAAGAGAGAAAAACATACAGCCATGCTGCAGCAGACTTTGAAGTCAACCTCAGTGTCATCAGAAAATGTGTGGTTGGTTAGGCTCTGTCTGTGTGTATGTGTAATGTGTGTATTCTGACAACTGCAACTTGTTATTTTGTTAGAATGCAATTTAGCAGCTTATTTGGAAGCAGTTACAAAACAGATGTGCATCCTCACCAAATACCCTTCAGCTTTCTAGGTTTCTTAGTTTAGTAAGAATACTGTTTTAATGATGTTCAGCATCTTTAAATTTTGTATTTGGTTTATCACTGCAAAAAGAATGCTATTTTCAATGTAAAAGTTTTTTAACTAAAATTAAGTAGCAATCCCAGTCATGTCAGCCATTTCACTTTTCAAAGAATGACCTTCCTAAAGTTTCACACTGATTCCATGGATTGTGATGAAAAAAATCAAACCATTATTAGAAATCAGATAACTAATTTTTCTCTTCGAAGCCAGTTTGAAGACACTCATTTTTTAAAAATTGTTAAAAAAACTTTTTAATTGTTAAAAAAAATTTTAAAATAAAAAAGCAAACTGGCATTATTAATTAGCTATGTGTTAAAGTGTGAACTTGGTTCATTGTCTCTCATGTTACCAGCTAAGACCGGGGGAGAAGCAAGAAGCATATGGTGCCGGGGGATCAGACGTGACGCAGCTTGCTTTAATGACACTATTGAAAGCAGGCCCCGGCCAAGACTGTCCTGAGCAAATCCGGACACACCGCACCCTTTCCCGGCTCCGTCCTCAGACTGATTCACTCTTTCCCCACACTTGCTCCCTTAGTGGCCTCATCCAACGCTGTAATTTTTAACACTGACATCTCCCAAGCTGACGTGTCCAGCCCAGCCCTGCCCCCTGAACCCAGGCCATAGGCTCGCTGCCTACAATGACATCTCAGGGGCACCCCTCACCTGAAAACAGCCTCCCCCAACCTGGAGCTCCGCAGCGGCGCCATCCCCATCAGGGCCCACTCCAGCCTCCCAGCTGCTCACAGAAAGGCCCCTGAAGTGCCTGACTCCTTTCCTCACTCCCCCGTCTGATCCCCCACTTCTGCTCTGCCTTAGAAACACACTCCGCATCCTGTCTCCCTCTCCCCACCTTCACGGCCACGAGATCCAAGTCATTTCCTGCCATCTTCTGCCCCAAAAGTGTAACAGCCTCCTCCCTGGTCTTCCGGTTCTGCCTGTGCTCCTCTAGATTCTGTTTCCAATCCGGCAGCTCAGAGCCCCCCAAGGGTCTCCCCAGTTCTCGCAGATCAGCAGGCCACCCCCACCCTTACTGTGATCCACAGGGACCTCTGAGATCTGGCCACCCCACAAACACTCTAACCTCGTTTCCTGCTCTTGCCATGAGTGTTCATTCTGCTCTGTGCAGAGCGATCCTGCCTCCAGGCCTGGTCTCAGCATTTACACTCAGCATTTTCTCGGTCTGAAAAGCTCTCAACATCCGGCATCTCCCCAACCCCACACCCCAGCATCACTGAGACCTTCTGTTTAACAGCAGCACGGGGACTTCCCTGGTGGTCCAGTGGCTAAGACTTTGCCTTCCAATGCAGGGGATGCAAGACAATGCAGGATAAGGCCTTCCAATGCAGGTTCTATCAGGGAACTAAGAGGCCAAAAAACCCAAAACAGAAGGAAAAAGTAACAGCAACATGCCCTTCCCCTCCGGTGCCTCCTCCAACCCCACGTCCCCTTCAAGACTTAATTTTTCTCTGTAATAACATATCACTATCTGATACTCAAATATTCTTAACTGCTTTCATTGGAGTATAATATAAATACTTTGGCCACCTGATGTGAAGAACCGACTCATTGGAAAAGACCCTGATGCTGGGAAGGTGGAAGGCGGGAGAGGGGGATGACAGAGGATGAGATGGTTGGATGGCATCACTGATGCGACAGACATGAGTTTGAGCAAGCCCCGGGAGTTGGTGATATACAGGGAGGCCTGGCGTGCTGCAGACCAGGGGGTCGCAAAGAGTGGGACACAACTGAGCGACTGAACTGAACTGATACATACAGAAAAAAGCACGTGTCCCAGGAATACAGCTTGCTGAATTTTCACAGTTAGAACGGACCCAGCACCCAGATCAAGGGACTGCATGCTGTCAGCACCCCAGACGGTCCCTCTCCTGCACTCAGCCAGTCACTTCCGCCCCCGCTCACCCCACCGTGTGGCCGCTATCCTGACTTTTAACAACGTAGATTAGATCTATTTTTGTACACTACATGGAATCCCATAATGTGCTCTTTTTCCGTTTAGCTCTTGCTCCCAGCACTGGATCCGTGAGATTCATCACACTGCTTATGTGGCTTGTAGGCCTCTCATTCTCGTCGCTGTAAGGCAGTCCAGGCGTCACATCTCAGACTACCCAGACGTGATGGGCCTCTGATGTCTTCTGATGGACCTGTGTATGTCTCTCTGTTGGTAACTCACGATACGTTTGTTCGTGTATTGGCTGTCACATAAGTAGCATGAGGCAGAGATTCTTGTCTGTTTGGTTCTCTTCTTTGTTGATGCTGTTGTTTAGTCACAAAGTCGTGTCTGACTCTTTGCAACCCCATGGACTATAGCTCACCAGGCTCCTCTGTCCATGGGATTCTCCAGGCAAGAACACTGGAGCGGGTTGCCATGTCCTTCTCCAGGGGATCTTCCCGACCCAGGGATTGAACCTGCGTCTCCCGCATGGGCAGGCGGATCCTTTGCCACTGAGCCACCTGAGAAGCCCTCCCTCTGTGTTCCCGGTGCCTAAAATAGTGTCCTTCCAGCAGCAGGTGTTCAACAAATATTTGTGGAATGAGTGAACAGATGTGTGAAGGCCTTTTTCCTTCTCTTTTTAATAACAAAGGAATCATGAGCCAATCTTCCCCTCTCTCCAAGGAATGTAAAAAAAATTCAGTTCTGCATTTTAAGTACTAGAATTGGGACCTCCAGAAAGACACAGAGCAATCTATTGTAGGAAAACCTCACCCGGGACGCGGACAGCTGCAGAAGCTACTCACCATCTGGTGGACACATAGTCCGTATACGGCGGCTGCGACCTCAGTTCTCTCGCGAGTCCAAAGTCGGCAATTTTCACAAGTTCTGGACCCATACAAAGCAAGTTTTCTGGTTTCATGTCCCTATGGAAAAAACCTTGGTAATACAGAGAGGAAAAACAATAAATCATCGTATCTAGACGTATTTGATTTATTAACAAGATGTAGCTGAACCTCTCTGTTCTAATTAGGAGCGTGAACTTAGGGGGAAAAATAAACCTTATTTATTGTCTATAAAATGATGGGAGGTGGGGACCGTGCTTTCAGAATAATTTGGCAAGGAAATTCATACAGTATATATGATGGGTAAAAATAAATGTGCACATGTATTTCCTTTTCTTTTTTTTTTTAATTTTTATCTATTTATTTGGCCACACTGCATCTTAGTTGTGGCACACAGGATCTTTGATCTTCACTGCGGCATATGGACTCTTTATAGTTGCAGCATGTGGGATCTAGTTCCCTGACCAGGGATGGAACTCAGGCCCCCTGAATTGGGAGCAGGGTCTTAGCCACTGGACCACTGGGGAAATCCCTCCATGTGTATCTCTGTTTGTGGATCTGGTGCGTTCAGGCACTGGGTTAGTACTGCCACGTGACGATCATCTCTGTGAATCTGCTCAGCGGCCCTAAGGAGGCCCTGTGATCACGAGTGTGAAACACACGAGGAGGTTCGGCCTGGAGGGAGGTGGTGGCGTGACGCTCAAGGAGGGTTGCACACCAGCTCACACCCGTGCAGCTGGTCTTCCTGCTGCTGACAGTTTAACTGTGATTCCTTGAGTATAATCACTTATTTGAGAAGTGCATTAAGCACAACAGGAACACCACACATTTGAACCAACTCCTTGCTTTAAAATCATTTAACAGCTCAGTTCTCTCCAGTAGCTGCCTTCTTGACAATCCCAAACATTATAATGCTTATTTACCAAGTGAAAGTTGCTCAGTCGTGTCCGACTCATTGAGACCCAGGCCAGAATTCTCCAGGCCAGAATACTGGAGTGGGTGAGCCGTTCCCTTCTCCAGGCCATCTTCCCAACCCAGGGATTGAACCCAGGTCTCCCGCATTGCGGGCGGAGTCTTTACCAGCTGAGCCACAGGGAAGTCCCTTACTGACCAACTAATGTGTAAAACAGATGGCTCCTGAAGCTACACGGCAGCCCCGTGAAAATGAGGCAGAAAGCCCTCCTTGCAGACGCCTAGGCAGCATGTGGAGCACACCGGCTGTCCACAGATGGCCTGTATCCTAACGACCCTTCTGGGTGGAGAATGAAGAACGGCCAGTTCATCGGTTGTAGGTGATCGTCATCATTCCAAGAGGGTTTGAGCTCGGAAGACTTCTCTAAGCCTGAACCGTTCTAATCCCTTCAGGGCAGTTGTGGGCTGTGTATGACATCGGTACTCCTTACTCCAGCTAGCTACTGAGATCCATTTCATTCACTTCCAAGACAAACACGTCATAATTTCACGATGAAGACAGGAGAGGGAGCACGTGACATTAATCTATAAAATCTTACAGAATTAAACCAGAGTTGAGGTTTTCCCCACCTTATATAGTATAAATATATTGTTAACTTGGTCCTATTTTAACCAAAGTATTAGTTCAATTTTTTTGACAGCTACTATTTTAAAAGTGTCTGTTTTCTCAAAGGATTACATCTGAGATGTTTAAATACGACAAGAATAAATTAGCTTTTGTAAAAATGTCTATTGTTCTTGAGTCTGGATTCCCAAATCACTATGGAGACACTTAAAAAGCGATCTCTAGATTACCCTTTACTTCTGGCAATGATTTTTAAATCCCAAACTAGTTTCCTCTTTCAATCCCTTATGCTCTAAAGTTGCTGGTAGTTGCTATATATCCAAGAAATCTAAACCAATTTTATTACTAGCCTAAAAAAATAGCAGTAAAACACAAAGCTCTTTAAAAAAAATTAAAAGAATTCATGAGGCTTTTGACTTTTCACACAACACTTTCTCCATTAGCATAAATTAACATATGCAAAAATCAAGAGTTACCATGCTGATCAGAGTTTTAAAATGGGTTGAAGATGAGGAATCCATTAAGAACAATTAAAATAGCATATATCCTTAATTTTAATTAACAAATGACTGACTTTTACCAATCAATTGTAGTAAATTATCATGGGTTTTAGATTTTGAAAGACCTTAACAGCTTATATGAGACTGGGGATTCAAGAATGTTCTTACAAGGTTTATATGGGATTCTGCATGGCACTTTTAGGAAATTCTATGTATTTCTGTGTGGCATAATTTTTAGAAAATTCTATTTCCTGTAGCAGTTAAAAGAGAAAAGAAAATATCATATGAAACATGAAAGGAGACTAATGATGGTGATTTTTGAATGCCTATGCTCAAAATGCAGCAATAGTAGCATAAACTTTTCTCATTTAATATCTAAACAACTAGTGATTCTAAACATTCATTAACATTTTTCATAATAATTGTATTAACTTTTCAGGTTAAGTTACTTTGGTTTGAGAGAGATGCAAAAAACAATATCAGTTATAAGATTAACATAAATAAGAAATTCATAAATATAAGAGCAAGCATTTAATTTCTTCAAGTATAGAAATAACTATGTGTGAATACTAAGGAAAACTAGAAAATACTATAGCTTGGGTGGCTTTAAACTAGTTAAATGTTAGTAATTGGTCATGATAGATCAAAGCATTTCAACCTTTTCCAAAAGAGGAGACTTATATTTTTTTCATTTCCATGGTAAAATTAGGTGGAATAAGGTAGCAGGGTGGGTTTATGATGACAGACTAAATGCTGGTGATCAAACTGTTAAAAAATTCTGATATAGAGGAAGATAATTATAGATTATAGAAATTCTATTTTATTTAGAATTGTAGAAATTCTGAAGTTTTTAAATATGTCATTTAGTAGGCACATATTCCAAAGTTGTAGTTATCTAACATAATATTATTTAATAATAGCTTACATATAATTCCTATCCATAACTGACAATAATCTAAAGATGTAGGGATATAAAACCTACCATGTTTATGGATAAATGCCAGCCCCTGCAATATCTGATACATAATATTTCTGATGACAGACTCAGGGAACAACTTGTTTCTGTGAAGAAATGAACAAATAAACAGTAATGTAATTCAGTTTGTAGAAAGAATGTAAAAAGAATACTAAAGGTACAGTTATAGAATCAGAGCCAATGTTTTGTGCATGGGTCTTCAACTGAAATGGAAAAGAAGATTACTTGTATAAGAAAGGCTTGTAAATTAATCTCAAAAACAATATTTCAGGAAGTTAAGCTACCAAAAACAGTGTAAAAATAGCACTTAACTTCAAATAGCCCTTTTACCATGTACAGTTGTTAGTAGTTTAATTCATACTTTTTTCTTCTTATTTTTTAAATTATGAAAGTATGATAACACATTTATAGGGGACTTGGAAATAATTTACAATTTTGACATTGAATAATATTCTAAACAATATCACTTTTATTTCCATTTAATTTAGAAATCCAGAATTGAATCATGAAATTTCAAAGCTTACTCTTTTTTTAGTGTTCATTTGCAATTGTATTAACTACTTCCATCAACAGGTTTATATATATTTTTTAAATCAGATGAATATATAATATTTGTTACATTTATATGTACTTAATTTTTTTCTTCAAAATTATATCTCAACATATCTTTTTTACTATTTTATACATTTAAAAGAGCATAAATTATTATTCAAAGACAAAAAGATTACCCATAATCACACCACCTGATCTAGAAACTATTTTGACTCTTTAGTATCTAATCCAGTCATAATCCACATGTATAATTCTTATATAAGATGTCAGTGTTACATAAATATAATTTTGGTTTCTGTTTTTTACCCACTTGTAAGCACTTTCAAATCAAATCCCTTATGACTATACAGTGGAAGTGAGAAATAGATTTAAGGGACTACATCTGATAGACAGAGTGCCTGATGAACTATGGACAGAGGTTCATGACATTGTACAGGAGACAGGGATCAAGACCATCCCCATAGAGAAGAAATGCAAAAAGGCAAAATGGTTGTCTGAGGAGGCCTTACAAATAGCTGTGAAAAGAAGAAAAGTGAAAAGCAAAGAAGAAAAGTGAAAAGCAAAGAAGAAAAGGAAAGATAGTCCCATTTGAATGCAGAGTTCCAAAGAATAACAAGGAGAGATAAGAAAGCCTTCCTCAGCGATCACTGCAAAGAAATAGAGGAAAACAACAGAATGGGAAAGACTAGAGATCTTTTCAAGAAAATTAGAGATACCAAGGGAACATTTCATGCAAAGATGGGTTTAATAAAAGACAGAAATGGTATGGACCTAATAGAAGCAGAAGATATTAAGAAGAGGTGGCAAGAATACACAGAAGAACTATACAAAAAAGATCTTCACGATGCAGATAATCACGATGGTGTGATCACTCACCTAGAGCCAGACATCCTGGAATGTGAAGTCAGGTGGGCCTTAGAAAGCATCACTATGAACAAAGCTAGTGGAGGTGATGGAATTCCAGTTGAGCTATTTCAAATCCTGAAAGATGATGCTGTGAAAGTGCTGCACTCAATATGTCAGCAAATTTGGAAAACTCAGCAGTCACCACAGGACTGGGAAAGGTCAGTTTTCATTCCAATCCCAAAGAAAGGCAATGCCAAAGAATGCTCAAACTACTGCACAACTGTACTCATCTCACACGCTAGTAAAGTAATGCTCAAAATTCTCCAAGCCAGGCTTTAACAGTACTTGAACTGTGAACTTTCAGATGTTTAAGCTGGTTTTAGAAAACACAGAGGAACCAGAGATCAAATTGCCAACATCCGATGGATCATTGAAAAAGCAAGAGAGTTCCAGAAAAACATCTATTTCTGCTTTATTGACTATGCCAAAGCCTTTGACTGTGTGGATCACAACAAACTGTGGAAAATTCTGAAAGAGATGGGCATACCAGACCACCTGACCTGCCTCTTGAGAAACCTATATGTAGGTCAGGAAGCAACAGTTAGAACTGGACATGGACCAACAGACTGGTTCCAGATAGGAAAAGGAGTACATCAAGGCTGTATATTGTCACTCTGCTTATTTAACTTAGATGCAGAGTACATGATGAGAAACGTTGGGCTGGAAAAAGCACACGCTGGAATCAAGATTGCTGGGAGAAATATCAATTACCTCAGATATGCAGATGACACCACCCTTATGGCAGAAAGTGAAGAGGAACTAAAAAGCCGCTTGATGAAAGTGAAAGAGGAGAGTGAAAAAGTTGGCTTAAAGCTCAACATTCAGAAACTAAGATCATGGCATCTGATCCCATCACTTCATGAGAAATAGATGGGGAAACAGTGGAAGCAGTGTCAGATTTTATTTTTGGGGGCTCCAAAATCACTGCAGATGGTGATTGCAGCCATGAAATTCAAAGACACTTACTCCTTGGAAAGAAAGTTATGACCAACCTAGATAGCATATTAAAAAGCAGAGACATTCCTTTGACGACAAAGGTCTGTCTAGTCAAGGCTATGGTTTTTCCAGTGGTCATGTATGGATGTGAGAGTTGGACTGTGAAGAAAGCTGAGCACTGAAGAATTGATGCTTTTCAACTGTGGTGTTGGAGAAGACTCTTGAGAGTCCCTTGGACTGCAAGGAGATCCAACCAGTCCATCCTAAAGGAGATCAGTCCTGGGTGTTCATTGGAAGCACTGATGCTGAAGCTGAAACTCCAATACTCTGGCCACCTCATGCGAAGAGTTGACTCATTGGAAAAGACCCTGATGCTGGGAGGGAATGGGGGCAGGAGGGGAAGGGGACGACAGAGTATGAGATGGCTGGATGGCATCACCGACTCGATGGACATGAGTTTGAGTAAGCTCCAGGAGTTGGTGATGGGCAGGGAGGCCTGGCATGCTGTGATTCATGGGGTCGCAAAGAGACACAAGTGAGCGACTGAACTGAACTGAAGCACTTTCATAATTTCCATAGTTATCACTTCTAATGGCTACAAAATAATTACATCAGTATTATCCATTGTAATTATCAACCTTTTCTCCCATTGATAGTTACTTATTTTAAATAGTGCAGAGAGATAAGCGAAGCTTTGTATAGTCCTTTAACAAAATATACTAACTGTGGTCACTATGGATATTATGTATCACCATTAAAAGAAAACCTGTAAGTGGATAAATCAGAAATGTATCACCACTAAAATTACAACTACATAAAAAGCACGCAAGCCTGCATACAGGGGTTAGAAAGAACTTGAGAAAAATAAACACCAATTTGAGAGGTAGAGATTTTCTTTACTTTTAACTGCTATTAATGTCATAATGCTATCAGCCTGGAACATAACATATATTCAGTATTTTTAAAAGAAGGAAAAATATGATTAAAGAAAAATTCACTCATCATCCTTAGAACTTAAGAGAGAAAGTGTGTGTGTGTATGTGTATAAGAAAGACAGAGAGAGAAATCAGCATCAATCCACTGAGAAAGTCATCTCATATTTTAGGATCTTTTGATGAACACCTCTGGCTTTAAAGACAGGCAAAATGGACATTAATCTCTAGATGTGATCAGTAGCTACCACAAAAATGTTATTCTTTCCATGCTCATGCACATGACTGAAAATGCCCTTGTTTAGAGATTCTGTTCATATGTTTAAAAGGAGAATTTTCCTGGTGTTGGTAACACGTTGCTGTCATTCACTTAAGCATTCTAATGACCCAGTTTATTAGGTCCTTTCTTAAATGCAACTTCATTTTTCCCTCCATTCCTTAATTAACCTTCACAAGATGCGCAGGAGAGCAAGGTAGATGCTTTTCTCAGTTTTGCTCAAGGCCAGCTTTATTACTATTAAACTATAGATTTTTGTTTCAAAAACTATAGATAGTATGTTTATATGAAATATTTATCTTGACTTCTAAGAGATTACAACAGAAAAGTGATGGTTCTTCTCCAATTAGACATTATCCTTTGATAAAGATAACAGCTAATTTAAAGCTACTCCTTGGACCTGTATATTGCAAAGTGTGATAATATTGCAGGGCTCCTAAGGGACTGATGGAGGAGATAGTAAGGGAAAACTTAATTTTCATAAAGACATACCTGTCTTTCATTAATTGATAGAGGTTTTCTTTCATATATTCAAATATAAAATAAAGATGGTCATTTTCTCTGATAACTTCTTTCAGTTTTATCACATTGGCATGATTAAGTTTCTTCAGAGACTGCAACAGAGCAAGTAAATATTAAAAATTCTTAAGGCAAAGATACCAAATTTGGTAAAATCTCATCAATGCTAGGTATGATAATTACCTTATGTAATTTTCTTTCTTCTAAATTCATTAGTGAATTGTATTTTAATACCTATAATATTTTACACATCTTAAAAACACCTTAGTACACCTATTTAAAGTAAGCAGATAGGGCTTCCCTGGTGGCTCGGGGTTAAAGAATCTGCCTGCGAAGGTAGGAGGCGTAGGTTCGATCCCTGGTCTGGGAACGACTAAGGAGCCTGCGCGCTGGAGCCCCAGAGCCACGACTACGCAGGCCGAGCGCCCTCGGGCCGTGCTCCCGCCGAGGGACGCCGCCGCAATGCAAGTCCGAGCACCAGCAGCTAGTGAGGGGGCCTCGCTCGCTGCAGCCAGAGCAAGCCCGAAGCGCGGCCACAAGTAAAGAAGTAAAATCTTAAAGATAAAGTAAGCAGTAATTGTTTAAGGAATTAATGTACGTGCCGAAACAAACCAGGTCAACAATAGCTATCAAGCATTTCACTCTGTCACTTTTTTTTTTCCTTGGCCATTAAATAGGTTTAACCTTGTTTCTGACTTAACCGTGTGCAAATCCATGCAAAAGTCTCCGAAAATGTATCCACACTGTACACATAAAATATAAAGAAATGGTATGTGGTGATTTTAACATTTCTCTTTCCTTTGATAGTATGAATTAAAGCACTCTTTTAAAAGTGAGAGTGTACTTTCACGGCTATATTTAAAATGGATAACCAGCAAGGACCTCCTGAACTCTGCACAGGGAACTCCGCTCAAGGTTGTTTGGCAGCCTGGATGGGAGGGGAGGTTAGGGGGAGAATACACATACACATACATGTATTTATATGGCTGAGTCCCTTTGCTCAGTCCTCCTGAAACTGTCACAACACTGTTTGTTAATCGGCTACACCCTAATACAAAATAAAAAGTTTAGAAAAACTGAATAATAAATGGAGACCACTGGCATTAAAAATGTGAGTGTACTTTTAAATGTGAGGGTACAGTTATTTTCTGTTCTCCACTGACATTCTGATGAGAAATGAGTTTAGGAAGATAAAGAAAAACATAAGAAACAGAATTATCTTTGGTCTGCTTCCCTCAGAGAACAGAACAGTCTCCTTAGCTACCATCCTCGGGAATGAGAGATGTGTGGGGTAGAACTGAGGTCTTCTCAGGTTCTTGTCATCTCTGGGGTTTTACCTTAACTTCTCTCAAGTTCATACATTCATCCCAAGAATAGAACTTCCTCTTCATTCTGAAATTAAAAAAGAAAAGTTTAGTGCCTGGGGACCGAGGATATGAAGACACAAATTACACTGGTGGCTTTCTCACTCTATTATTAGTTTGCTCCAGGCAAGCTGTGTGTCTCTCTTCCCTCCTCCTTAAAAGCAGATCATTTCCATTCCGTGCATCTCAGGGCCACTTGGTGCAGGCTCATGACTATGTCACTTCTTGGACAAATTACCTAATGACCCTCCATGCTGCAAATTCCTTAGCTATAGAGCAGAAACTGCTGCATAAGAGAAGCTTATTGTAAATGGCTTAGGTCGGCACTCAGTAAATACTAGATGTTCCTATTTTTACCAGTATTTGTGGTTGGCTATAGTGAGATAACAAGGGCATCACTGCTATTATTTCTAAAATACTCTTAGTGAATCAGAATTTCACTTGTATGTATTCAGGTGCTAGGAATTTATGAAGGAGCTTGAAAAAAATTGAGGGCTTACTGACTTACCAAAAGATACTTTTCAGTACTATAGCCATAAATGTCTAGCTGAAATAAGAAAATAAGTCCAGCACAATGCTCAATTTGAAATAAAATACAAGTCAATTCAAATATAGTATAAAAGTACTTTCATCAATGATCAGATCCATCCAAAACTGTACATATAATCTCTATGATTCTTAAAAAATAATTGTAGAATTTTTAATACAACTTTTAGAGGCTAGTTAACATATTCAGGTTTTTTTTTTCAAAATTTAGTACAAACTGAAACGTTTATTCTTCTTAAAAGTCTGTACTAGCTGCAATCCACATTTACTAACATGCTGCTTTCTCCTCAACTACTTTTTATCAATACTACCTTAAAGTGATACAGGTATCTATATGCAACAAAGATAGAAGTTTCTTCACAAAACAATTATCCCACTTTCTTAGACCAATTTAAAGAAATTAACTGTAAGAAGTTAAACCAATTTGTTAGAATTCCTCTTAGACTCCCTGCCACCTTCTCTTCCATTTATTTATTCATCCAACACCTGCTACGTGCCCAGATGATGAAATCGGGGATGGTTACCACGGTGCTTCCCATCTCACAGGAAATCGACTTTAGTTAACACAAAACAGGCATACATATCAGCTTTAAGTGTCATGAGATAAACTGGCCAGGCCTCGGGCCTTTGTGATGAGGCAGTGTTTCAGATGAGACCTGCAAGATAGAAGGTGCCAGCCAGAGAAACGGCTAGAAAGAGCTTGGCTGGTTAGAAGAAAGGAGAGAACTTTCACCTCAGGCTGATCCTTATTCCTTGAACGCCGGAGGCTGGCTTTCAGGGCTCTGAGGTCACCTTTCCTGTTCTGCTTTTTCTCCCATAGCACTGACCACCTTCTTACACACCGTAGAGTTTAATTATTACGTTTAGACCTTGTCCCCTCTCCTCAAGCACAGCAGCAAGCTCTTTGAGGACACCTCCCCCTGCCTGATCGGTTTTTGAGACACAGTTTAAGTCTCAATGGATATTTGCTAAATGGTGGCTTGATGGATTCTGAAACCCCCCAGTGGGGCTCCTGAGCAACCGTCCCACAAACAGGAGACCCTCTGGAATGGAACAGCCTCTCGGGTCTTTAAAGGACACAGAGCTTAATAAATATTGTTAATTTAATGAGGTGAGAAGGTCTTATCACCAGCCCCTATAGCTTTTTTTAAACTTTTTTCCCCTGAAATGGCAGCAGATACTACAAAGTTTCTTATGGTAAGAAACCTACAATAAAATTTCCCAAAGGAAAATCTCTCCTTCTTCATACATGCTATTGTTACAGCCTGGCTATGCCTCCCTCTCCTCTTCATAGCTTTTTCTCATTCTCAAGATCTCATTTTCTGTGGGAAGTCTTCTAAGATGATACCATGAGACTCAACCCTCATTCTCATCTTCTTACCCCTTTCCCCCTAGGAGCCACAGCATTCATGAATTTTATTGTGAATCTTTCCAGTCCTTTTAAAGATATTCTTACATATAAATTGATGTGTGTGTAATGAAGTATTGGGTGCATTTACATAATCACTTAGCCTATAACTAAGAATGATTTCATCTCATTTTGGCTAATACTTACACCTCGCTTATTACTTTCTTCTCTTATTGCACCAGTTAGGGTCTCCAGTACAATCTTGATCAGTAGGAGATACAACAGGCATACTGGTCTTAAAATCAACTTTATGGGAAGTACCTGTACTATTTCACCTTTCAGGTCAGGGAAATTTCTTTTTATTCCTGTTTTTCATTTCAGTTATATAAGCATGCTAAGTCACTTTAGTCGTATCCAACCCTTTGCAACCTCACGGACTGCAGCCCATGAGGCTCCTCTGTCCATGGGATTCTCCAGGCGAGAATACTGGAGTGGGTTGCAGTGCTCTCCTTCAGGGGAATCTTCCCAACCCAGGGATCAAACCCACGTCTCTAAAGTCTGCACTGACGGGAGGTTTCTTAACCACTAGTGCCACCTGGGAAGCCCATTCATTATACATTATACATTTACTTACCTGATACTAATGGCTATTTGACAATACTTTATAAAAGTATTTCCTTATATATGTAATATTTTAGATCATCATATTGTAAAGTTTTTTAACATTTGATAAACATTTGTTAAAGCATTTAAATTTTGGATGATCATCCTTTGGTTGAAGTGGTAATCAGTTTCCAAGACTTGTTGCGGTGCAAGCCAGCTACCGTGTCATGAGAACACTCAAGTGACGCTCTGTAGAGCCCCATATAGAGAGAAATTGTGTTTATATAAATTTGTCTTTATATAAAAAAAAGAAATATGCATCAAGGGCAGCTGACATGGGAGGTGCATAGAGAGAAAATGCCATCGATAAGCCAAGGAAAAGGGCCTAGGAGAGAGCCTTTCCTCCCAGCCCTCAGCAGGAACCAACCCTGCTGACACCTTGACTTTAGACTTGTAACCTCCCAACTGTCTCAATAAATCCCTACCGTTTAAGCCAACCAGTCTGTGCTTAAACTGGCATATACAGAAGTCCAGTCTGAGCCACACTGTGTCCCCCCAAATCCATATCTTGAGGTCCTAAACTCCCAGTACCTCGGAGATGACTGCATTTAGAGATAGACCTTACAGAGGTAATTAAGGTTAACAGAGGGCTTTGGGGTGGGTCCTAATCCGATATTACTGGTGTCCTTATAGAAGGAGGAGATTAGGACCCAGACATACACAGACGGAAGACCAGGTGAACACATGGGGAGAAGAGAACTGTCTGCAAGCTGAGGAGACGGGCCTGAGGGGAAACCAACCCTGCCAACAGCTCGATCTTACTTCCAGCCTCCAGACCGTGGGGAAATAAATACGCTGCTTAAACCACCCAGTCTGGGGTACTTGGTGAGAGCGGCCCCAGCAAACTGACACGGCGAACCAGCTTGCAAGTGCGTCCTCCAGCCCCGGTCCAGCCTGCAGATGACTGTGACCTGGGCCGACCTCTGCCATCACTGCAGAGAGACCTGGAGCCAGAAACACAGCTGAGCTGCTCCGAAATTCCTGACCCACAGAAACCATGAGTTAACAGATGTTTGTTCTTGTCTTAAATCACTAAGCTTTGGGGTAATTTTTTTTTAACATATGATAGATATCAAACACAGTAGATTAAAGAAATAATTAAGTTAATAATTCCTCTATTTCATATGAAGCTCAGGGAAATACCATATGCCATTCAGAACTCAGTTTGATATTGTGAATACCATCTGATTTTGAGGCCTGTTGTTTTAAAGAAATAATAAGCTCTACTCTGTACCCCACTTTAAGTGCTGAGAAAAACTCTACGCATTACCTTCAGTCTCAGTTCAGAGTTGTCGTGCATAAGAAGCAGAGCCCTAAGCAGATAACCAACGGGAGGCTGCGGCGTGATGCACGGAGCTCAGCCTGGTGCCCTGGGACCGCCCAGAGGGTGGGATGGCGTGGGGGTGGGAGGGAGGTGCAAGACGGAGGGACCACATGCACACTTATGGCTGGCTCACGCTGATGTATGGCAGAAATCAACACAACCTCGTAAAACAATTACCTTCCAATTTAAAAGAAATAAATTTTTTCTCAAAAAGCAGAGCCCTTATTTTGCTGAACAAATCAGAAAATTAAACTCATATACGTGGGGACCAGCAGAACTCCTTTCTTGCAGTGCTGTCTCCAGAATGGCATTCCACCATGGCCTAACCAGCATGGCGTCTGCACCAGACTTCTCTCTGCGCTTGTGTACGTTCTCAAGCAAGCAAAGGAGAGGAACAGAAAGACGGGTGAACGTGGCAGGGTCGCCCGCGGTACCTTTTGATGGCCACCAGCTCCCCGGACTCGTTGCTCTTGCCCATGAGCACGCTCCCGTACGTGCCGTCCCCCAGCTGTCTCATGGTCGTGTACCGGTTCATCTCGGAAGAAGGATGCAGCGCAGGCTATCCACGGGAAAGGACGTCTTTGTTGAATATAAATATAAACGCGTCTTTTATTTTTATTCGTTTCTGCCCTTAGGCCATTGTTGCTACACTGGTGACAGGTTTTGTCATCATTAAATACAGGTTCTTCCCCAAGATTCTGGAGGTTCATAAGATGCAGCAGTAAGGAATCTGGCAAGGAAACGGTGCTTCCATTCTTATGAACATCCTGTAAAAAAATAATAAGAATAAAAGGAATGCTCATTAAAGCATCACTTCCAAAAATTTACTGGTAATCTAGGAAAACTGTAAGATAAATACTAATTTTTAAGCACGTGTCAATAAATCACTTGTGCTATGCGGAATAACGTTCACATATGATAGACTGCTAAAAATCACTGTAGAATGCTTCATTTATTAATACATGGTACCATGTAATGAAACTGAACCCAATAAACATTGACTTAATGATGTTTGTGATTCCCCCCTTTTTTTTTTTAATGACTATAATAGAATCTATGGGCTTCCCTGGTAGCTCAGCTGGTAAAGAATCTGCCTGCAATGCAGGAGACCTCGGTTTGATTCCTGGGTCAGGAAGTTCCCCTGGAGAAGGAATAGGCTACCCACTCCAGTATTCTTGGGCTTCCCTGGTCTCTCAGATGGTAAAGAATCTGCCTGCAATGCGGGAGACCTGGGTTCGATCCCTGGGTTGGGTAGATCCCCTGGAAGAGGGCATAGCAACCCACTCTAGTATTCTTGCTGGAGAATCCCATGGACAGAGGAGCCTGGCGGGCTACAATTCATAGGGTCACAAAGAGTCAGACACAACTGACTGACACAGCAGCAATAGAATCTATGTGAGTCCACATCAGACTGTGCAAAATCAGATTCTCCAATATATCCATTCTTAGAATCTATTTTTGCATCGTGTTTAATTTGGACCACACTCCCTTATGTGAAATTCCTGGGCCAGATGTGTTTGGAATCCAGGTATTTGCATATTTTAGAAAAGAAATAGAGGGTTTCCCTGCTGGCTCAGGGGTAAAGAATCCACCTGCAACACAGGAGACCCAGGTTCGATCCCTGGGTCAGGAAAATCCCCTGGAGAAGGAAATGGCAACCCACTCCAGTATTCTTGCCTGGAAAATTCCATGGACGGAGGAGCCTGGCAGGCTACAGTCCACGGGGTCACAAGAGTCAGACTCGACTCAGCGACTAAACCACCAACCACAGAAAAGCAGTAGGGTACATAACATCCCCCAAAGAGCATCTTAATGTACCTGCAGAAAAATGTAAGAGAAGTGCACTAAATAAAAGAAATGAAGACCATAATTGGCCTCCCATCACTCGGGCCATATTTTATTTCAAATGAATTTGCACAAATTAATTTCTGAAAAGTCATCTTTCAGAGCTTTGTGGATTTCAAACTACAGAAAAGGGGTTGTGGATGTGTATATATTGGAAGGGTACAGGTTTCTATAGGTTCTGATTTTATTACTACAATTAAACGAAAAAAAACGAAGCACATAAAACAATAGTACCTCCTTCATTACAACTCTGTTCAATAATTTCCTCCCACTCTTCTGTCTCAATTCAGCATTCAAGGAACAATTTCTCATTTCATACCTGTTTATCATTCTTATGTTGCTTTAAAAAATCTATCCTCCTGCTACAAGGCTGTATTCTTAGCTGCAGAAGGTAACAATGTTTGGCACTATGAAAGGACATAGCTTGTTTTAAAATGTCTTTTATAGGGAATTCCTTAGAGGTCCAGTGGTTAGAAACTGTGCTTTTGCTGTCAAGTGTCCGAGTTCGATCCATAGTTGGGGAACTAAGATCCGACAAGCTGCGTGGTTCGGCCAAAAAAATAAAACGCCTTTCATAATCTGATGCTTCAATCAATGATTATTTTTCTTTCACTGTAGCACTACTTCCACAAGATAAAATCACAGAAATTCCTTCTCTATTAAATGCAGAAATGTAGGAGCAACAAGAATATATTGTAGTTGTCAAAGTACCCAAGGCTTCCAAAAATAGGCTTTTCTGCAGAAACACGGTAGAGAAGTGCACTAAAATGATGTAGTTCCCTTTATACAGAAACACATTTGTCCACCAGAAGCCCTGGAAGAACCTGTGGGGCTTTTAAATAACAGGGAGTGTGGTTTCATTTGTCATTTATTTTACTTCATGACAGATAGCAACCCCTTCAAAGGCATGGGAGTAGTTTAGGCCACACTACCTCTGTGGCCAGGATCTTGACAAAGAGATCTCAATAGTAAATTCCATTTCTATTTAGTGGTTCCTTCATCTGGCTCAGTTATGTCTTAGCAAATGGTTTCAACAAATGCCAGCATCAACCTAAATAAAATGTGAATTTTGTGTAAAAAAAAAAAAACAAAAAACAAATGCCAGCAAATGCTTCCCCATTTGCCTGAAAATGAAGTTCTTTTGCAAGTGGTCTTTACATTATACATAGACACAGGTTCTAAACATGAGGGTATTAATATAGAGAAAGGCAACATCCCCCTGCATGGTTCCTGACTAAAATGTGTATTTGGTTTCCTTAATTTTTCCATTATCTAGGTAAGGAAAGACAATTTTGAAAGCTCTTTGGGGGTCTGTTTGGTAATACTCTGTGCTATGATTAAATAAAACATGGGCTATAAAACATATTCCTTCTGATCACTTAGAATTTTATTAAGTCAGTATTTTGCAGTTTATTATCAGATATTAAACTGCCTGGCATTCTTTTTTTTTGGCTGCACCACACAGCTTGCAGTAAAAGTGCCAAGTTCTAACCACTGAACCACCAGGGAATTTGCTAAATTGCTTGACATTCTTTTCTATCTTCTCTATTTAAGGTCTTTTACAGAAGTGTGCTCTCCAGAGGTTTACCAATTCTTTCTGGTTAAGTAACAATACAGAGAATAAATTTGTCCAAAAGGCCACAGTGTTCACCATATCAGTAACAATGTACAACAAAAATGCAGAGGGATTAAATGACCTAGGATCGATCAAGAGAATCAATGATGGAGTTAGTCTAATAGCTGCATTAGCCTGAAGCTGTTTGGTATTTCAGCACAGTCCCCAACTTCTAAACAATCCATCCTTGCTAGCTTTTACAATCACTAATACAGCTAAAAGAACCACCCCTCTTCACTCCCAAACCGGGCAGAATCTACCCCACAGTGAAGGCTGCCCACCCCCACCACCCCCTAAAGATTCCTAACTCCTCACCCTAACAAGGCAAGATGCTATAAACAACCTGGAAAGTACACAGGGGTTCTCCCCACCCCGACGACACCGTGGGGCTAGATCTGGCTCATGCTGATAACCTGGAAGGACACTAAAAACTTAGGCCAGAAACAGTGAAGGGAGAGTGAGTCCGGGAGAAGGGAATCTAACTGGAGTTCATTAAGAAATTTATTTTCACCCCACCCCCAAGATACTGAATTAAATTTTAATAGGATAAATAGTAGCATCTTTTCTTTGCCAATCTGCTGCACATGCAACAGATTATTTTCATGGTAACACCTAAGTGAGGACAACCATGGAGGGTCTGAGAGGTAGATGGTGATTGTAGGCACCTCTAGAAAAGGACGAAAGAGAAAGGAGTGAAGAGGGAGCTGCCCGGGGTGGGAGAGAATTTCAGAGGTAAGAGGTGCCAGAAACGTGGAAATTTCACCTTGCAGTGGCTCAACCCCCTGCAAAAGTGGAATGAACTGCCTCTTTCTCTTCCACCGTAAAAAGCATCAACCATACCATCACCAGTATTATTACAACACAACAGACCGATCAGTCACTGATGCCTTCCTGCTCCAGCTTGGAAGCCCGGATGTTTTGTTTTTGTTTTGGAGTGGCTGTAATAGAAACCTCACTCCAAGTCTTCAAAAAAAAGAAAAGAAAAAACACTGGAAACACGGTTTGTTTCAAGTGCTATAGCATAGGATACTTATATTCAGGGAAAAATAAAAGAGGTACACGGCCGTTTCTCAGCTTCTTTTGTTTGAGGGGGTGAAGATTATGGGTGTGACATGGGTTTTAAAAAGTCTGATGTGTGGTTCCAAGACAATTGGAGCTTACACAAGTTTACATACTATGCTCCCAAACAAAGCTTCAGAAAGGTCCCTTTTGAGTCATTTAAATTACAAAATACACAGCTGTCCAGGGTGAGAAGCTGACCATTCCAGCTGTCTCATTATCCCCCTGAAAACAAGGATAATGGCCCAATGTAGACAGGCATAGATGTACAAAGGGTTTTTTAAATTATTCCCATGTACCTACTCACCTTAAGGGCTTTTCAGGTGGCGCTAGTGGTAGAGAACCTGCCTGCCAGTGTAGGAGACTCAAGAGATGCAGGTTTGATCCCTGGGTTGGGAAGATCCCCTGGAAGAGGGCACAGCAACCCATTCCAGTATTCTTGCCTGGAGAATCCCATGGACAGAGAGCCTGGCAGGCTACAGTCCATCAGGTCGCAGAGTCAGACATGACTGAAGTGACTTAGCATCGCACAGCACAGCATCTACTCACTGATAGCACGTAAACAATTGTTCTTATGAGTGTAGCATAGGAAGGTCCTAAACGGATTTACTAGTCAAAAAGCAGTATATGTAATTTACAAGACAGACTGCCTATAGGTCCCCAGTGCACATTCAATGATATTTCTCTGCAAACTACATGTATTCTTCTCTGTGGTTGTGTTGTTCTGTCACTTGACCCCATGGACTGCAGTATGCCAGGCTTCCCTGTCCTTCACGATCTCCCAGAGTTTTATCAAATTCATGTCCTTTGAGTTGGTGATGCTATCCAACCATCTCGTCCTCTCTTGCCCCCTTCTCCTCCTGCCCGCAACCTTTCCCAACATCAGGTCTTCTCTGTGGACCCCCGGAAGCTAATTCTGCAAAATAGGGGTGTATTAATATGATTTGTTTTGCACATGAATATTTCCATGTATGTATTTCAATATGTATGCAACAAGGCAAAATACAGATAAGTGTAATTTAACTATGATCCTCAATTAATTTAACAGAATTGTTAGGAACTTGGAATTTTCTACAATCAAGTTACAATACTTTCTTATGAATTATACACATCTTATATTCTGGTTTAAGAAAAAAAAATTTATTGAGAGGCTCAGTTACAGACTTACATTAGATAAATACTCTTACCATTTCTCTCCCATTCTAGTTGTCTTATTTTTAGCTAAGTGCACAATTACTGTAAACTTGAGCTTTATTCTCAACAGCTTCTACCAGCTAATAAGGGATTTAGAAAGGATTAAAGAAGATTAAGAGAGAGGGCAAATGGAGGGTAAAATCTGTGTCTGCCCAATCACTGAGCAGATAACCTCTGCACGTCTTCAACTTGCTTTGGTACAATCTGCCCTAATTTTATTACTCTGAGGCTGGAATTAACGTTTGTTTGTTTTTAAAGTAACACCATAAAAACCATTAAGTTGTTTAAAAAGCAAAACAGAAAAAAGTTATCAAACTAACCAAGTCATACCTTTACAGAAATTAAAAGGGAAGCTTTTGCAATGGGAAAACAAAGATTTTGTGTTTAAAAAATAAAAGTATGGTGTTCTGTGCTAATATTCACAAACTGTTTTAAAACGAAGCACAACCAAATCAAAACAAACACACACACACACACACACACGCATCCCAACAAATAGATCAAACACCTTGCCCAAAGCCCGTTTTGCTTAGGCAGGTGGCCTCCTTGGGCGGAGCGAAGGGTCTCTCCTTTTCTGGTCACTCGGTCCCTCGGCAGAGATGCAGGTTGGGGGTGGGGGGGGTGGGGACGGTAAAGACAGGTCGAAAGGCTGGAAAGTAACTTTTGCCTCCATTACTATTTCTACTCTAGGGATTGTTTTTCTGATTAAAATAACTCCGATACATTTGACTATGAGAATTCCGTTACAATTACAACAAATGCCTGATCATTTTAAAAGATTAAACACAATTACATAAATTTTTTTCCGTTTAGAGCTGAGATTTCAAACACTTTATAAAAAGCCAGTTTTATTGCCTCCCCTCCCCGACTCCAACTCTGTCCTTAAACTAAGTGCCCGTCTTATTTGCAAGTCAGGAAGCAGTTTTCGCTCCCTGACGCTCTGATTTCTGATTCCCCGCCCCCCTGTCCGCACCCCCCCCCCCCCCCCCCCAGCAAACAAGGGACCTTAAGACTCCGGGGGCGCAGTCCCGCCGGCCAGCGGGAAGGGGTGGTCCTGGGGGACCCGCGTGTCCCGCCGACCGCAGCGGCGGGCTCGGCGTGGGGGACCCGGGGTCCCGCTGGTCCACCCTGCGCCGGGATTCCGCTTTTGCCTGGGAGCCATTTGGGATGCACCAGTGAGCACTGAATTTGGACCCAGTTTCTCTTTCCTCTTTCCTCCTTTTTCATTTTTGTAACAGTTCTGAACTCACTCCGCTGCCTTCCCGAGACCCGATCCCGCCCCCTCACTCCTCAGAGCAGCGTCCCCTCCCGCCCAGGCACTAAAGGGAGACGGGGAGTTCCGGGGTGAGGGCGGGGGGTACGGTGGGAGACTCTAGGATAGATTCGGGGGTGAGGGTCTCCCAGGCTGATGTATGCCCACTGTCATCCTCCAACCCGGGACTGAACCCCGCCGGCTAGGGGCGCAGGAAAGTGGCCAGGGGCGCTTCGGGGCAAACCCAACGCGCCGGGAGCAGGTAGATAGTCCCCGCCGGGCAGCCCCGCCCCTCCCCGAGTCCTCCTCCCTCCAGTCCTCCACCCCGACCGGTGTCCAGGCCCTTCTCTCAGCAGAAGTCGGCCCCGGTAGGACAGGGCGCCTGGGGGACATGCCGGGCCGCCTCGCAGGACAGGCTCGGGTGGGACGGACGGCGGCCGCCCCGCTGCCCGCTCGGGATTACCTGCCCGCGCCGGCCGCTTACCTCGTTAGCTCCCTAATGAAGCTCCGGCGGCCAGTGTGTTCCATCTCCTAGGAAACGGCGTGCGTGCGTGCGCCTCCGCGCCGCCCTCCCGCTTACACCCCGCCCCATGGGGCGGGGTTGAGTGGAAAGGCCCCGCCCGTGGCCGCTCGCCCCGCCTCCCGAGGGGCGGGGCCTCCGGGAGGGCCTGGAAGGCGCACGAGTTTCCTGCTCTTTTGCTGTCTTCATTTGGGGCTTGGGGCAGTCTTGATTACCTTTGCGCTTATTTATAAGAAGTTGGATTGTTTGCCCTTTGTTCCGACTCGTTCTATAAAGTCTTGATTCATTAAATCTGGTTCCCAGGTTTGTGAAGAGCAAGAGGAAGCCAACTGTTCGCCTCGTAATCCTTGAATTTTGTTGACATGTACTGCCTGGGGAAAACTGAATTGCACTGGATTGCAATTGTTTATATTGGTCAACTTCACACATATATGTTAACTCCTGGGCCACACTTCTGAACTCATTTTCACTCATTCGTTCAAAGAATTTAGTACCAGTCACGGTGTTAGACTGTGGTAAATCCCAAGATAAATGAGTTAATGGTGAATAAATACACAAGTGATAGTAACTAGCCTCGAGTTGTGAGAGAAGGGCACACTTGTGTTTCTACCAAGAAGAAGGTCAATTAACTAGCAAAAAGGCCCATAAATTAGAAGCATGAGACAAGGGGTAGTGATGTACCTGCTAGCAATTATCCATTATGTGTCAAGGCTCTGGAATAATGACAGGATAGCAGGACAGACATGATCATGGTTCTGTCATAGCTTAAAGTGAAAAAAAATGGGGAGAGTATTCATAAGAAGCATAAGTTAGATCATGGAGGTCTTATAGCCTGCTATGAACCTTACCAGGCAATAGCAAGAGAACTATGAAGAATTTTCTACAGAGGAGTGACATGCTCACTTTTGCATTTCAGGAAGATCACAAAAGCAACAGTGGATAAGGTAGATTTCAGCAATGAGTCTAGAGGCAAAAGAATAAAAAGGAGGCTATGGCAATTGATCAGGAAAAAGTGGTGGATCCAACTATAGCAGTAATGACAGAGATAGAACAAGGGCTATTTAGGAGTTCAAATTGACAGGACCATGTGACTTAGACAGGTGGTGCCATCCTAGCACTGGGACCCTCTGCACCTGCCCCCGGGGGGGTGGTCCCAGAAGTTTCAGGCAGAAGCCAGGGAGGGCTCACATGGAGGAGATCAAAAAACATTGAAGCCAAAACACCCATCTGGAACTTTAGCCAGGAAGAATCCCTATGGATGACTTTGATCATCTTGAAGGGCCACAGGGCAGGGTTGGGAACCTGAGACCTGGCCTGTCTGTCAAAGAGCAGCTACTTCACTGCACTGTGTTTGCACAGACTATTCAGTTCACTTCATAACTTTCACAAATAAGCCTAGAATCTGTCTTGCTTCACAGGAAGTCATAAATTATATCACCTCAAGTGTGTTTGCTTCTGTCAAAGGAATTTGTGGAGCTGATCTTTATCAATATGTTTCTAGGTTCAGCAACTTTGTTTGTTTTATTCACTGACTTAGATAATTCTACTGTAATACGATATGTCATCAAATTCCTGACCAAAAGGAAGTTCAAAAGCTCTGAAAAAAAATTTTTTTTAATACTAGAGGGGCATCGTAAAGAGAAGTGACTATTGAAATTCCAATTTTCATCCCCACTTTTTTTCATTTATTAAAATGCATACTTTTTGATTTGGGTCACCGTGGGAGGAGGTTAAAGTTTAAAAACTCAGGAAATCAATGCAAATTTTTAAAGCATGAGAAGTAACTGTAAACTTCATGTTATAAAAACACCACACATATATACAATGGAATATTACCCAGCCATAGAAAGGGACACATTTGAATCAGTTCTAATGAGGTGGATGATCCTAGAGCCTATTATATAGAGTGAAGTAAATCAGAAAGAGAAAAACAAATATCATATATTAATGCATATATATATAAACTAGAAAGATGGTACTGATGAACCTTGATGCAGACATTGAGAAAAGACTTGTGGACACAAAGAGGGAAGGGGAGGGTGGGATGAATTGAGAAAGTGGCATTGAAACATACGCATTACCATATGTAAAGCAGATAGCCAGTGGGAATTTACTGTATGACATGGGAAGCTCAAACCCAGCGCTCTGTGACAGCCTAGTGGGGTAGGATGGGGTGGGAGGTGGGAAGGAGGTTCAGGAGGGAGTGGCACATGTATACCTATGGCTGATTCGTGTTGATGTATGGCAGAAACCAACACAATATTATAAAGCAATTATCCTCCAGTTAAAAATACAGAAATTTAAAAAATAAAAGTAAAGACCAACATCATCAATAAAAAATAAAAACACGACACAAGTCTTTGATTGGTAAGTACAACTTTTAATTGGCTCCATACAGATGGAGACTGTAGAGGTATTTATTTAGATGCTTTTATTTACTTATTTAGTTAATTGTTTTGGGCGTATTTCCCATGGCTTGCAGGATCTTAGCTGCCCAATCAGGGATTGAGCACAAGTCCTGGCAATGAACGCCCTGAGTCCTAACCAGGGAATTCCCTAGTATTGCACTTTTAAAGATGGGTTTGCAAATAAACAGATAAATAAATAAAACAAAATAAAGGACTGCCCTAGTGATCCAATGGTTAAGACTCTGGGCTCCCATTCTAGGGCGCAAGGGTTCAATCCCTGATTGGGGAAGCAAGATCCCACATGCCATGCAGTATGGCCAAAATAAATAAAGAAAGAAAGATGAATTTGTTTTAGTTTTGCCATTCATTTTGGGGTATATTCTTTGGATCTAGGATATAACCTTTACTCCCTGTGGCCCTTCTAGCGTTCTGATGGGAGGCCTACGGTGTTTGCGGTCCCTTCCAGCTCGGTGAGACTAAACACTGGGTTCGGTCTCCCTGGCAGCCGGCAGACAACACGGTTGCTCCGTTTCAGCAGTTTTTTCCAGCTGTTACTTTAACAGTGTCCTTGGAGTCTTGTCTAAACAAGCCCAGGTCAGGGGTCAGCCCAGAGTGTAAGGTGAATTTGTATCCAGATTTGGGGGACTTCCTCCCTGTGGCTGCTCTGTGGTTCCCCCACTCAGTTTCCAGCTCTGCCGGCAGCCCTAGCCTCCACTCTCTGGCAAGCCAGAAGCCCTGCAGTCTTCTGCTCCGGTTCTAGCTGCCCTGCTGGTGTAGACTGGGACGCACCCTGAAGAGATATCTGAGATGCCGTGTAGCCCCGCACGCCAGTCATCCTGGTTCTCTTCCCTCGGGGCTCCAATCCCCCCACCCAGTTTCTGTTTGACTTTGGTGGTTTTTCCAGGGCCTTCAAATAGTTAAGCTTTATATTTGTCCAGAGTTTATAACCGCCACCTGAAGGAGAGTTAGTTCAATACAAGCCACTCCACCATTTCCAGAGCTAGAAATTCAACAATTTACTTTTGAGTGTTGATACTTCAAATATTGCAGAGCAATGTTGTATTCAATATTGTATTCTTAAATATTCCTATTTGTAATCTGATGGACTGACATGTAGATATGTAACAGCAAAATGGCAAAATATGTGTTCTGAGCCCAGCATAGCATCAGGATTGGCAGTGATTTAATGTAATCATTATTTGGGGAATTCCCTTCTATAAACCCTCATCCTTGTACTTTCCATAAACTGTGTCATCCTCAATAATCAATTTTTCAATGCTTAAACCTTAATTGATGTTTCTTTCAATTCTCCTTACAGGATGAAGTGTTGAAAAGTGTGTATATTTTTAAACTACCTGCATATTCCTTATCAAAGATTAGTAGCATATCCTTCATTACATGATTCCTATCAAGACCGTAGCTGACCTAGCAGCCTCGAGGTTCTTTTGAGACTGTATTCCACATTTTGAGCTCTTCATTTCCTAGGAAGATAAGCATTCTTGAAGAAGATGTCATTACGTGGCCTTCTCAGAGCTTCCAATTGATAATACTTTGTAAGCCTAAAATCAGTTGAGAACCTCTGAACTTCTTAGTATTTAAAATTGACAATAAAATAATTGAGAAATAGAGCAAGAAAAATTTAGCGCTTGTATATATATCCTATTTTCCAAAAAATTGTATTCTGTTAAAAAATGTTTTTCATAAAGTATCTTTTTTAAAAATTGAAGTATGGTCGATTTACAATGTTCTGTTAGTTTTTGGTGTACACCGAAGTGATTCAGAGATAGATAGATAGATAGAGTCTCTTTCAGATTCTTTTCCATTATAGATTCTTACAAGATAGTGAAGATAGTTCCCTGGGCCATATAGAGAGACCCTGTTGTTTATCTGTTTTATATTTTGTATCTATTAACCCCCAGTGCGGTGCAGTTAGTGGTCAGTGGCATCTGACTCTTGGTGATCTCTTGGGCTGTAACCCGCCAGGCTCCTCTGTCCATGGAATTTTCCAGGCAAAAATACTGGAGTGGGTTACCATTTCCTACTTCAGGGGATCTTCCCAACCCAGGGATCGAATCTGCTTCTCTTGTGTCTCCTGCTTTGGCAGGCGGATTCTTTTTTTTTTTTTTTTCCATTTATTTTTATTAGTTGGAGGCTAATTACTTTACATCATTGCAGTGGTTTTTGTCATACATAGACATGAATCAGCCATGGAGTTACATGTATTCCCCATCCCGGTCCCCCCTCCCACCTCCCTCTCCACCTGATCCCTCTGGGTCTTCCCAGTGCACCAGGCCCGAGCGCTTGTCTCATGCATCCAACCTGGGCTGGTGATCTGTTTCACCCTAGATAATATACATGTTTCGATGCTGTTCTCTTGGAACATCCCACCCTCGCCTTCTCCCACAGAGTCCACAAGTCTGTTCTATACATCTGAGTCTCTTTTTCTGTTTTGCATATAGGGTTATCGTTACCATCTTTCTAAATTCCATATATATGTGTTAGTATACTGTAATGGTCTTTATCTTTCTGGCTTACTTCGCTCTGTATAATGGGCTCCAGTTTCATCCATCTCATTAGAACTGATTCAAATGAATTCTTTTTAATAGC